CTAACATCAATCATAGCATACTAAATCAGTGTAGCCATTGATGTAAAATATTTATTCAGGTGATTGTTGATTGAATGAAACGAAAAGTTTTAAATGTCAGCATCACTTGGAATAACTTTGATTTAGATTTTCACACTCCTCTACTGCTGGCAGATACCAGTGGGTAGTGGCAATGTCAGGTCCCACCTTTAGCTGAGAACACTTTGCAAATATGACACCTACTCATCTAATATCACTCTTACCTGATATAGAGTTTTGTTAACTTTTAAAAGTTGTTTCCTTTTCCTTTTCTTTAATCCTAAAATATGATTTGGCTCCTAGGGCAGCTTATTGAACAAGACATAAACTCAAAGTGAATCCTTATTGAAAGTAAACACATTTTATTGCTACATTCACTGTAATGGGCTCTATGCACAGCTCCACTACGTTCTGAACCCAAGGCTGCTCCTTTATTTCCTGTCCTACATTATTGGACAAAATGATTAATCGAGGTGTACCTCATCATTGTGACTGCTCAGAAGATGGACGCCTACTGTTAGCCGTTGTTAGCTGTTGTTACCAATTGTCAGCTGTCGTTAGCCGTTGTCAGTTGTTGTTAGCAGTTGTTAGTTGTTGTAGCCATACCAGTTGTAAACAACGCATAACACAGTATTTTACTTTTACAAACACCATAGCACCGTGTTCACAGTTGGACGTTGGGCAGTTCAACATATACCACTTATTTAATTTCACAAAAAAAACAAAAAACAAAACAGAAGTGCTAATAAATAATACATTATGAGAGCTTTCACTGTTATTCTTTACTGTTGATGCAATGTGCTGCCATTTTGTCGTCAAGTCAGGGTTGGTGAGGATCATCCAACTTTCCGAGTCAGAAATCCTACTTCAGGGGGGTGTTCCAGATGAATTTCCGACTCAGAGCTTTGAAATTCCAACTTCTGAGTACAACTGGAGTGCAGCATTAAGTTCAGGAAGTAGTGGAACAGTGCATAGAGCCCATTTAAGTTACCTTCAGACACTTCCAGTGTCTACGGTAAGAATTAGATAGAACCAATTTTGTTTTTTATGATCAGCACTTCAATAATCGCAGTGTAAAATGTTTCTGAAATAAACTGCTTCAAAATCTTCAATAAAGGACTAAAGTTTGACTCTAATCCTGTTGTTGCCCTGCACCAAATTAAAATGTCTAAAGTCTTTTCTTGAGCCCTTTTTCAAAACTGAAGGAGCTTTGACTAAAATCACAGCAGGGATGATATCTTTTGTGACTGCAGATCTTCAATCTTCTAGCAACTTGTGAGCTAATGTGGTGAGTAAAACTACACATGCAGACTTACACAGTGAACATCTACAGGCACATACAAAACTAAAAGCACGAAACACTTCAGCCAAAGATACGAGGCGAATTCAGGATAGATGAACTGCTGTCATCACTCTACCCGCAAACAAGTCTTTTACACAATGTCCAATCAGAGAGAGAGAGAGAGAGAGTGTGTGTGTGTGTGTGTGTGTGTGTGTGTGTGTGTGTGTGTGTGTGTGTGTGTGTGTGTATAGGCTGGTGTAATGAGGTGGAGAAAGTTGTCCATTACTTCCTGAGTTGATGGGCTCTTCTCAGCAGTGCACCCACAGCTGGAGCAAAGGCGGAGGAGGAGGAGGCACCAGCAAGGAGAGAAGAACAGGACACACGCAGACGTGATCACCCTCTGCGTGTTCGACTCTTTGACCCCCACTAACTTAATAATGTCTGTAGTCTTAATGAAAGTTAATCTAAACAACACTTATTGCTTTCAAATGCAAAAAAGACATTATAAGAGTAAGATATGAAATCTATGGAGTGCAAATACATCTCCTGTACAGAAAAACATTCAAAAATGAGCTCTGAAATAGATACTCAAAGGTGTTTCAATCTCAGTTCCTCAGTTTAAGACTGATCTTGTCAGCATGAGTTCTTTAGAAAGTTCATTGGGAAATCCAAAATGGTAAGCGGTATAAACTTCCGAGAATAATATTAATAATAAAAACGGTTTTGTGCTGAAATCACTGAAAGATCTTTTTTTTTTTAATGACTGTCTCTGACATCATGTGAACTCCTGTGGGACACCTTGAAATCTGGACACCTGTGCTCCATAAAGAAGCTGACCTGGCAATTTGAATGAGCCCCAGTGGACTGAATGGACTTGAATTTGGAGGCGGAGGTTGGCTTAGCAGTCTTCATGTGCACCCCAAATCTGGAGACTTTTGTCCTTTTTGCATTGGTTGCTGGTTAGACTCTCTGCCTTTTGCTGTATCTTATTCCTCATTTTCTGCCTCTTTTCTGCTCTCTTATCCAATCAATCAATCAAGCCATTTTTAGTTTAATGAGCAGATACATAGACTTTGGTCATAAACATTTTTTCTGTAGTTTCACCCAGAAATTACCACTTTCAGGAGACAGAGCAAAAATGCACGACTGTCTCCTATCGTCAACATGAAATCAGACTTTCCTTTTTTCAAGCCTGCAGTCTCCCTCTGCTGGCCATTAGAAATAATACAAGACAGACACAGTCATCACTGGCTTCACTTTTATGAACAAACAATCAGTGAAAAAAATACAGTATTTTTAGTTGAGCCATTTCTTTTAAGTGCTGTGCGGCCAAAGAAAAAATGCTGATCTAAAGAGACTGATGATTTTCCAAAAATGTCCTTGTTGTACAGATACTTTACATACTAGATGATCCTGTTGAGATCTAAGCAGTAACCTAAAAACAGGATGGTAAAATTTTTTTTCTAACAACAGCTGTGTAATATGGTGTTAATTTTATCTTGTATTATTTGCTGTTCCACTTAAAAACTCTCACACAAGCACACACAGACCAGAAAATGAATGAGAAACAAATTTATTGCATGCATAATTTCAGTGTTCAAAACTTTCAAACAAGCTTCTCCAGCCAAATAAAATGAAGAGTTGACTGAAGTAGAATCTTTTCATACATTTAGGTAAAGAAGTATAGAGTGATGATCTTTTATTAAGGGGTTACAAATAAGCTGTGTTGCCTACTTATTTGTAACTTATGCAAAACCGCTGCATGAGTTGGCCTAATAGAACCGTTTTAGTGCAAACTTTTATGAGCACCTGATATTATTCAAGAGAGGCCATAGAAAGGATTCATGCTGCACGACTGGGATATCAATTTACTCTCCACTCCATATTAAATCTATTTCCAAAATGTTATTTTACTGACTCTCTGAACCTCTGAGGTAGATCAGGATCTAGAAAACCCAAAGTTTTTTTTTTTTCCTTACCTTTTATTATAGACATGTTTTAGTGTGACCCAAACACTGTAGATTAATTTCAACACACCACACCAAGCAGTGGCCTGAAGAGAATCGATCTCGCCACCTGCATATAGAACTAGACCTTTCTTTTACAGACATGCAGGTGTATGAAACTGCTTTTAGACCTTAAATGATTTTTGATCACTTATTACTAATATGGCGTGCAGTGTAGTAAATTTGACCTGGAGTGAAAACAGAGATTTTAAAGTGGGTGATTGCACCAGTGTGATTAAGCAAATGTTGTAAGAAGATTGTTTACCGATCATCAAAAACATAATGTTGTACATTGTTAATCAATTCTGATAGAAACCATTTGCACACGTGATGCTATTCTATGCGTGTGGCATGTATCATGAATAATGGAGTCACTGCACCATCTCCTGGACAAACTACTTTATGTTATTTCTAAATAAGCCAAAGCAGAGTTTAATGCATAATATGGTTTGTTTAATAAGGTAACTGAAGTATCAATCTTCCTGACCACCAGTAGTTCACATTTGTCCTCTGTGGAGGACATTTGTAAACCTATATATCTTCCAACCAATGCATGCGACTGCATCAACTCCTTTTGGTGTATACAGAGGACATTTATGGCTTTTCAATGATACAGAACATGAAGGGGTGGGGCTTGCGTACCTTTCTCTTTCTCATTAGGTAAAATGGTGTCCATCAGCACAAGAGTATTTTATGGGGAGAGGAAAAGTAAGTCAATAATACTTTAATTTTATTGAGCAAATTTTGTTTTGAATTGTGTTTGGCATATTTAATTCAAGTCTCTTTACAACACACTAAAACACTGTCTTAATTATTTCAACTGTATTTTAGTGTAGTATTTAAGTGGTCAACAGATGTCCTCCATAGTGGACATTTGTAGTTATTTTCTTCCATTTTGTTCAGTTTTTTCAAAATGACAGGAAAGTAGGAGGGGCATCAGAGATGGTAGTCAGATAAAGTTCTTCTGAACTTGCTGTCATTAAGTGGTTGGACAACAAGCCAAGTCATGGCATCCTCTGCGTGTGGCATTGAACCCCATGACTCATGCAGAAGATGGTCCAAGAGAGACAGAAGGTTTGTCCAGGTGTCAAGTTCACTGGCAATTTCTGAGTCCAACACCAACATGAGAGGCATGGACTTGGTTGGCTGAGTTTTTACAGGATTGCCTCTTGCACTTGGAAATAGACAGTGATACTTTTGAAGTATCATATCAAATAAGCACAACAAAGCAAAGCAAAGCAAAAATAAAGTGAACATTAAAATCATTCTTATTTTGACTTTAAGGTTTTTTTTGTTTTTTTTGGGACTAACTGGTTCCCATCAAGTTCAGTTTCCCATGTATGGCGTTCTGATGTGCACTGTAGTGGACAGGATATCTTACAAATACTTTTTTTCCCCCTTTCAAATAAATGAATAAATAAATGAATTAATAAAAAATTGTCAGTATTCCAATTACCTTACAAAGATTGGGGGATTTAAAATATGTGATTGGACATTTTTTTTTCCTGGCAGTCAGGAGGATCTTTGAAAGGCAACAGACAGCAGGTGCTAATATATTGGACACAGTTGTGCATCAGCCTGGTTTGAATATGTGCTTACAGAGATACTGGTTCCGTTTCCTGAACAATGTGGGGAAAAACACAGACCACATCACACTAGACCACATCTGCTCCCAATTTATGACAGGAAGCATGTAGCCTTTAATGAATATCACTTTATTTAACATGACGGTTCATTCTCTCTTCAACAAAAGAAACCATACTGAAAGACTTGCCAAACTGGAACAAAATAATTATAAACACTTGCAGAAGTTTTCTCTGAAATGATTTTTCTCTGTGCACTTGTTGGATATTTACACTGCAAGACATTAATAAAAACTTATTCATTACCCAAAAGTTGTTCACCATTCAACAATTCACACAGTATATACATTATACAGTATATATACATTTAAAAAATACAGAAAAACAACATAACATGATTCAAACAGTCCTCATTTTTGAACATCCACATATTTAAAAAATGTTGAGCTGCTTGAAAAAAAAAAAGGCTGTCCTCCTTGCTGATTTTTCTGCTGTCTGTGAATAGTTACGCCTAAAGGATCCAACGAAATGTGAAAATAAGCACCTTGTCACTTCTGAGGACATGCTCTCAATCAATTTCAGACTACGGCACCAAAACTCGAGTGCAGACGGTTTAGTGTTGACACAGAGAGATGACTATCAGTGAATCTTCACTAAACTGATGCAACCCGGAGTGTTGCAAATGACCATAAAGAAATACCAGGCTGTTTTGCAGAAGAAAGAGCATGAATTAAAAAAAAAAAAAAAGAGAGAGAAAAACAGCACAGCTCAGAATTACAGAGAATATAATAGTGTTTCCTGAAGACAAATGAGTGGATGCATTTATCCCATTTAAGTTAAACAAGCTAACCCCAGATGTGACCCTATTCTTCGTGTGTCTTCTGCAGCAAAAAAATTACAATCACATTTTTTTGATTCTGGTTACCCTGCAGACAGATTGAACTGCGTCTTGATATTTGATGCAAAACTGTTTACTCTCAATGGAAATAAAAGTTTGTCAATTTTAGGTCCAGGCATCACTTAACTGATTTACACCAAGCATATAACTTAAGATACAAACCTATGCATGTGCTCTTTGTGACTCACTGTCTTACAAATTGTGTATAAAAATCTTTGATTTGCTGTATAATTTGTTGGTAAAATCTTTGAGGAATCTTTTTGAAACTTAGACACCATTTAAACACTTGGTAGGAAGGATCGTCCCGTCACTGTCTCTGGGTGAGAATCATTCAACATTAAAAAGGACAAATATGAACAATCTCAACAGAAGCATTTTGTTAAACAAACCTAAGATCAGTCAACTTGGTTCTCCACAAATCCTTCAGCATTTCTTCTACAATTAACTTTTTAAAAAAACCTAGTCTCTATCAACATTTCATCATCCACAACGTCACCATCTGAATCTGTTCTCACCAGCATCTCTTTCGTTTTACTCTGAGCAGCCGTCAACTTCAAAAACAGTCAAAACAGTCGCCACTCAGGAGCTTGTAGTCTGTTTTTGAGCTGGGTGTTAAGCCTGCATGTGTAACAGTGTGTGCTTTAGTGTGTCTTTCAACGTTTGTTTGTCTCAGTGACGGGAGTTTGGTCTTGTCAGAGGAAGAGGGGGACCTGATCCAAAGGAGAAAAAAAGAAGAAATATGAAGAAACATTGCGACATATGTGGGTAACACTGAGGTAAATCACTGGTGGTACGATTTCAAGGAAAATTAAGAATATAACCAAAGAAAAGGCGTGAGAACTAACCTGGGGAAGCAAGAAGTGGAGGGCGGGCACTCTTCAACGAAGGAGGGACACCTCTAATCCCATGAGGGCCCCTGGGACCTGGATGGAATGGGGGCACATGGTGGAATAGGGGCCCACGAGGCCCTGGAGGGACACCAAAGGGACTGTGTGAGGGGAGAAGGCCTCTTGAAGCTGAAATTCCTAATGAGGGTCCGGGAGGCCTATGCAAGGACAGCAATGGAGGGGGTTTGGTTTTTGGATAAGAGCCTGAAATGAAAAACAGAAGTCAAGTCTCAATGAGATGATGTCAAACAACACCCCATTACAGGATGAGATGAAGATGACATCTCAGACCACACTGTAGCTTGAATATCTTTGTGCAGGTATGTCAGTGAAATTATGTACATGAAGCAGAACAGAAGAAATATTTCTCACTCTTTTGCAGCCCAACACAACAAAACTAGATCAGTGATTCAGACCAGGGATGTCTGATCCACATTTATTTTACATCCGATCCAATCTCGATAACTGAATTTGGATATCTGCCGATACCATTACTATTCCAATACCAGAGCGCTGTTAGCTTTACCATCATTATTACTTCCGCCAAGGAGGTTATGTTTTGGTAGCGTTGGTTTGTTTGTTTGTCTGTTAGCAACTTTACGGAGAAAGTTACAGACAGATTGACCTGAAATTTTCACCAGAGGTGCGTCTCAGCCCCAGGAGGATCCCATTAAATTTTGGTGGTGATCAAGACAAAATTCTGGATACTGTGATCCAGAACACACAAAAATAAGGGTGTCGTTGGAATTTTCAATGCTGAAAGATAACCAATGGGCGGCACAGTGGTGTAGTGGGTAGCACTGTCGCCTCACAACCAGAAGGTCCTGGGTTCAAATCCGGGTCAGGGCATTTCTTGTTTTAGGAACAAGACGGGCAACAATCATTTGTACAGTCATTTCAGCAGACAAAGTTAAAGCAAAGGCATGACTTATGGAACGGAAATTTTAGCAGGTTGGATCAGAAATTTATGATCCATGAATTACGTTGGTATCGGAACCCAATACTGATACAGGATCGGATCGGCCCCATCCCTAATTCAGACTGTAGTGATTGACTGCCTGACTGCTCTTAGAAGCTCTGACATGCAAGCTTATCTTTACTAATGACTATTTTCAAAGGATCCACAGACACGTGTCATGTCTTTTTGACAGTTTAGGACTTTCTATCTCAAGTTGCTCCACGTTTAGCAAAAAAAAAAATCCCACAAACAAGTTGATTTGAATGATTAAGGTTCATGTCAACGCTTCAGTAACTGCTGCACTCTGACCTGGTGAGGGCAAGAGAGGAGAGGGGGAAGGTGCTGGGTGGTCCATCATAGCTCCCCCTGGTCCTGCTGTGGACTGGGGTTGAGGAGGCCCAGGAGGAGTAGGAAGCAGGGGTGGTGGTTTTCCAAGTCCTGGGGGTAACATGTTACCCCTCTGCCCCTCAGTGTGGGTGGCTGGAAACAAACAACAGAAGCTAAAATTAAAAAGATCCACAATAGACAGAAAAGGTAAGAACCAAAGAGAAGGACAGAGCTGCTCAAAGTCAGCACCAGTCCCAGCAATTTGGGTGTTATAGGAATATTCTGGTGTAAAATCAAGTTATGGTCCAACACACCATAACACTTCCTCGAGAGATCAATGTTGCCGACTGCTTGCTTCTCTAGTTATACCAACTTTAGAAACGACCGCACAACAGCAATACACAGCGGTCTACGTCTCCACTTGCAAACCTCAACCAAAAAGCCACTGTATAGCCAAAATTAATGCTCAGAACAGGGGATAACTTCATCAACAGTACATATAGGGTCCCAGCCATAGTACTAGCCATCAAACATCTTTTTAGCTTTGCCTAATTTCATTAGCAAAGAGACTAGACTAGACTAGATTGCCTTCTCCAGGTCGGAGGGGCGGTCCTGCCTCAAGTGGAGGAGTTCAAGTATCTCGGGATCTTGTTCACGAGTGAGGGTAGGATGGAACGAGAGATTGACCAGCGGATCGGACGCTTAACCGATCAGTCGTGGTGAAGAAAGAGCTGAGCCGCAAGGCGAGACTCTCGATTTACCGGTCTATCTACGTGCCGATCCTCACCTATGGCCATGAACTGTGGGTAATGACCGAAAGAACAAGATCGCGTATACAAGCGGCCGAAATGGGTTTCCTTCGCAGGATGGCCGGGCTCAGCCTTAGAGATAGGGTAAGGAGCTCGGACACTCAGGAGGCGCTCAGAGTAGAACTGCTGCTCTTCCTCTACCAGAGGAGTCAGCTGAGGTGGCTCGGGCATCTGGTTAGGATGCCTTCTGGACGCCTCCCGTTAGAGGTGTTCCAGACATGTCCCACTGGGAGGAGACCTCGTGGCCGGCCCAGGACCAGGTGGAGGGGTTATGTCTCTCGGCTGGCCTGGGAGCGCCTGGGAATCCCCCCTGAGGAACTGGTGGAAGTGGCCGGGGTGAGGGCCGTCTGGGCTTCCCTCCTGAAGCTGCTGCCCCCGCGACCCGGACTCGGATGAAGCGGAAGAAAATGACAACGACGACGACTAAACACAACTCACCTACTCTCTTCCAGCAGCAGCTTGTTTGTGGGGGAGCCCTGACAAGTTGATCACCGAGTGCAGCGGAGTTTCGCAGCTCAAGGAAGAATATTTATGATTATTACTTCATGGAAATGCAATCAGAGTTCTTGTGGGGCAGTTCTTCTGCCTTACCCCCTATTTCCACTGCTTACGGTACGGCAGCGAAAAGCTGTCAGCACTGATCACAGCTGATCATTTCCATTCAAGCTAATATGTCAATTTCCACTGGCTTCTTTCCGTTTCACTGCGGTTCAGCGGACTTTGCAGCCGATCGCCAGAGTTCTATTTTTTTGGATGCTGCAGCATGTCACATAAATTCAGCACAGTTTAACCCGTGCTGGAAAGGAAGTCGGGCACAGACACAAAACGAAACATCTGCTTCTTTTCAAAATAAAACACTACATGTTCAGGCAGATCGTGTTTCACACCATACAAATGGGCAGGGATGAACCAGTGAAAGGTTTTTAGACAGCATTTCACCCCATTGACACCATGGATGAGGAGATGCTGATTTTATAAGTCTAGAAGTAGATTTCCTCCTCTGGAAGGACACAATCTACTGCTTATATGGTTATATGGCTGTCATTATAGAGACAACTCGTTATCATGTGATGGCATGTGAATCTTGTGAGTTCTCGCGATTCCCGCTGTCCAAAATCCGCCACAAATTTGCCACTCAACACATCCGTTTGGAATTGGCGGACAGCAAAAATTGCCTCCGTTCCATAGTGGAGCTATCCCAGATGTGGTGGAAATTGGGGGTTAGTGTCTTGGTCTGATTGCATTTCCATTCGGTGATAATCATCAATTTTCTGCTGCATTCGGTGATCGACTCGTCAGGGCACCCCCACAAACAAGCGGCTGCTGGAGGAGAGTGGGTGAGTTGTATCTAACTCTGTGTTCGGTGTGTTTGACCATTACTTCAATTTAAGCCGGAATATCCCTCTAAATTATAATTAGTGTCCTACCTTGTATGTGCTCTAATCGAGAACGCACATACTCTGAGATGGATTCCAGCTCCTCAGGGTAGAGGTGCACCCCCTCAGCTAACAGCATGAGGAGAGGACGGGTTTCAGAGGGAACAGTATGGCGCTCAATCTTTTCCCTCTCAAGGTAGTCATCCAGTAGCTGTGACGCTTGTGCAGCAAGGTCTGAAGGGTCCCTTTTTGGGCGCTCTTTGACAAGTCCACGACTGTGCTCTGCTGCTACAAAGTCCATGGCCTGGTCTTTGGGCATGTTCCGGTGGACTGGGAGGAGGGAAATGCAAATGTTAATGCTGAAATGCCAGGAGCATGGATTAGAAGAGAGGCAGAACAAGACACACCTAGAAATACCTAGAAACAGCTGTGAAATAAACAGGTTCGCAACAAATTCACTCACTGAAACAAACTTTTGAGATGAGATGGTGGGGTCTGCAAATTCAGCTGATTTGATTGATTCTTTGCTTCGTACAAACTTGATTTAAAACAGTTATTTGAAAATAGTGCAAAGACAACATACCATCAACATTAACATCAACCTTTTTAAAATATATATATACTCATTTGATGCCTGCAACAACTTTGAAAAAAGCTGGGACAGAAACACAACACATTAACAAAGTTGTGCAATATCAATATTAACACCTGGGGGAACTTCTTCAACCTGAATTGAAAAAAGTTTTGGGATTTTATCCCCTTCAGTTCACACATTTTCAAAAGACTCAGAGAATCTGGAGAGATCACTGTTCTGAGAAACAGACACACAACACATGATGGTGGTGATATTTAGTGATTTCCTTTGGTGGCACTGCAGTAAAAGCAGATGTGTTGCTGCTGTGGAAATCCCTGCATGGGCTCAAAATCCACCGTCTGTGACCCCAAAAACTGAACCATGGGAATCATGGACTTTTGTCCTCCGCTCTGAAAAGGACAGCAACTGCCTGGTTTATCATGGGAGGATGGTTCAAAAGCCAGCACCCATGATGGGGTTGTGGATTCAGGAGTGCTCATGGCCTGTTTGGCTGACACATCTGGGGCGCATCAGTAATAACAGAGCAATTAATGCAGGTTTTGGAGGAACATATGTATAGTATATGCCAAACTGCATTCTGCGCATATTACAACAGCATGACTCTGTGGTAGAAGAGTCTGTGTGCTTATCTAGTTTGTCGACAAGTGTAACTCCCCTTTAAATTATGTAGCACATCATGTTCAAAAGATACCACAAAGAAGAAGCTGTTGTTAAGCAACTCACATACTTGATCAGGCGACGATGGGGCAGAGTTTCATTTTCAGAACATCAGACAGTGGGCTCCTTGGTTTCAATAAGTTGACAGCGTGTAGTTTAAAAAAAATGGGTTAAAAGCGATGATGTTTTTTTTTTTTTTTTTACGATGACCTATTTCAGTTTCAACATTTGATAAGTGGTCTTTGCACCATTTTCAATTAAATATAGGATTTATACAAACTATCAGAATCTGTTTTTATAAATGTTTTACACAGCTAAGTGTCTGGAATTAGGATGTACTGTACTTCTTTGTACTCTTCATTTTATTGGAGTGTGTTTGCTAAAGGGGTGGTGGTACATTGATCTTTATTTATCTTTACCTTTCATTAGTTCTTCTTTTAAATGTCTGGATATTAAATGAGTCAGTTGTTCGAAATGCATCTAGTAAAATTCTCTTTTATGATTTAAACATTTAATCATCTCAAGAAAAACATGTTTATCTTTGCTGCAGGATCATGTTGGATTTAATTTGATTCATTTGATTTTGTTTTGTCAATCAGCTGTTTAGTTTTATTGCAGGTTTTTGTTTGTTTGTTTTTGAAGTTGTTGACTCCTACACATAGGAGAATAGCCTTTCAAAAACTCTGTTCCACTGTGTTTGTTGGTGCATGGTATGCGTTTTAAAATAAGGTCAGTGTTGATTGACACAAGATGCTTAAGCAGCAGAATGTAAAATGGTATGTTATTTATTTATTTTTATTTAACCAGGTAAGAAAACCTGGTAATGGCTGTTTATTAATGTCTGTGAGTTTATCAAAGCCTGAGAGACAACTTTTATCATTTTGTTCAAGTAATCTAATGTTATGTGTGATAATAGGATGGGAGGTGAATTCAGCACACAGAAATTAAAAAGGAATGTATCCTTTACTTTAGCTTCGGGGCCTAGTAGTGAAACCTCAACACAGAACTGACTGTTACAAACCTGCTCGGCAAGTTTTTCTTTCCTTTTTTTTCCTTTCAGTTCATTAATTTCGTGAGGTTACGTGTGGTCAAAAATGTGTGTGTTTGAATGACTCTTTGCATATTGTCAACATGGTTAAGTGGCCATAAAAGCATCAGCTGAACTAATTTCATGAAATGTCAATTTGGATGATCTGTAAACAAAGTTTTATTGATATATATGTTGAAAACATAAATAATATGTAATTCAATGTGGCTTATTTTCAGATCAATACATGTTTTGATGTTTGAGTGCAGAATTTGACTGTTTCTTTTCTTTTAGATATGGTGGTGAATGTTTAGTGTTTCCACACTTTGACTGAAAAAAAGGCTTGGAGTTGAACCATTGTTTGTTGTCAGAGGCACTGAAAGAAATCTAGGGTTTTACCTGAGTTTGTCTGGCTGAGTTTGAAGGAATGAGGGGTAGGGACTTACTTTTGAGGGATTCTGAGAATATGATAACAGTGCAGGAGGACAGAGCTATGTTTGTCTGCTCCACCAGAATACATAACGGGGAGCCTTCTGCTCGGACATCCTGCAGGGCCCGGGTCAGGCCCGATTCCGCCTGAAGGTAGAGCATTTCCACTGACAGGCCACGCTCCTGCAAACACTGGCTTAGCGATTTGGGGTAATCCCTTTGAGAGGAAGAGAAACACTTTGTTAACTTCGCATTTTGTGTTAAGTGACTTTGCTGGCATGTAGAGATAGCTGGCATGTGGCTGAGAAGACCAGAGGGTTATTTCTAGAGTCAAAGTATTCTTGCATGCAAAAAGGTCAATGTAAGTCAACAGCCCTACTAAGTTAATGACTGTATGAGCCATCAGGAAGACAATTACAGACATATGTCCATTTTTATTTTTAGATGATTGGGAAGGTTTTGGGATTTTTAAATCATTAATGAAGTGTTGCAGTGCAACAGAGTGTCTTTAAGGCATGCAGGTAAAAGAAAAAGGTCTATTGCATGTGGGGGCCTTGACAGTATTTACTATACATTTGCAGTTAATTATGGTCCTTGTGCCAAAGAAAAAATGTGAAAAAAAAATCTGATGTATCAGAAATTTGCATTGCACATTTTTAAGACCACTCAGCTGAATGGTGTCATTTGATGAAGTGTGGATTAATGTTGGGGTGTGAGTAGGTTGTGCTGCATTTTCTCACTGTCAGCATTTTGTCAGAGCATAATGATCAATACAATTAATTTTACGAAATCATGTGCAGACACAGCTGCCATCAATGGCACAGCCAGCTGGTTATTTGTACAAAGTGTGAATCAGTTCTTAATGTTGTCAGAAATGTATTCTTTATAAGGATGTTTAAGTTGTCGACATATCGGGCATGATGCCTGTAACAGCATTTGGTTTTTCAATTTATAAAGTCCCTTTATAACTGAATGTTTTTCCACTTTTCATTTGGTATGCAAATATGTTGTATGTTTATATTTAGATCAGGATGCATCTGCAAACTCCCAAGTATTTGTGGAATGGTACTTTTAAGTGACATTATTTAAACCCATCAGTTTGTGTATGTAAATGGTGGCACTGATTACATAGCATCAATGTGCAGAAGTGAATCTAATAAGTTTCAGAACAGGTCTGGTGCTTTGAAAAAAAATGCACCTTGAATGAAGTGAATCTACCGCTTGTGGAACTGGTTTTTATCTGTCACCCCTATCTACTGCATAAAAGACACCTGAGGACACCAGGAGCAGTGAGATAAATGGAGAAAGGGGACTTTGAAAGACTCTGGAGAATGGTGACCTGGGTCACACCTCATGCTGTCAGTCAAAAACAAAACAAAGACGGGCCTGCCAGGAATAACCTATCAAACTCATCTGGACAGGCAGAAACATTCCTGACAGCAGCAGATAGCACACAAGATTTCTTTTAAACATTCAGAGAGATAACCCCGGTGTTTTCTTTGTTTATTTAAGACCTAGAGTGAGACCAAGAGTGAGGTGATTTACTTCCTCACTGGACTGCATACTTTCGAAATAGGAGGCCTTTAAGTAAACTTGTGCACGGCTGACTGATTTAGTCAGTCAACCAAACTTGTTCTATTGGCCAACTAGTGGTTAGGGTTAGGTAAGAAACATTAGAGTCAATAGGTGGCACCTATTGACTCTAATGTTACTTACTGAACCCAAACCACACTCACTCATAATGAATAGAAATATCTCTGTATGCAAACATATCTGATGCCTCTCATTCATGTTTGTGCTCAAGAGCTTCAACCTTCTTCAAACTATGGGTCCCTTTGCTGACAGGTCGGGTACAGAGAACGCAAAACTACAGCTTAAGCTGGAGCTGTTTTCAACCCAATCTGGATGATGTGTAAAAGACTATACATGTAAATATCCACAAAACTTGAGTAAAAAAAAAAAAAAAACATTAAGGTTTTGGTGTAAAATCCGATCTAAAAAAGCAGATTTCTCATACAGTGATGGTGCCGTTTTCAACAGGGCCAACCCCACTGATTATGGATCTGGTTTGACATCTATGACATTTCCTCAGCACTTTAAGTATGATAGAGAATGAGAATGAATGTCAACAATGAGTATAGGCTTTAATGATTAAGCCTTTCTACCGAGCTGAAATGTTCAGGGGGAATGGTTGGCCCTGTAAAAAAAGTCACATCTATCAGGCTGGCCTCTCCAAATGGCAGCCTCATCTGGCACACACAAGTTGCAAACAGATCTGCTTTAACTCTTCGTGATCTCCATTTTGATTTGAAATACTCACAGGCACTTGTTGGTGACAGAGAGGACCACACAGTCAGCTGGTTTCCTCTCCTCCTGCACCTGTCGGTAAAACTTCTGATACAGCGCTTTACGTCTGTCCGCTGGAGTGCAGCTCTCTGGCTTGGCTGGAGGAATTGAGAGGAGAGTTAGAAAGTGAGGGCGAAGAGACAGTGAAAGCCATGCAGCTATATGAAAAAGAAAGGTAAAGTCAGATTTAACTCGCAACATTTTAAAAGTAACTTTGATGGAATAGCAGTTACTAGAAGAAATACAAGTTTAAAAAAAAAAAAAGTTAGATACTACGATTTCATGCAGGCCTTACCAGCTGGCTGATGCTTATAGCCCTCATACTTCACGTTTGTGCTGTAGTTTTGTATTTGCTCGAGTTCTTCATAGCTGAAAGAAAAGAAAGGAAACAGAAAGACTCTTTAATGATACATTTTAATGATATTATGTTATATTTTATATTATTATATTATATTTTGATTGACAAAAGCTCACTTATTCACTGAAAGAATTGAGCTGGGCTGACTGATGGTTGCATAGAGCTGAAAACTGAGATGTGAAGTTCAGACCAGACAGAAAATATTCAAGATACATTTTTGAAATATCTTCATGTTTGTCTTTGTCTCATAATGATGTCACCTGTCACATGGGCACAGGCCCCCGTAGAATTTCAGTATGTGTTTGGTCTGTTAGTAATTAGACTGGGACTGGATTTAACAGAGTGCATACTTTGCCATGTTTATTGTTTTGACCTGAACAAAAAAAAAAAAAAAAAAAAAAAACTGAAAAAGGAGCTCTATATGTCAGGAGGTCATCACAACGTACACTACATTAAGTCAGAGGAAACTCATACAGTGTCTGATCAAATCCATAAGAAAAGACAGCAGTGTAACTTTAGTATTTCAATTTAGTTATATAAATTAAAACCAATGTAATCTTGACATTTTTCCTGATTTGATCCTTTGATATGAAACCTCTTTAAGGAGCTACACTTCTCATGCCTTGGGCAACATCTCATTTCTTAACCAGGGTTGCAGCTATGGAGTAAGAGTCAAATGAATGCATCATAAGAGATAATATAGTAATAATAATGATAACATATAAATCTTAAATCGCACCAGTCAAGCTTTCAGCCTCCATAATATTTTCCTCTGCTTTCCTTACACATGTACATGAAAACAAACACACAAACACTGAGACACAAAAATGAGCACAGTTCTTTAGCACTCTCTCCATCTCTGACACACACACACACACACACACACACACACACACACACACACACACACACACACTGATAGCCCTTTCCCTGCTTTGGCGTTTCTTTCATTTTGATGTAATTCTACCTATCACTTGATGCATTGGAGCATGTTGAATTGAAATAGCTTTGCACACTAACAGACTGGCCTGTATAATGTGCCGATGACTGTGAAGCTGATAGTCAGGTACCTGTCCAGGGCATCTTTCAGCTCCTCGGTCCTCTCCTCTCTGCTCGGGTATGGCGCGGCTCTCCGAAACAAACGAAGTTGTTGAGCACTGCAACACACGTGTGTTGAATAGGCTTCATCAAAAATGTTGTCATGTGATCTAACCTTCATGACTACATCGACTATTTGTTTATTAGTTCAGCTCACACTGTGGCTGCCTGCTAGGCGACTGTTAGCTCTTAATGCTAAAACATGACAGTAAACCGTGCAGCTTACCTTCCGTTTGGGTTAGCCTGCTGCTGCCGCCGGGCAGCTGCAGTCGATTTAGCCCAAGACGACATTTCATCTGCGCTGTTACCAAGCCGAGACGAAGCTCTGCCGTGTACCACAGGTGCAAGACAGGAGGTTAACTGTTGATAGATCACCAGCTTTACCTCCCACAACTCTACTTACAGAGAAAAGAGGAGGAGAATCAGCAGGGGGAGAAAGTCGGGGGGGTGGTCCTTTCTCTTCTTTTAATATAAAATTGACTTTTGGTCAACAACACAATGGCGCATTACCGCCACCTGCTGGTATGGAGTGTGGATAAGGCTAGTACTAACTATGTTCAAAATATGAATGAATAAATGAATATTACTTGAGTTTGAAAAGGTAAAATTTTTATTATTGGACAAAGAATATGAAAACATTCATCTTGTGCTTGTTGAAGTATATGTCTATAAAGACAAATTGCAACTCCTTTTCTTCCTAATATCCTTTATCATGTTCTTTTTGCTTCATAGTTCTGACAGTACAAAATAACATGTTCTGTTGTTCATTTTGTAAGCAATAGTTAAATTTGCATGTATTGTGTTTTAGTATCCAACAAGGTGTGCTGTTAAGTCTCTCGTATCCAAACATGTTGGAGTTGTAGCTCTTCTTTACTACTTCACAACAATAATAATAATAATAATTCTTGTAATCAAAGCGCTGTACAGGCAGTAAAAGCAACACAGAGTAAAATACAGAAAAATCATGACACATAACAAAGGTTAAACAAGTGGGTCTTTAGCTTTGCTTCATAAACATCCACAGAGCATACCAGTCTCATTTCTACAGGAAGATCATTCCACAGCTTTGGTGCCCAAAAGGAAATAAGCTTGCTCACCAAAAGTCTTTTTCTTGACCTTAGGTACAAACCAAAACACCAGTCCCCTGAGAACAGAGGATACAGGGAGGTGTATAAATGGTGACAAGATCTTCTAGATAAGAAGGTGCAAGTTCATTAACAATTTCACAAGTAAGTAAAAGCACCTTAAAATCAGCTTGAACCTCACGAGGTAGCCTATGTAGAGAGGCCAGCACCGGGGTAATATGCTCATATTTCCCTGTCCTTGTCAGGATACAAGTAGCCGCGTTTTGCATCATCTGCAAGACCCAAAAACGTTTCTTTGGCAGTCCTGACAGAAGCGCATTACAATAGTCCAGGCGATGTCTTACGAAGAAGGACTCTGCATCTCTGTCAGACAGGATTGGTCCAATCTTAGCAATCTTTCTAAGATATAAACATGCACTTTTGACACCACATTGATGTGTTTGTCAAACACAAAAGTCTGATCAAATAAAACCCCAAGATTTTCCTTAGTCTATACTTCTTTGAACTTCATAGACCAATATGGATAGCATTTAAGGTAATTCTATTTTTGAAGTACAACAGTTGTTGACATAAAGTCTAGCAATGCTTCAACCTTTGGTGGTTGTCACAGATATTTCACAGATGTCCAGTGATCTATTTCTTAATAAACATGAGCATAATACAAAATACACCAGTTGCTCTTTTTGCTTTTTATGTAATAAACTATTTTAAAGTAAATCTTTAACAGCTATGTGCTGTTTGCAAAGTCCATCCTCATGTGCACCTGCTTTCAATACCAATGTGAGTCTACTGTGTCCCAGTCTGAGTCTTGTCATGAGTACAGTGTTCCTTCTGTACTGCCAAAGATAACACCTTTCTCTCTGTATTCCACTTTTTATAGAAATAAATGACAAACCCTTGATTAAAATTTTGACATTACCTTTTATATTTTCCACAATAACATACCAACATTGAGATATCCTGGTAGTACTCTCAAGGCAGTGCCTGTCTTTGGTACCTTTTTGGTCGTTTTTCAAGTCTGTTCCCACATCATGGACAGGCACCCAAAGAAAACTCACTGTTCCCACATCTTGTTTATACAACAATCATCAGCTCCACAACAAAATCTGACCATCCCCTGATAACTAAACTATACTAAAACTAAGGTTGAATCTAGTCCTGTCCTTTTGTGATCCTGCCCTGGGCTGGACTTTCTTTGTATTGCCCACATTATGCTATCGGCTCTGTTGTATACACTCCTTCAAAAATGTGTGAGAGCTTTACAGTTTGATGTTCTGGGCAAAAAAAAAAAAAGCTTTTTTGTGGATCTTGGTCATCATGTTGAATAAATCTGGAGATAATTTCTTACAATGCCCTGTGAAATGTGACATGTTGCCACCTACTGGGCTCCAAGATGTTAAATGAATTAGTACAGTCTTTGAACCCTAATATCATTTTTTATCACACTGTAGAAGTGCTTGTTTCACAATAGCCACCACAACATACAAATTATCAACTCATCCTTCTCAGCCATTCACTGTCATGATTTATGAGCCAAAGTTTTGGGGCGTGCACTGGCCAATAACCATGAATTAATGTTTGTGGTGGATTTTATTGGCTCTTAAATTAACCTGTGTTGATGAATATTCAGTAATGGAGAGCTGAGCTCATTTTATGATTGCAGAACAATGCAAAGCAAAATCAGACTTCACGCTTGTAACTTTCATCTCAAGTTGCAGTTATCCCTCCTGTCAGCATATAAAGACTGGGCAGTTTCAGTCACTTGAGGGCACAATGTGCATTACTGACACCTGGTTCCTTTGTAACCCTTGGACCACTGGAGGATGACATCCAAAAAAAAAAAAAACGTTTTATGGAATATTTGCATGGTTTCTGGGGCCACTTGAGACATGACTTGTTGTGCCCTACTGATATCTGAACACTTGCTTGCAACAATAGACATGTGCAGCAAACTGAAGGATTTTTCTTTACCCCTAAGTTTTTGTGTTCAGAATTTAAAAAGAAAAAAAAAAAAAAAAAAAAAACTTGTTTCTCTAGTTTGAGCAGACTACTACTTATTATGTCGAATGAGTATGGAGATTTTTATGCACATTATTGAGCATAAATAAGGAATGAATCATCATACTTTCCTATTACAGTCACACGTATCCCTCACTGTAACCATTTGTTGTGAAAAGGGTAATATTTTATCAGCATGTATGCTGTCAGTCATCTCATCTGACACCTTATTTGTAGTGGTGGTGTAGGCATTAAAATCATGTTGCAAAAAAGTCTGTTTTCTTTAGTGAGTCATAAAAGGACATTGTTGTTATCTTACACATATTTCGAAACTAGTGAAAAACTTCTCATGGATTTTAAACTTCAATAACCACAGAGACTCTTTGATTTGATTTGTAAATTATTTTTCTTAGAATATTAAGTTAAAGGGCCCGGCCGAAAAAAGAAGAAACAAAAGGCATAACAGGACACTAAACGGTGATAAATAATGTTATTAGATGACTAGATGGCTGTCTGCTCAGGGCAGGTGTCTGCTGCTGACCGTTTATGTCGCGCGGATAAGCTCACGCACTCGTTTCGTTCCGTGAGCGCGCCGTGGTGGTGACAGTCGCCATTTTATTTTGAAAATCAAACTGAACTGGAGGCATAGAGACCCTTCCATTTCGTCAAGTTTATGGTTAGAAACAAGAAGGGATGAACATCTGAATTACTTTCTTGGGAGCACGGTGAGATTTTGAATACATCTAAATACAACTACAGTTAAATGGTTTATCTAAAATCAAACTGTAACCATATTTATTCGGAGGCTTACCGTTAGCAACCAGCGAGGGGTCGTCTATTTGCTGAAAACCAGCTGTCATAATGCTCACAGCAAAAGAGTAAAGACTCGTTATTGTCTTAAGTTAGATATGTTATCTTGAATATAAACGCGTAACTGTTGTAAGACAAAAAAAGAAAGTAGGCTGGTGTAGGTTTTCGCTTTACCACAGGACTGCAAATAGTCGAAGTATCTTTCAAGTTAGCGATTCCGGAGATTACATGGAGCCATTGCAAATAAGCTAACGTTTACAAGGTGAATGCTAACCTTAGCCGACACGATCCCGCAAACACACCACAATACTCGCGGCCTACAGGCTTACGGCCAGGATGTTCTGAACGGGTCGGGAGTCTTGATATTCAACCAAGATCTCATAGCGCAAAATACTTGTCGTACAGTAAACAAAAAGAGAAGAACTGTATCGATGTTTTGCCGATTCATTCACACCAGCTTGAAACGCTCTGGTGTTGCTTAAGTTAGCTTCGTGTACGTGCTACGCTTATAGCATTAGCATGTAGCCTGCAGGGAGTTCATTCGGAAATGCTAGATTTCAGATATGAATCACTTGGCAGGCCTCGACGATAATCAGGTTTGTACTTTGTAAAATAACTCCCAAAAGTATAACAATGATCGGCAAGAATGTGCGAGCGGACTGACGGCCAATGTATATATTGGATACATTATTCAGTGAACATGTTGGCTAATGTCTGAAAGTTATCCGGAGCTAGTGATCACCAGCATCATGGTGAGAGTTATCGAAGCTTGATTTCTATGGTTAACCCACGAGCAAGTCACCAAAGTTGTTTTGAAGTAATAACTCGCAAGAAAAATAAATCAATGCAATTTCTCTTTTGTCTCTGGTGCCGCTGATGATCAGTTGTAGAGAGCTGTTTGAGAGTAACTGTGAGGAAGTGCTAACTGACATTAGCCTGGCTTTGTTTTGCGGGATGAGTAAAATATCTCTTTATACTTGAAATTCTGTGCTAGCTTTCTGTAATACGATGTTTTGGAAGATCATGCTCTCAGTACTTGATGAAATTTGGAGCCAGTTACGTTTGAAAGCCGCATAGAAAGGTTAGCTTTAATGTGTGTGCCTTCTACTAAAGTACAGACGGGGCCTAGTGCGAACTAATCGCACGCCAAGTTTATATAACTCTACCGCGTCTCTGCTAGGAAAGGGTCCAGGACTGCATAGACCCAACTTTTAAAAGCGCAGCTGACCCTTTTTATTAGTTAATACATGCAAGCCAATAAAAGAAACAGTTACACGACTCTTAGTCTACTACGCTTCTGGGCCTCAAGTCTGTTTTTCAGTGTTTTGTACTGTCAGTGGGTTGGAAATGTTGTCCCTCTGAATCAAAGACTGCACAACAAAAAGTTTCGAGGATCTTAGAGAGACTTAAAGGGATATCCCAGTGTAAAATTAATTTAGGGTCAAACACACCGTAACACCGAGTTAGACACCCCCTCGTGAGATGAATGTTACAGACCGCTTGCTTCTCTAGTTATACCAACTTTAGCAAAAACCGCACGATAGCAATACACAGCGGTCTGAGCAGCCATACACAAACCTCAACCAAAACGCCACTCTATAGCCACAAATAATGCTCAGAACAGCACCTTACTTCATCAACAGTACATATAGGGTCCCAGCTATAGTACTAGTCATCAAACATCTTTTTAACTTTGCCTGGTTTCTTTAGCAAAGAGACAAAGACAACGCACCTACTCTCTTCCAGCAGCCGCTTGTTTGTAGCGAGACCTCAGGCCAGTCCATTACGGACTGCTGCGGAGTGATGCTGCTCAAGGAAGAACATTTATGATCATTTCTTCATGGAAATGCAATCCATCCGAGACGCTAAGGTAGAAGAACTATTGCGTCTGCAGTGCAAAATGATTAATATGGTGATTATTACTTCAAGGAAATGATAAAAAAATTATCAAATGTTCTTACTTGAGCTGCGACACCCCGCAGCAGTCTGAGTTCTCACTACAAACAAGCGGCTGCTGGAAGAGAGTAGGTGAGTTTTGTTTAGTCTCTTTGTTAAAGAAACCGGGCAGGGCTAAAAAGATGTTTGATGGCTGGGACCTTATATGTACTGTTGATGAAGTAAGGTGCTGTTCTGAGCATTATTTGTGGCTATAGAGTGACTTTTTGGTTGAGGTTTGTGTGTGGCTCCACAGACCACTGTGTATTGCTATTGTGCGATCATTGCGGAAGGTGGTATACCCAGAGAAGCAAGCGGTCTGCAACATTCATCTCTCGATGGGGTGTCTAACTCTGTGTTACTGTGTGTTTGACCCTACAATAATTTTACGCCGGAATATCCCTTTAATTTGTTGATGACTTTTCATCAGTTATTTCTTTCAAAGAATGTGCTGTGTGTCTTGATGATAATTCTGACCTTTTTGTCATTCTGTCATAGATGCTGAACTTGGTTTTAAACTGAAGGACCCTACTTGGCACTGGTAGCCCTGACCGGAAAACCCATTTGGAAGCCAACATTATTCACACCTTTGGGGGGGGGGAGCTGAAGTAACCTATCACTGAAGTGACTAAAGGGGAATAATGGTGATTTTGCGCCGTGCTCGGCCGCCTGCTTCCGCCCCAACCAGCAATGAATCTTGACTCGCTCTCGCTGGCTTTGTCTCAAATCAGCTATCTGGTGGACAATTTAACGAAGAAAAATTACAGAGCCAGCCAGCAAGAAATACAGCATGTAAGTAGTTGTCCAGAAATCAGACACACTTTAACAACCAGTGAATAAAAATCCATGCAAAGTGCTGTAGAGTGTTTCCTTAGTGCGTGTGTTCTGATATTTTCTCTACTCAGATTGTAAATCGTCACGGTCCTGAGGCAGACAGGCATCTACTACGCTGTCTCTTCTCCCATGTGGATTTCAGTGGCGATGGTAAAAGCAGTGGCAAAGACTTTCACCAGGTAATTTGTGACCAGAGAGAAGTAGATATTCTTCTTTTTTTTTACAGACCACACTAATCTGCTTTGTTTATGAGCACAGTAAACTTTGTTTCATTCTTGATTGTAAAAGACACTGCCTTCTAGATCTATGGTGTTGGTTCACCTCATAACTAGAATTGGATGGGGTCCAAATTTTGATATCCTTAAACCTCCTCCATATTTGACCAGGCATACAGTGTGACTGTAACAAATAGATAGGCCTCCTTCGGCCTGCTTCTTAGGAGCTGACCAAATTATTCATTCATTTATATAGTCCACATGTTGTCACCTTAGAGCTAAAACAAAACTAGCAAAAATATACCTGTCACATTTAGCACATGATATCCACTGATATGGCACTGTCACTTTTGTATTTAGTCATTTCGCTAAACGCCCACTTTACACACAACGCCATGCTCCTGCCTTTCGGTGACATTAAAAAGTATGACAATGAGATAATTACTGTAAATCACCGCCATGCAGAGACTCTTCTCTCTTGCCGTAGTTGCTTTCAGAGCATGTAAAGTTCAAGGTAGTAGACTCCTAATTATTGGATCTCACAAATATGTAAAAGGTTTTTGTTTGTTTACCATAGAAGTCTGTAACTTAGTTTCAGTGTATCTTGCAGTGATACAAGTCTGGCCTTTTCCACTGTTGAGCTCTTGCTTCCATAAACACAAGCACTCACACCCAACTAAGAGCTCTATTTATCACAATCCTCAGATCACAGATATTAATTGATGTTTAGCATCATTCATACACTAACATTGTGTGGTTCTGTGATCAAGCACAAAAACTAAGTAAATATCAACTTACTGTCCTCTGTTTTTAAGCACGCTGACTGTTACTTCACACAAGATCCTGTCTAAAACCAAATTTTTAATATTATTTAACAACTTTCGAAAAACTTCTAACAGAAACAGTGAATGATGGATGAGCAAGAACAAAAGGGAATCCCTCTGCCCACAGGAGGGGAGACAAGTGAGACAAAAAATGAGGACCTCTGTCCTAATCGAACTCAGTTGACCTGGGAAGTGTGTGAACAATGTTAAAAGTGGCTCTAAAACACGCTTAGTGCATACCATGTGCGCTCATCCATGGGTATGGATTTATAATCAGTGAGCAATGATTTGTAAAGGGGTTTAATTTTGTCACTATCACTGTCTCCAGGGATTCCCCTACATGTAATCGATTGTGGCTCACCGCCACAGCAAAATAATCGCCTCACCTTAAAAGTGAGTTGTTTTTTTTTTCTGAGGCGCTACCTTGGACTCAGTGTGTATTAGTATATGCAGTGCTGCACAGCAGGGGCCATGAGTATCAGCGAGTTGTGGTCCTCTCAATCACACAGCAGATTAATTGTGAAATGAATTCCGAGCCAAATTTGCCCTGTCTCAGAATTCACTGTGAGCCCTCCGACACACAAAGGAATAGATACACAAGAGGAGGAGTAAGAGAACAGGTGAAGCAACATCTCACAACATTAAGTTGGCTAATAAACTCAATGGACTCGCATGTAATCAATTATTTCTGCTGATATCCTGAAAATTATGTTTAATCTGCGTGGCATGTCTTTTGATGGTTGTCATGATTAAACAACAGTTAAGCATCTTCGTTTCGGTTTTCACATCACTCTGACGTACGTGTACTCAGGGTGTAGACACCAGGAGTGAACACTGATCCTGTTAGTTTAGCGGTCTATATGTCTGCCCACCGTGTTAACGATCACCATGTCGAGCAGGACGTTATTGCTTCATTAAGCGTTTCTCGGGTGTCTATGATGGTAATGGCACCACAACACTAATCTGTGTTGAAGTACAACAGTCATGGGACACAGCTGTAGATGCTGTGGGCACAGCGGCACGTCCTGTGATGTGACTCTTGCACATGCTCACTATTGCATTCGTTCAATGTTCAGTTTAAAGAGAAAGAAAGACATCAAACGATCCCCTAGAGGCCTAATAATGATTTTAAATAATGATGTTTAATTAAATGGGTGATAAAATTGATAAATTATGAAACTATTTTTTTATATTTGGATTCAAAACCATCCAAGGCCATGAACAGGCAACCATGCATGCAAAAACAGAGCTCGACTTTGCTTGCTTTTCTGGGAGCTTGTATCACATTTGCATGTAACTAACACCAGAGGAAACCACAGATACATCGTTGAGTTGCTGCACCAGTTTCTGCAGTACGAGCAAAGTCAGAGTTTTTCTCTCTGAAATAGTAGAAGTAGTAAGTGAGACATTTTTCTTGCCATTGGGTGATAAAGGTATATCTGTCACAGAGGACACTGAAATCTCTGCAGTTTCACATTAGGAGTCCATTGCCTGGTCACTGATGTAGGAGCTAGTTGAATTTCTAATTTTCTCATTCACATAGCTGTAAAAATAATGATGGTTGTCATATTTAATAAAAAGTCAAAGTATTAAGCAGATTAGAAAGGACAGACTTTACTCCAGTGCATTGAGCATGAGCTGAAACGTTCTCTCTGGTGTTGTCACTGCTTCAGTTGGGCTTTATCTCTTTCAGCTTGATAGCAATGTGTCCTATTTATTTTTAACAATCAGTAGTCCAGTATAAAAAAGGTTGCAGCTTGTAGTAAAGTTGCACAGAAGAACTTAATGTGTTAAGATCAGCTGATTCAAACTTTTGGCTGTTGTCTTTACCCTCAGCTGCTACTTCACAGCCAGGCTTTTCTCCCAGACAGAGAGGCCCATGATGAAAAATAAAGAGACCTTCATTTTTTTCTAACACAGGGTACATACAACCCCATTCTCTGCAGTGAACTGTATGTAACACTTTGGAAACTGATCACTTTAACATTTAGCAGAGTTTAAGTCCTATGATTATATTTTCTGTGATACCTGGTGCTTACTCTCTCCACTTGACTAAATCTATGAAATAAGAATAAGAATAACTTTATTCATCCCCGAAGGGAAATTCAATTGTCTGTTGTCTCACATAATATAAAATACAATCATTTGGAGGAGTTGTATAGGAGTTGTACATATTTACTGTATATATTTATTTTTTTACTCCTGCACAGTTTAAGTTTAGCAAATCAGTTACAAGGAAAAGAGTTTGGGAACTCTGTCAGCTTGCACTCTTAGGCCACCGTGAGCAACTTCAAGAATCAGAAAATGTCCCTGTGGCCAGTTAAAGGACTTTCACATCTCACTTTTGGATTTTGTGCCCACTTTTCCCGGCATAACACCTCTAGCCCAGAAGCAGAAACTGAGAGTTCAGAGTCTAGATACTATAGCGGTAATTCTTTACCGTTAATCTTAATGTCCCTGAGGAGCTTCATGGCTGATATATCAAAGTATGAGCAGGATCATTCAAACTCTTTTCATGTTCAGTATCAGGACTGACCCTGTCATGAGATAGACAATTCTTCCTATCAGCTGTGTAACGGTTCCTGCACCTTCAGCTGCCATAAAGCATCAATGAGCCCCCTCTAATGTTCAGCAGTAAAGATTTTTGAAAGAAAGACCAATATTATTTTGTCACATTTTTATATTGGTAAACTTGATGTTTTTTCTAGTGTGTGAGTTTGTTATTGTTTGATATTTAGACTTCGTAGAGGCCCACTGTCTTACCTTGTTCTTCACCTGCCTCTTTTTTTCTTCTCTTTCTTCTTTTCCTCGGTATGTTTTGCTTGTCAACTTGCCCAAGACACAGTTTCTGATCCAGGAGTGCGTGTCGCTGATATCAAAGCCAAACTTTATCTCTACTCTCTGTTACGCCATTGACAATCCCCTGCATTACCAGAAGGTAAGAAGTAGATGCCACTATTTCAGAATGAAGTATTCCGAATGCACTGTATGTCACTCAAAAATGAATGATTCTTTGCACAAAGAGCAAACAAGAAAACAAAGTAGTGGGTGCAAAACACAAGTCATGAACAAGAAATCAAATCACTTGGACATGTTACAATATGACAAAAAGTTTTGTATTCATGGTGTTTTATATCTTGAACTGTCTTTCAGAGTTTGAAGCCATCGGCCCATCTTTTTACTCAACTTAGTAAAGTTCTCAAACTCAGCAAGGTCCAAGAGGTAAGTCACTAATGCAGTTTCAGTACTGACCAATCAGAATCCTATGTTTTACATCCAAGACAGGACTTGCTTTTGAAAGTAGAACACATCCATTGTAGGCCCAAGAATCACAGTTTTTGACCCTTTAAATTGTGCCCTAGACTCAGAAAAAGGCAAAAACACGAGAGATTAGGTTGAAATTGATTTCATATCACTTTATTTTCCAGGTGATATTTGGCCTTGCTTTGCTCAACTCCAGCAACACAGACCTTCGAGGTTTTGGTAAGTTAAGAAGCTTGACATTAATAACCTCATTGCTGACATCATGTGAGGCCTTTACTTGCGGTTGTCCAGATGTTGGCTTTAAAATGATTAGAAGTGAACACAACGTTGGTCCTCTTTGACACTGAACAGATATTCTGTCAATAGATCAGTTTTTTTTTTCTATTAAAAAAAGTTTGGTGGCCCTGATTGCAAAGCCCTGTTATTGATGTGAATTTTTATCATTATGACAGAAATCAGCACAGTTCATACGAATATCTAGTTTTTCAGTCAAAAACGTGAAGAGGTTGCTGTAAGGAAACATACATTTAAAAAAATCCATCCATTTATATTTTTTAAAAGTAAAACTGTGCTTAAAAATGACAACAAAAGCCTGCTGTGAAAACTACAGTTAACTTCAACAAGCAAGATGACTGCAGACAAAGCAACAGAGACCTGAGCTAAAGATCACCTTGAAAAGGATTCCCCACCTTTAGGTGTCCCCACACCCTGTTTCAGGCTACCACAGATAGCATTATAAAAACATCACCACCACCTCCTACTTGCTTGAATATTCCTTCAGCAGTCACACGTTGGCTCATCTCGACTTTTACAGAAATTTTGCGAGTTACCTTGCAGCAAAGTCCGGGTCAAAGCCCAGTGAAAATCTTGGTTAATGCGTGCACCCCCTTGAACTTTCTGCAGGTTTGATTTAAAACCCCGTTTAATTGAATTCATGGTCTGCATCCGACTGTTTGGAGCGTCTCTCTCTGCAGACATCCTCACTGCAGGAGGTCTGTGTGTGCGTGCAGCTGCGCCGTCATGAGAATAAACATGCTACAGGCCCACTGTTCTCACAGGCTTTAGGTTAAAATGACCTTTGTTCACCTTTCCTCTAGTTGCTGTCTGTGAACAGGTCTTCTTGTGTTACTGTCTCATCCTGATCAGATGGAGGGTGATGACGGCACAGTTAACGTTGTACCAATAAATAAATAAATACCAGCAGAGCCCTCCACTTCGTTTCATTCAAACAGTCACATAAGTATCAATAGAATAAAGTGCAGTCCCCATGAAAATACATGGTCTGAGTCAGTTTTTGTAGGATCAGCAGTATTTCCTCCTCTCTCATCTTCACCTGCTACTGGTAGAGCTTCTTCACTTGTAAATGTAGTGAGGAGTGCTACTCCACATGTTACATTGCAGCACCACCAATAAGGGGTGAGCAATATGGAAAAACTCATATTCTAGTGAAAACACAGATTGATGGAATATATGGTGAATTGCGGGGGAAGAGTTAAGTGTTGTACAGAATGGTACATGTGCAGGAAAAATGAATTGGCTTTTATTGACAAAATAATATGCATTACTAACTCTTTTTTTTTTTTTTATTGCTCCTATCAGCTGCGCAGTTCATAAAGCAGAAACTTCCAGATCTCCTACGGTCATACGTCGACGCAGATCTTGGAGGAAACCAGGAAGGTGGCTTCCAAGACATTGCCATAGAGGTCTTGCACCTACTGCTCTCCCATCTACTGTTTGGCCAGAAGGGAGCCAGTGGGGTCGGGCAAGAGCAGATCGACGCCTTCCTCAAAACACTTTGCCGAGGTAGAGGGATTAACACGAATTTGGTTAACCATCTGGCTGATCCTTGAGCATAGAAATAAAAACAGTAAATGTCTTTTTCAGAATTGATAGAAACTGTCTAAAATTTCCCACCAAAACAGTTGACAGTGTTGCTGCGCTACATTTGTTTTTCTGACCATGTGATGTGTTCCAGATTTCCCCCAGGAGCGCTGCCCTGTGGTGCTCGCACCACTGCTGTACCCTGAAAAACGGGACATTCTCATGGACAGGATTCTGCCAGACTCGGGGGAGTTAGCTAAGACCATGATGGAGAGTTCTCTTGCAGAATTCATGCAAGAAGTTGGTTATGGCTTCTGTGCAAAGTAAGTGATTTCTCTTTGACATATTCACATAGATTTAATTTCGAAAACGCTCTTGTTTGATGACAAGTCTGAAGCTGTGTTTTTAGAAACATGGTTGAAAGTACAAACCTTGGTGTCATCCTGTGTGTCCTCTCAGTTTGGATGAGTGCAGAAACATAATCATCCAGTATGGGGTGAGAGAGGTGACAGCCAGCCAGGTTGCCAGGGTTCTTGGCATGATGGCTCGTACGCACTCTGGCCTAACCGACGGTATCCCACTACAGGTACGCAACACTGTAAATGTATGCATTCTGAAAGCATGACAGAAATTTAAAAAGCTGAAATGGTTTGTAGAGTTCAGGAAAAAAGTGTGTGAATTGAAATGGGTTGTTTGCAGTGTGAGTTTGTAACTGTTGCTCACACTTACTTTGACATTAGAATATTGTTCCATGTTGATTATGTACATGCTTTCTTCTTTGTCAGTGTCAGTGACCTTTCTTTTCTTTGCTGCTCTATGTCACAGTCCATCTCCGCTCCAGGAAGTGGCATCTGGAGTGATGGTAAGGATAAGAACGACGGTTCGCAGGCTCACACGTGGAATGTTGAAGTTCTCATCGACGTTGTGAAGGAGGTGGTGAGTGAATCTTGTCCTGAACTTGAACAGTTGGTTTGTGTATCATTTTGAATACGAGAATTGAAAATCAATCATTACACCAGCACAGTTCTAATGAAAACCTGGATTGTCCCAGTTTGTCTTGCTGTGAGGTCTTTGGGCATGTACTGTATGTCATCACTGTGGAATTGCAGTTGGTCAAATCTTGCACTAGTACTCAGGCTAACAAATTACTATCTTATACTGAAAAAGAAACTTTATTTTGTTTACCTTCAAAAGTTTTTATTTTTATGTTTCTTTTGCTGTAGAATCCCAACCTGAACTTCAAAGAGGTGACCTACGAGCTCGACCACCCAGGCTTTGTAATCCGGGACAGTAAAGGCCTGCATATAGTGGTGTATGGCATTCAGAGAGGGCTGGGCATGGAAGTTTTTCCTGTCGATCTCATCTATCGGCCATGGAAACACGCTGAGGGACAGGTAATTTAACAGCATCTGCTCCATCAGGATGATGTGACTTCAAAAAGGTTTTGTTGTAGTAGCAAACTAAATTTGAACTAAACACGAGACTAACTAAAAGGTTAAAAGCCCGAGAATACTGAGTCCATATAGGAACGCATTTGTGTGTTGAGCCGTGGTTCAGTTAATAAGACTCAATCATTGTTTTCTCTGTCTGAATCTGTCTTTCTTTGCTCTTTCTGTTCTCAGTTGTCATTTATTCAGCACTCTCTCATGAGTCCAGAAGTATTCTGCTTCGCTGACTACCCTTGCCACACTGTGGCCATTGACATCCTGAAGGCCCCACCAGAGGATGACAATAGGGAGATTGCCACCTGGTATGGAGTTTGTTTCTTCCACAAAATTGAAACAGTCACTTTCTTGTCTCCTCACTCAGTGGAGTTTTGGAGAATGAAGGGCTTGTTTAAAAACAGATTTCATTCATTTGTGTACTCTTCTGTGGCCATCGATTGATTATATTTACCAGTTAAACTATAAAGTTGATGAAACCTTTTCAAATGTGTAGACTGTGCATTTCCTCGAGCATCTTAAGATCCTAACAGGACAGGTCTTTTTAGACAGAGGCAAAAAATGTCGATGTCACATGTTCAATTAGGAGAGAGTCCTTATCTCCTGATCTGCTTATGTCTTATCTCCAAAAACAGGCTGCTCAGTTCTCTTTAAGTGGCTTGATAATTTTAGTACATGACCTCAAGATAAACTACAGTGTGCCGTAAGGTTTTCCTCAAGTTAATGGCAACTAAAACAACCTGCAATAGAAGACAGAGAACAGGGTACATCTGTCAAAGTAAGCACATTTTGTGACGTTGAATGATAAGGGCTTATAGTTATATTTTGTCTTTCTAGTCATATTTCTGACAAACCATCTGATAATAAATGTCAAACATAAATGATCTCTTGCCCATTGACAACAAATAAAAAAAACAACTTATTTGGCAAACTGAATGTCACTCAGTAAAAGTGTACAGGTGAGTTTACAGCTTGCTGTGTACAGTGTGTCTGACCCTCCCCTCGACTTTTTCACAGGAAAAGTCTGGACCTGGTGGAGAGTCTGCTCAGGCTGTCTGAAGTGGGTCAGTATGAGCAGGTGAAGCAGCTTTTTGGCTTCCCCATCAAGCACTGTCCGGACATGTTGGTGCTGGCGTTGCTGCAGATCTCCACCTCCTGGCACACGCTGCGCCACGAGCTCATCTCAACCCTAATGCCCATCTTTCTGGGCAACCACCCAAACTCTGCCATTATCCTGCATTATGCCTGGCACGGACAGGTGGGTGTAATGGATAAATGTTGGAGGTTATTAAGTTTAGTGATCATGGTTTCCTCGTGAACTGATTAATTTTATGTTGATATCTTCGTTATTTATTGAGTTGTGATCTTAATGTCTGTTAATGGTTATTTTTCTAGGGACAGTCTCCTTCAATCCGTCAGTTGATTATGCATTCAATGGCTGAGTGGTACATGAGGGGGGAGCAGTATGATCAGGCGAAGCTTTCACGCATCCTTGATGTAGCCCAGGACCTAAAGGTATGCCAGATTATACTAACCCTTGCCTCCAGATACCTTTAAGCAAAGTACTACAGTGAGGTTCTGCTTTTGGACCACCTGACTTAAGTTTATTTGTTGCCCTATGTTCTGTTCTGTTGTAAATGTGGGCATTTTAGAGATTTATGGCCAAGTGTCAATTTTCAAAAAGACATGGTTTTGATGATGTTCACATTTGAAATACGTCTTTTTTTCCCCCCACAGTCTCTGTCAATGTTGCTGAATGGTACTCCATTTGCCTTTGTTATTGACCTTGCTGCACTTGCCTCTCGCCGTGAATACCTCAAACTTGATAAATGGCTGACTGACAAAATCAGAGAGCACGGGGTAAGACATTCACATCAAGGGTTAATGATTTTTCACCGAGCCTTCTACCTTGTGTTGTGTTTCACAATCATTTGTTGTGTTGTGTCAGGAACCTTTCATACAGGCCTGTGTGACATTCCTGAAGAGGCGTTGCCCATCTATTATGGGAGGCCTGGCCCCAGACAAGGACCAGCCCAAAAGTGCTCAGCTCCCTCCGGAGACCTTGGCCACCATGCTGGCCTGCCTGCAGTCCTGTGCTGGGTGAGGGCTTTCTGTCATAATGTCTGTTCACTGGTATTTAATGTCCGATATTGTCAGTTATACTCAAAGTGATGCTTCAGGGGGACACATTTAGCTCAGAGGTTAGGCACACACCCTAGATACAGAGGCCTCTTCGCGTCTTGTCATTGCCCCCTTTGTCTTCACTCTCACTCCATTTAATTTGATCACTTTTTCCACAGGAGCGTGTCCCAGGAGGTGTCAGAGACTATCTTGACCATGGTTGCCAACTGCAGCAATGTAATGAATAAAGCCCGGCAGCCGCCACCAGGGGTAATGCCAAAAGGCCGTGCCCCCAGCACCAGCAGCCTAGATGCCATCTCTCCTGTCCAGGTCATTATACATCAATACTTGTCCAATAGTCATATAATTTAAAGTTGTAGTTGATACTTTTAGTTGTTTCACCATCAACATCATCTTGAACTTTGGACTCTTCTTGCACTGAACTCTCTCCATCTTGACCTCATTCTTTGTTGCTTTTTCTTTGTCTCGTTCTTTTCTAGATGGATCCTCTTTCAGGCATGGGTTCCTTGAACCTTGGTGGCACAGCCACCTCCCATACTCAAAGCATGCAGGGTTTCCCAACCTCCCTAAGTTCAGCTTTCAGTAATCCCCAATCCCCAGCAAAGGCTTTCCCACCACTTTCCAACCCCAACCCCAGCACACCATTTGGGGGCATAGGCAGCCTGTCCTCTCAGCTTCCTGGTATGGACTCTGGTACTACACAATTTTATTCTTCTTCTCCATTACGTAGCTCTCACTTAATTTAGCAAGACAAAATTTATGTGTGAAACCAGACACAGACATTTTATTGTTCGCATGGTGCTAAAAGTAGATTTCAATTATGCACACTAAAGAATCAGGAAAAGTACAGAATGGTTTGGGATACATGATCAATACGTTGAGAAAATGAGAAAATCAAGTCACAGAATAACATTTTTGTAAGAGATGGCTTTCCAGTTGAATCACTCGCCTCATCTAGAAAACAAAGGAGAGTAGTTCAGGCTGATACAGGAACAGGACTTAAAATGACTGAAGTACTTTGTCACCTCCAGGTCCCTTGGGCTCAGGCATTGGCTCGGGTATTGGAAGTGGTCTGGGGATGCCAGCCGTCAACACCGATCCTTTTGGCACGAGGAAGATGAGCACACCGGGCCTGAACCCGCCTACCTTTCAGCAGAGTAAGATGAAGGCCTGTAAGTGGTGGTGGTATTGGTGTGACTGAGAGCCCCGCCCTGCGCTGCTCAGCACTGTATTTCCTCTGCAGAAGAAATTATATCAACCTGATCAACACATTTATTTAAGATGCACTTCAGTGTGCCTAATTGATGGTGCATTTTATTAGTGTCACTTGATTTTGAAAAAGACAACTATCAAAGACCTCGTGGAAGTCTTTAGAAAAATATGACTGTCATACATGCTTTCCTTGGTATGAAATGTCAACTGTTGATACATAGTAAACAACAGAGGAAATACAGATCAGTCTTCCATTCCTTGTCTGCTTTTGCTGACAGCCCCACTTTAGAGTCATTTCTACACTTTTAAAGCTTCTAAAGCTTCAGGTCTAACCTGACCTAATCAGCTCGAATGCTTTTTGATTCCCAATCTTTTACTTGATTGAACATTGAGTATAATGAAATTCTGAATCACTGGGCTTATGCTGCACCAGTGTTGGACTACAATGAAGTAACTGACAGTTAGTGTTATGTGTCTTTTTTTTGTTGTTGTTGTCTTTCAGCTGACCTTTCTCAGGTGTGGCCAGAGGCAAACCAGCACTTTAGTAAGGAGATAGACGATGAAGCAAACAGTTATTTTCAGCGGATCTACAACCACCCACCTCACCCAACCATGTCTGTAGATGAAGTATGTAGTGGCATTATTCATTATCTTTACCTGTTATCACACTAACTATCAAAGACATGCTCATGCTTTCGGTGAACTACCAATTAGCAAGAAATTTCATGCTACAGAGATGTTCCTGCTCTTTGCAAAGTCATGCTAACCTAACCCCCCTTCTGATAGGTACTGGAGATGCTTCAGAGGTTCAAGGACTCAACCATCAAGCGTGAGCGGGAGGTGTTCAATTGCATGCTGAGGAACTTGTTTGAGGAGTACAGATTCTTCCCACAGTACCCAGACAAGGAGCTGCACATCACAGCCTGCCTTTTTGGCGGCATTATTGAGAAGGGACTTGTGACCTACATGGCCCTGGGTTTGGCCCTCCGATATGTTCTTGAAGCCTTAAGAAAACCCTACGGATCCAAGATGTATTATTTTGGAATCGCTGCCCTAGATAGGTTTAAAAACAGGTATTTGAGTGTTGTTTGGTAAAATATGCTCTTGTTTAACTATTAGTTTTTTTTTTTACTAACATGCCATTTATGCCGCCAGACTGAAAGACTACCCTCAATATTGTCAACATCTGGCTTCAATTGCCCACTTCTTGCAATTCCCCCACCATTTACAAGAGGTAATCAGGTTTCCTTAATTTACCTCTTCTGAAGTCTTTTGTTTCTGTCATTACTGGGCTAAAGGAAGAGAGCCCTTCATACAGAATTAAAAAGTAAATCTCTCGCTCTGTACTTTTCAATATCCTGTGTGTACAGTATATCGAGTATGGCCAACAGTCACGGGACCCTCCGGTGAAGATGCAGGGTTCCATCACCACTCCTGGAAGTCTGGCATTAGCACACGTACAAGCCCAGTCTCAATCTGGTGGACCCAAAGCCTCGCAGACAGGTCAACCCAGCACCCTCGTCACCACCACCACCACCACAACTACAGTGGCGAAGACCACCACCATCACAAGACCAACACCCAGCAGCTTCAAGAAGGATGTACCTGTGAGGATGGCGTTCTTGATGCTTGAACATCCTATTGCATGCTTTTTCAATTTTGTCCATGTTTTTTCATTGTGCATGTGCAGTGTTTCAAAGATTTTTGTTGTTGTTCCTGTCTGCAGCCCTCCATCAACACAACCAACATTGACACCCTGCTGGTGGCCACTGACCAAACAGAAAGGATTGTAGAGCCTCCAGAGAATGTTCAGGAGAAGATCGCCTTTATTTTCAACAACCTCTCTCAGTCCAACATGACACAGAAGGTAAAGTGAACCACAAACTCGGCTACATCTCAAATCATAGTAGTCAACACTCTTTTAAAAACATGTCTTTTTTTTCAGGTTGAGGAGTTGAAAGAGACAGTAAAGGAAGAATTCATGCCCTGGGTGTCCCAGTACCTGGTAATGAAGCGTGTCAGCATTGAGCCCAACTTCCACAGTCTCTATTCCAACTTTCTGGATACTCTGAAGAACCCTGAGTTTGTCAAGATGGTCCTCAATGAGACATACAGGAATATAAAGGTACAAAAGCTCCTGAAACTATTCAGTCCTTTAGTTTTTTCTGCCAACAAAAACTTTGAAGTGCTGCGAAAGACTGTTCATGACTCTGAAAATGCTTACCTTCCCCGTTTTCTCCCCTCTTTTAATTTCTGTCAGGTTCTTTTGACCTCTGACAAGGCAGCTGCAAATTTCTCTGATCGCTCCCTGCTGAAGAACCTTGGTCACTGGTTGGGCATGATTACACTGGCCAAAAACAAGCCCATCCTTTATACAGTAAGAGAATCTACCAAGATTTTTGGATTTGTTTTTCCATTAAGTTGTGAGTCAGCTGCCAACTTGACACTGGTTAAAATGTGTGTCTTTTATTACCAGGATCTGGAAGTTAAATCTCTGCTATTGGAGGCTTATGTGAAAGGCCAGCAGGAGCTTCTGTATGTTGTTCCCTTTGTAGCTAAAGTTTTGGAGTCAAGTCTACGCAGCATGGTGAGTAAAGTAGATGTAGTAAAGACCTCATAGGTATTAATGATGCATCACACTTCATTTTTCAAAAAAAAAAAAAAAAAAATTGTGGAAAAGGGTTTGAGCTCATCTGGGTTATTTTTGGTTCATCATCGTCTCTCATTATGTGTCTGACAATGCAGGTTTTCAGGCCCCAGAACCCTTGGACCATGGCCATAATGAATGTTCTTGCTGAACTGCACCAGGAGCATGACCTCAAGGTAACTCATTATTCTCCAGTTAAAGCCTCTTACACACACTGTAGCTCTTTGAAAACACTTGGATTAAAACCATACAGTGATCTTTGTTTCATACCAAAATGTTGTCCGTATTTTTGTGAATGTTCATATTGTCCTGCATTCTTTTATACTTTTCTTTTCTCTACCTTCATGTTTCAGCCATTACATAAAAAAAACACAAGTACAGAAATCTTTATGAAATTTTGAAATGAATGAAATTGCTCACATTGTTTTCTGTTTACTACAGCTGAACCTCAAATTTGAGATTGAAGTTCTGTGCAAAAACTTGTCTCTGGACATCAATGACCTCAAGCCAGGGAACTTGCTGAAGGACAAAGAGAAGCTGAAGACTCTGGAGGAGCAGCTGTCTGCACCAAAGAAGGAGACAAAGCCTCCAGAGGAGATGTTGCCAGTTTCTACCACAGGTGGATGCTACTTTCTTTTCCTTTTGCTGCATGTTGCTTTTTTAAATTTTCTGTATGTGAACATGCTGTAACTCTCAGGCCAGACACAAAAAAGAAGCTTCATATCGGCTTAACATCATTTGTCATCATTTTTGATATTGGTATTAGATCATAGGTTAGAGAGCAAAATTGATGAAAGGAACAAATCAGGTGCAGTTTATTATTAAGGTAGTCTTTGAAACCCTGACCTGAATCAGAAAATAACAAATCAATATGTGAAAAAGCTGGAATGATTATTATTACATAAATTTGACAATGACTCTCCTCTTAGTTTTGTCAGATTTAACTTTTATTTTTTATCTTTCTAAATTCTCAAAGTACTTGTTCTTGTTTTCTACATACTCCATCCACTGTTTGTGTTGCTTGTTTACTTTAAATCCTCAATTAAAGACCAATATTTAGTTTGCAGCCAGGATCCTAATAATAACCAAAATCATGAGCTTGATGGGTGATCAAAGGACAGCATTCAGCTAACTACCAGAACAGATTCACATTTATTATAAAGAAAATGGAAATAAAGGAAACAACTCAGCAGTCAGTTCATGTTCAGTGGTAGTGAACCACAGGTCATCTCCATGCTGTTTGTAGCTTTTTTGTTTTTGTTGTGATTGAGTTTACCTTTGTGCTCTGTGAATAGTGCAATGTCTTTTTGGCCGGAGTTGGCAAATATGACCCTCACTTTGTGTATAATATAAACAGATATCATTCTCAGACTGACAGGGTTCCTACGCAAGTATGGAAATAAATTTGATCAATTTCCAGGTCTTAAAAAGTACGGAATGAAAAATTACCACAGTTCTAAAATACTGTTTTCTAAAATAAAAAAGGAGTTATTTCCAAAAAATAATTCTGAAAAGTAAGGTATGGAAAATCCAACTGTGTAGGATCCCTGGACTTAGAGAATTGGATATAAAGGCCTGCCTCTAATAAAAGCCTGCTCTATATACAGGCCTGGTACCCGAGGCAGTAAAAACAAATAAAAGGCCTGTCCTGTATTTGAGGATTTACGGTACTTTACGGTAAAGCTATGTATTCATATATGTTGCTTGTTAGTTTGCCTGCTTTCTGCTTATGTTGTCTGTCAAGTTTGTTTTGTCTGTGATTTTAATCCAATTAGCGTTTTGTGACCAACAGGAGACTTTGTTCCATTTGCAGCGCCTCCAACAACCCCAGCTGCAACCACCACCACTTGCACAACCACTGGGCCCCCCACCCCACAGTTCAGCTACCATGACATCAATGTTTATGCCCTGGCAGGCCTTGCCCCCCACATCAATATCAATGTTAATGTGAGTATTGATGGGATGCAAACCACTTACACAGAAGTGTAGTCTCTCTTTTGAAGTCACTAGAATACTATTTGTTTTGCTAATCCTTTAGTTTGAAAGGTTGTTTCCTCTCTCATCTTTTCTGCCATGCTTCCATCATCAGATCCCCCTGCTTCAGGCCCATCCTCAGTTGAAGCAGTGCGTACGACAGTCAGTAGAGCGAGCTGTCCAGGAGCTAGTTCACCCTGTGGTTGACCGCTCCATCAAAATTGCAATGACAACCTGTGAGCAGATCATCAGGAAGGACTTTGCTCTGGATTCTGAGGAGTCCCGTATGCGTGTGGCTGCCCACCATATGATGAGAAATCTGACTGCTGGCATGGCAATGATCACCTGCCGGGAGCCTCTGCTAATGAGCATCGCCACCAACCTGAAAAACAGCTTTGCTGCTGCACTTAGGGTGAGCTGAATGCTTAGATTTGGGATTAAAGCTTTACATGTTGGATATTTGGAGGTATGAGCTTTGTCATACACTTTGTGTAGTCCTTGTTTTTTTTAACTTGTGGTCTTCATTCCTCCAGGCACCAACCCCTCAACAGAGGGAGATGATGGAAGAGGCTGCTGCCAGGATTGCCCAAGACAACTGTGAATTGGCGTGCTGTTTTATTCAGAAAACAGCTGTGGAGAAGGCTGGTCCTGAAATGGACAAGAGACTTGCCACGGTGAGACTGTGCAGACAGAAATGTGTTTCCTGTGAACAGAAAGTGGCTAGTGTCATATTCACATAAAAAAAAAAAAGTATGATATAAAATCCACAACTTGTGGTGGACCTCAGAAAGTATTGCAGTGAAAAACAAGATTTCATCTTAGTGAAAGTGATAACTACTACGATATAACATAACAATTTGCCATTTGACTTGAAATCAAGTAGGAAAGCACAAATTTGGTGGTAAGCTGCTCAGTTAGCATGCATGTAGCTGTTTAAAAGTGAAATTGTTGGTTTGTTATTCATTTATATTTCTCTCCTTTTGCGTTTTTCTTAAATACTTTGTTGATACATTATTGAGAAGCAAAAAAGTCAGCATTTTAATAGAGTCTCTGCTTTTCCAGGAATTTGAGCTGAGAAAGCATGCACGTCAGGAGGGCCGTCGCTACTGTGATCCTGTAGTTCTGACTTACCAGGCTGAGCGTATGCCTGAGCAGATCAGACTCAAGGTGAGATCTCTGTGCAATTCAGTAAACTGAGGAAAAAATGCTGGAACTGTTCACATGATGGTCTGCCCCACATAATTTCTAATTATTCAACCTACTTGACTTTGTGCAAAGTCTGTGTAATCAGTTTGTTAGGTAGAAAGTGCATGTTTGAATTTTCTGTGTCTTTATGTATTGTAGGTGGGAGGCGTGGACCCCAAACAACTGGCTGTATATGAGGAGTTTGCAAGGAACGTTCCAGGCTTCTTACCCAGTAATGATCTCTCTCAGCCCACCGGCTTCTTGGCTCAGCCCATGAAGGTACATTTTTTAACTGTCTTGAAGGCAAATTCAAGACAGTATGAGTTATAATTTTATTAATTTAAAATGATTATTTCCTCGTTTGCAACAATCTACCTAGAGCAAAAAGATCACTCACCGTCATTGCTTTTCATTTTATAACCCAGTGTGTAAAGAGTTCAAACAGGACAGAACTCAAGTGTTTTTTAATAGTCGGGACTGGAGCATGTAGAAAAGTTTGTAACCCACAGACCTTGATTCTATCTCTCTGAATTTCTGATTACAGCAACAGGCCTGGGCAACCGATGATGTGGCTCAGATCTATGATAAGTGTATGGCAGACTTGGAGCAACATCTTCACGCCATCCCTCCAGCTCTCGCCATGAACCCACTGACCCAGGCTCTGCGCAGCCTTCTTGAAGCTGTGGTTTTGGCCCGAAACTCCAGAGATGGCATTGCTGCACTTGGTCTGCTGCAGAAGGTAAGGCCCTGTAGAAGCTAAACAGAGAATGACGTGAGAGCTGGGTTCTTCAGCTTATGCTCACCTGAGCTTTTTTTGTCTTTAACCAAGGCTGTGGAGGGTCTTCTTGATGCTACTAGTGGGGCTGATGCCGACTTGCTGCTGCGCTACAGAGAGTGCCATCTGCTGGTGCTTAAAGCTCTTCAAGATGGACGTGCCTATGGACCACAATGGTGCAATAAGCAGATCACCAGGTGAGGAGATATTTATAAACTAACCATTCTTCACATAATCCCTAATTTCTTTGTTGTTTGGCTGCAAGTGAATCATTGCAACAGAACTATTTCTGAATTGGATGGTTGTTAAAGCTGAGTTTCCCCTGTAGCAGATGGCAATGATGGAAAGCAATGACCTACAAATGTGATTTGATGTTTTCTTTCTTTTTTTCTTCTTGTGCAGGTGTCTGATTGAATGCCGGGATGAGTACAAATACAACGTGGAGGCAGTTGAGCTTCTGATTAGGAACCATCTGGTGAATATGCAGCAGTACGACCTGCATCTGGCACAGGTACACATTGTAGTCAGTAATACATTTTTCTACTAAATGAAGTCTTTAGGGGGATTTTGTCATGACTGAAGCATGTGGTTTGATGTGCAGTTGAGGCTAAAGTCTTCTGAGTTAAAAGAAAGTGACCGGTGTTGAGGTACGTAATGTGAGGAGTATCAGAACATGCCTAATGTGCATTATTTTGATTCCAGTCAATGGAAAATGGACTGCACTACATGGCAGTTGCTTTTGCCATGCAACTGGTGAAGCTGCTTCTGGTGGATGAACGCAGTGTGAGCCACGTGACTGAGGCTGACCTCTTCCACACGATCGAGACCTTAATGAGGACCTGTGCACACTCCAGAGCAAATGCACCTGAAGGGTAAGCACTGACAACACTAAAGCCAACATTTTATAAATACTAAGTCTTTTAACCTGCAGACCTGTGGATTTGGCTGATTATTTTAAATCAGAGACAACAGACACTTCATACAGACTAGACCAGAGGTTGCAACAATGACACCCATGAGTGTTACACAGACAGGATCGTCTTGACTAACTGACTTTGGATGCTGATACTGTGAAATGAATTTGGGAAAGATAAAAACCAGTCCTCTGTAATCCCCCTGTGCAGGCTTCCCCAACTGATGGATGTTGTTCGCTCCAACTATGAGGCCATGATTGACCGCGCCCACGGTGGGCCCAACTTCATGATGCACTCTGGGATTTCCCAGGCTTCAGAATACGATGATCCTCCAGGCCTGAGGGAGAAGGCAGAGTACCTTCTGAGAGAATGGGTCAACCTCTATCACTCAGCTGCAGCTGGCAGGGACAGCACCAAAGCTTTTTCTGCTTTTGTTGGCCAGGTGAGAGTACATTCATCCTAGTGAAGCTTCATTCAATCCAAACGAGCAAAAGCCATTGTTTACCTTTGTTTTACTTTGTCGTGCAGATGCACCAGCAGGGAATCCTGAAGACCGACGACCTGATCACAAGGTTCTTCCGGCTTTGCACAGAAATGTGTGTGGAGATCAGCTACAGGGCACAAGCAGAGCAGCAGCACAACCCAGCAGCCAGTGCAGCTATCATCAGGGCCAAGTGTTATCACAACTTGGATGCCTTTGTTAGACTCATCGCCCTGCTGGTCAAACACTCAGGAGAGGCCACGAACACAGTGACGAAAATCAACCTCCTCAATAAGGTACAGTAACTGGACCATTTTGGACTGTCTGGACAGGGCATTACAGGAAACAGTTTGAATGAGGTAGAGGTAGAATCTGAGAATTTGCTTCTGAAGTCCACTATATAGGCGACAAATCTAACTCTTCCTTGGAAAAGAGAGATGGATTGATGAAGGCTTTGAGATGTGGACTCTGTTACCTTTTTTAAAGTAACTTTTTTCTAATGAGGAATTAATCTGCAAAAATCTCTTGGAGCATTTGATTAACTTCAAAATTCAATTTTTATTTCCCTTCATTAATGATACTCTGTTACAGCTGCAGACAATAGGAATGCTCATTTTGTCAGATGTTGTTTGTCAGTGGGCTGCAGCTTTACTTGATTCTCATTGCCCCCCCCTGCATTGTTGTCGTAGGTGCTGGGTATCGTAGTTGGGGTCTTAATCCAGGACCACGATGTCCGACAGACAGAATTCCAGCAGCTGCCGTACCATCGTATCTTCATCATGCTGCTGCTGGAGCTCAATGCTCCTGAGCATGTCCTGGAGACCATCAACTTTCAGACACTCACAGCATTCTGGTAAGAGCTCCACATGATCACATGGCCACATTTTAAAGGAACCCTCGCATGAGTTAACCGTGTTCAGTGAAGGAAATAGACATTGTAATTGTTGTCCTAACACTCAAGATGTTTTAAATAGTTCTGCATCTGAAGGACTGCTGCAGATGAGTTTTAAAACCATTGAAATCTTTTTGTTTGCAGCAATACCTTCCACATCCTGAGACCCACCAAAGCACCCGGCTTTGTGTACGCCTGGCTAGAACTCATCTCCCATCGCATCTTTATTGCCAGGATGCTAGCACACACACCGCAGCAGAAGGTAAGACAGGACTGTCTCACTTGCACAGTACAATACTTGATGTCTTTTTCAGTTATATACAAACCGCACTGTGGGTTTTGAGTTTGGTCTAATCTCAACACTTGTTGTCTTGAAGGGTTGGCCCATGTATGCACAACTGCTGATTGACCTCTTCAAGTACCTGGCCCCGTTCCTGAGGAATGTAGAGCTCAACAAACCTATGCAAATCCTCTACAAGGTGCTGTCTCCTTCACTTTGTGTTCGTCTAGAGGCTTCCTAGAAAATCCATATTTGTCACTTCAAATGTTCTTAGTCTGACAGTGAACATTTTCTCCTAACTGGCTGTTTGTTATACACGAACCAAACTGAGTGATACCATCCAAAGTGCAAAGAACAGATTGTGATCTCTTCACTTCCTTGATTTACTTACAAAGTCAATGGATCCAGCTGTTTCTGGCTCATTAGGAAGTGGAAACCTTTGAACTCATGATTGTTCCTCTTGGCTGTTCAGGGCACACTGCGGGTGCTCCTGGTCCTGCTGCATGACTTCCCCGAGTTCCTGTGTGACTACCATTATGGCTTCTGCGATGTTATCCCACCCAACTGCATCCAGCTCCGCAACCTCATCCTGAGTGCCTTTCCACGCAACATGAGGCTCCCCGACCCTTTCACACCCAATCTCAAGGTAAGCGTTCACTGATGCAGGACCACCACTGAGCGAATCTAGCGCTCGTGTCACAGTGTGCCAGAGACAGCCGATGGTCAGAACATGTGTTTTTGTTTGCCACAATGATTTCACGAACATTCCCATGTTTACTCCCTAACTACAGGTTGACATGCTGAGTGAGATCAACATCGCTCCCCGTATCCTCACCAACTTCACAGGCGTCATGCCCTCTCAGTTCAAGAAGGACCTGGACTCGTATCTGAAGACCCGTTCTCCAGTCACGTTCTTGTCTGAACTGCGCAGCAACCTGCAGGTTGGAGTAGTGCCCCTCTGTAATTTAGTAGAGGTGTTGGTAGTACAACAGGAGATTTGACAATCTCTTCTTGTTTTTCATCAGGTGTCTAATGAGCCTGGAAATCGCTACAACATCCAGCTGATCAATGCTCTAGTGCTGTACGTCGGCACACAGGCAATCGCTCACATCCACAACAAGGGCAGCACCCCCTCCATGAGCACCATCACACACTCTGCACACATGGACATCTTCCAGAACCTGGCAGTGGACCTGGACACTGAGGGTGAGTTTTTGTCAATGTTATTTATTTTTTTTGCCTTGTGCCAATTGTTTGATACAGCGCAGGTTTTTTTATGACTGATGTAGTAGTTGCAGGTACATCAATTGTCTTGCTTGTTCGTTTTAAGAGTCAAATGAGAAGTTTATGGAAAACTTGAGGTTTCTGCTGTTGTCTCCTCAGGGCGTTACCTGTTCTTGAATGCGATCGCCAATCAGCTGCGCTACCCCAACAGCCACACTCACTACTTCAGCTGCACCATGCTCTATCTGTTCGCTGAAGCTAACACAGAGGCCATCCAGGAGCAGATCACAAGGTGAGACGCAGATGGGTTCAACAGTATCAAACACTTCAGTACAGAGATGAAGTCCATCACCAAGTAGGAGTCTCCGCACAGTTGTGTTCAGCCAAAGTTATCTGCTCTTCTTTCAGGGTTCTGTTGGAGAGGCTGATTGTGAACAGACCTCACCCATGGGGTCTCCTCATCACCTTCATCGAGCTGATCAAGAACCCTGCCTTCAAGTTCTGGAGCCATGACTTTGTGCACTGTGCCCCTGAGATTGAAAAGTAGGTCCAGTGTCTGACTCAATATTACAGGCTCGGTAATGCTGTGATAATATTGCAGATCATGTTCCACAGTTTCAGTGGGAATTTGACGAACGCAGATGTCTTTTATGCAAGGCTGATATGTTACATTTCCTCTCCTCTCTTGTTTCAGGCTGTTCCAGTCTGTGGCCCAGTGCTGCATGGGACAGAAGCAGGCCCAGCAGGTGATGGAGGGCACCGGTGCCAGCTAGCCTGTGTACCAGCCAGCTTGTAGCCCCTCGGGAGAGATGCCGCGGCCTTGACCCACTCCCCCCACCTCGTACACAAACACACACACACACCTCTCCCACTGTACTGTTGGCACTGGATTAAACTGGCACCCACAGTCATTTGAGATGTGGATCAAAGGACTACTGCTCACGGATCTAAGGAGTAAAATTTTTGTTGATCCCTCTGGGGTTAAGTTGACATGGAGAGTACGGATTGAGATATGCTGTTTAATATACTTTTTTTGATGCTTTGATGTAAATATTGGAAAAAAGGGAGAACGGGAGCATAGATAAGGGGAGAGAATTGCACATGTCAAATAAAATGTAAAGACATGTAAAGACATCGAAACACTTTCACTCACTACCAAAGTCCCTGGTTTGCTTCCTCCCACACAAATCCTGTTTTTCTGACTTTTTTTTGCTTTCAGAGGCTGAATGGTATTATGATTGAAGAAAAAAAGCTGCCTGCTACTTTCGTTTGATTCCTTTTTTTCCCTTTGTGGGACAGGAAAATGGAGTTCAGTCTCCCAGGTGGGGTGGGGGTCTGCTCCTGGTGTGTTGGTGGAGACAGTTTGCTGACAGTTTGTCACTTTGAAGCTGGCTCTGGAAGTCTCTCCCTGGCACTTGTAAATTGTTCAAAGTGATGGTTACATCGTATCTTGACAATTTGTACAAAGATCCAAATTGAAGAACAACAATAGAAGGACCAATACAGCCCATTTTGTAACATTTTGAATGTTTTGTAAATGTATTGGTCCATGTGTTGTATTTTGTAGTCCTTTCTAGTTTGCCTTTAGTTCTTGCTACTTAACTGCAGTATGCGTACATACAGGAAATAAAGCATTCAAACTGCATTGCATGTGTGTTCATTCATGACCATTACAGAGATTTAAAGGGATATTCCGGCGTAAATTTAAGTTATGGTCAAACAAACTGTAACACCGAGTTAGAAACACCCTCAAGAGATGAATGTTGCCGACTGCTTGCTTCTCTAGTTATACCAACTTTAGTAACGACCACAGGATAGTAATACACAGTGGTCTACATCTCCATGTGCAAACTTCAAACAAATTGCCGCTCTATAGCCACAAATAATGCTCAGAACAGCACCTAACTTCAACAGTACATATAGGGTCCCAGCCATAGTACTAGCCATCAAACATCTTTTTAGCTTTGCCTGATTTTTTCCAGCAAAGAGACCAAACACAACTCACCAACTCTCCTCCAGCAGCCGCTTGTTTGTGGGAGAGCCCTGACGAGTCGAGTGCAGCGGAGTTTCGCAGCTCAAGGAAGAACATTTATGATTATTACTTCATGGAAATGCAATCAGACCGAGACGCTAAGGCAGAAGAACTACCACATCTGCAGTGCAAAATGATTATTATGGTGATTATTACTTCATGGAAATGATCTGCTGCACTCAGTACAACGTAGACCGCTGTGTATTGCTATTCTGCGGTCGTTACTAAAGTTGGTATAACTAGAGAAGCAATCAGTCGGCAACATTCATCTCTCAAGGGGGTGTCTAACTAGGTGTTACGGTGTGTTTGACCATAACTTAATTTTACGCTTGACTATCCGTTTTACAACATGTATTCCATCACAATCCATTTTAATCAAAAAGGGTCTATTTGAAAAAGTTTAGCAGGGCAGGAAGTTTACAAGTCACAACAGCAGCTTAAAAACACAAGAACCCTTTGAAAGTGTTTATGTGCATCAGGCAACATAGGAGAGAGTGGGGTAAGTTGAGCCACCCCCTGTTGCTTGGAAATGGTAAAAGAAATTGATCATTTGACCAAATATTTAGGAGATGGGCATCAAATCATGGAGTTTGTGAAGGTGAGAAGCACATGGGTGAAGGGGTTAGATATTTATTCCCAAAAAACATTTTTCACTCTTAAAGGGGAATTTAGTCTGTCATAAGTTTTATTAGAATTGTGTTCAGACTAAAAAAGATCATTTTAAATTTGTTTTATACATCAATTGTGGTTTCTATGAGCTACAACATGAGGTCAAAAACCTAACATTGAAGTCCACCATTTTAGTTTAGAGGACTAATAAAGTCATCATAGTAGTTCTGGGGTAACTGAGAAAGTAAAGAAGTCTGATGAGAGGATCAGAGTTTCAGTTCAGATTGTTGAAATGTGTTAATTTTATTATTCCATATAAGAGCTAAAAAGCTGTTTTGTAAAAAGTCATTTTAACATGAGAATGTCTTCAAGTGATTCAGAACATTCACAGCTGTAATTTTGAAAAGAAAAAGTAATTATTGTACCAGTTGAATGGTGTATAATAGATAAAAATACACATGAATGTGAAGAAGTGACTGTTATTCAGGGAGAGAGAAGGTGAGGGAGGGCTGGGGTGGAGAGTGGCGGGGTAGTAGGGCTACGGCTCAACTTACCCCATACACAGGGTAAAATGACCATAGGAGACCACTTTTTTTGGCATGCTATATTATCAATACTGTTTTGTTTACACTCATTCTGTTGGTTCGCAGGGATGTACAACATCTTGATTTATATGCAGATACACTAGTTAGAGACAAAACTATGATTGCCCTGATGTAGTGATCCAAAATATGAAAATTGGCTCATCTCACCCCACTCTTCCCTCAACACCGATCAACTTCAGGGGTTGGTCATGGATTTACACTTCAGCTGTATCAGTAAGTATGAAATATTTGCTTGAGGTTGAAATGTCTGAATCAAGTTGAAGGCATTAAAAAAAAACTAGAATGCATCAAAATGTTGGGTTTTCACATGACAAAGACAGGCTGACTGCATCTCAGTTTTCCTGTTGAGATAGTCCTCCTTTTTAGGATCAAGGGGTAGCAGGGGCGAACACAGAGGACATAAACTCCCCTAAAGCCCTACAGAGAGGGCTGATGGACATGCTGCATGGCAACCTGTGACATGAACAATTTGAATGTTCCGCATAACCATTGACAACTCCTGCATTTGGTCATGAATCCTGGTATAGGCCAAGAGAAAAAAATTAATCCTAGCATTTAAATTGGACTAATCAATTATCTGAGACTCGAAGTACATTCTTTTTGTATGTTTGACCTGACGTCCTGGTCTTTAAGTTACCATGTCTATTCCCTGCCCCTTTGCACTCAGCACAAGTAGAAGTAGAGCAAATCTGAGATGTTCATCTTGGACTTTAAACACATATTGGATGGGGTCCCTTTGGCCTAGCAGTGTAAGGGTATGTTTTTATGGCAGCAGTCAGTCACTGCAATTTGCTACATATTTCCACCCTCAATAATTCATGTCAATGTTTCATAGACCCCCAAGTCCACTCTAACAAGCTCAGATCTTCTGTAGGTACCCATGGGTCAATCTACTTTTACAAACCGGTGGATTGCAGGATGTGGATTAATCTTTTCCTCAAACTTCTTCCTGTCTGTAAATATGTACTGGTTGTTTCATTTTCGCAAAAGTAGATAACAGCAAAGAGAATACACCGACACTGACAGTGTTTATTGTTGACAGTGATAAAAAATAATGACTTGGTAATCAGTTAGACTGTATTCTGAGATAGTTTCCATTTCACCCCTGACATGATAAAAACAAATCTTCCTGTGGCCCTGAGAGCAGCTGCTGCAACTGAACTCATGACTTGGTGAGCTCCATCAGTTTATACAGGATGCTCTTCTGTCCACAGCGCACCTGCAGTGCATTTTGCTCCCTCCTGCTCAGCTTTGCCAGTGCTACCTGGTCCTCTATCAGCACCTGGTCTTTGTCCACATACTCTCCCTCTGTTTCACCCTCTTCCATGTAGGACTTCACAGTCAGACGAGCTGCTTCATGAATCAACCGTTTCCATGCGGCTTTTAATCCAGGGAGACCCTCATTCGTGTAAAGGAGGGAAATCTTCTCCTCATCCTCTTCAACATCCTCCCATCCATCGTTGTCTTTGAACTCTGAGAACTCCTCTCTTGACATACACAGCACCTGAAAGTACACAAAAAACGCTCTAAAATGTTCATGTAAAAAGAGAGTTTAGATGTGTCTGCGCGTTTTATTCAGTGTTCAAACAAAGACGTCTATTCTAAACATCACTGTCAGGTCTTCCCTCACCTTGAGTGCTGTATGGAGCTCTGTGTCTGTAAGGCAGCCCTGTTTGCTGAAGACAAGCGCTGTGTTCTCGGGCATCAGCTGACACAACATTTCACATTTGTCCTTCAGCAACTGCTGGTCAGAATCAGACTGAGTACCTGGAGAGAAGAGGAGGGGTTAAACAGGAAGCAGGAAAATTGTGAAAGAAAGGTAAGAAAAGAAAAAAAGAAAGGAAAAAAAGAAAGATATATTGAAGTCAGCAAAAATGTATCTCTGATTGGGGAATAGGATGGATCCATTATGTAGACAACAGTAATGTTTTGGGGCTTTTTAAACTTATTTTAAAAAAGGGATAAAATGATGGTCTAAACCTAATCTCTACATTGAGCCTTACACGTAAACAAATGTGGACATGACTGATTTGAGCCGGCTTCAACCCAAAAAAGCCAGTCTCTCCTGTGTATCTGTGTCTTAAATTACTGTTTCTTTTGTAGCAGGCTAACAAAAGGCAGATATCCATCCATGTCCAGCTGCTGCAAACAGTCAATGAAATAACATAAATAACAACAATCACAGGACACTGGGGTGTGTCAGTAATCACCTTGTATGATCACAGAATAGAAGTTGGTGATGGGGATTTCAGCTTTGTCATTGCTGTTGCTTTGATATGGCTCTGTGAAGCCGTACATGTGAAGCAGCTGCCAGTTGGCTATCTGCCCATAGGTGTTAAAAACCTCCTCGCCTTTGTGAATTGGGCGCACACACACCATCTTCAAACTGTCCTGAGAAACAGGTGGAGAAAAGGAAATAAGAGGAGGAGTGGTAAAACGTGAAATAACAGGTGACCACACAAAGGAGGTAACAGTGACAGCTGACAGTGAATCCACACAAACAACAGAGTCTGAATCTTAACATTTCATCCATCAGTATGAGGACTGGCTGTGTCTGCTGCTTACAGGTGTAAACTCCAGATTAGCATTGTGATTGGATACATGGTTAAGCATGTCAGCCATTGGAACCATCATGGGAGGGTTGGGGTCCTTCTCCTCCTCCTCATCTTCATCCTCCTCATCGTCCTCTTCCTCCTGAGGCTCTTGGAAACTACAGAGAAGAGGACCGGGAAGGGACCGTGAACACAAAGGTCAATTTCGAGTACAACAGTTTATGTACAGGAGTGTATTCTGTCGTGGGCTGACTAACCTGTAGGCCATCACAAAGGCCACCAGCTGTGTGTACAGCTCCAGTGTGTGTGTGTTTGGGTTCCACAGGTCAGGGTGCTTATTGATGAAGGGAAGGACCACATCTTTGTATTCCCTCTGGATGTTAGCCAAGTCTGTGTCCACAGCCTCAGGGACTCCTGTCCCCCTCAACAGCCTGTCTCTCTCCTCTTTAGACCTAACACAGGGACTGTTGTTATTATGAAGAAAAGTGGAATTGCCACATTACAGTTTCCACATTACCATATTAAAGGGATATTCTAGCATAAAATTATGTTAGGGTCAAACACACTGTAACACCAAGTCAGACACCCTGTCGAGAGATGAATGTTGCCGACTGCTTGCTTCTCTAGTTATACCAACTTCAGTAACGGCCGCAGATTAGCATTATAGAGAGCCATGCACAAAAAGCCACTCTATAGCCACAAATAATGCTCAGAACAGCACCTAACTTCATCAACAGTACATATAGGGTCCCAGCCATAGTACTAGCCATCGAACATCTTTTTAGCTGGGGGGGATGTAGCTCAAGGAAGAACATTTATGATCATTACTTAATCATTTCCCTGAAGTAAAAATCATCATGGTAATCATTTTGCACTGCAGACGTGGTAGTTCTTCTGCCTTAGCGTCTCGGTCTGATTGCATTTCCATGACGTAATAATCATAAATGTTCTTTCTTGAGCTGCTTCCCCCCCTATGCAGTTGATGGATTCGCCTGGAGGTCTCCGTACCCGTCAGGGCTCCCTCACAAACAAGCGGCTGCTGGAACAGAGTAGGTGAGTTGTATTTGGTCTCTTTGCTAAAGAAACCAGGCAAAGCTAAAAAGATGTTTGATGGCTAGTACTATGGCTGGAACCCTATATGTACTGTTGATGAAGTTAGGTGCTGTTCTGAGCATTATTTGTGGCTATAGAGTGGCTTTTGGGTTAAGCGCATGGCTCTGTGTATTGCTATCTGCAGTCGTTACTAAAGCTGGTATAACTAGAGAAGCAAGCGGTCGACAACATTCATCTCTTGAAGGGGTGTCTAACTGACTTTAAACCCTAAATTAATTTTATGCTGGAATTTCCCTTTAAAGTGATGGACTTTAGATACTGGTTTAAACTGCTTCTCACCAGAACATGGGATGGTCCAGTGTCTTGAAGTTGGTCCACAGAGAGAGGTAAGGTTTCCAGTGGGACTGTGGGGCTGTATACTCATACAGCAGAGCCAGCAACAGGGAGACCCAACCAGATGAGCTCTCCAGAGATGAGCTCTCTGTGAGGGGTCAAAGAGGAAACAGAGAGGTTAAAAGAGATTTCCTGATGCAGTCAGCTTTAAGTCATCTCTTCTGTTAGCACTGTCACCTTTCTCCAGCAAAGCAGAGACCTTTGCTGTTCCCTGATGAAGAAGAGCCGATCTAGGGATGGTGAACAAAACTTCGCCTCCCTCTATGTCGTCTGTCGCCAGCATCCCATACTCAGCGGCAGTTCCTGCTTTACTCACACAAACCTACAGAGGGAGAGACATCCACAAAAATGCTCGGACAACAGCTGGGATCACTGCAGCTTACAACAAAAGGTGCCAAAACTGACCCTGAGAGACAGGATATGCTTTAGAGGGAGACGTGATAACAAACCTTACTGCTGAGCACCAGTCCTACTTTGTGGCACCACTGTAGAAAGTTTTGCAGGGGGCTGAGTTCAGGGCTGTCATCTGTCTGTCAGCAGAGAGATATCAAAGAAAACTTTAGACACAACCTCCCAAACAGTTCTCTGAGATTTGATATATGACCGTGTTCAAGACAGAACCTCAGTAACTATGCTGTGAATCCCTGAGCACACTTGAGACACAGACATGGCAGCGTGCGCTGAAGCAAGGTATCAACACGTGAGGCTGACTGTCAACAATGCAACTAACACAAATTAAAACCTCATCTCATTACACTGACAACTCTGGCTTTCCATTTTTTTTGTAAAATGGGTTCATTTGCTACCTTTTGTCGTTTCGCTTCTGTCGCCATAGTGTGTATGTATTTGCTGTTCTCGTTCTTTTGCAGCTTCTCCTCTTCATTTATGTTCCTCTCCTTTTTGGTGTTTTAGGCGGTACGCAAACAACGGTTATAGGTGCATTACCGCCACCTACTGGTATGGAGTGTGAATCAGGATATCACTATCTACTCCGTACTGAGATAAAAAAAAATAGATAAATAAATGATCATAATAATGATCATTTGTATTTGACTTAAAAATATTTTTTGGTGAAAAAAAAACTAAAAAGGCAGCCCTGATTTCCACATATGTTGGTAGATCTGTGTGCTGTAGTGTCCTTGATGACCACTAGCTGGTGTAGTTGAGCCAGCTTTACGCAGAGCTGTCAATCTGCCACATCACCAGTTTACCAGGTTCTGTTTAAAAACACACACCTCATCCCACTAGTCAGCTGGCTCGTTGGTCTAGGGGTATGATTCTCGCTTTGGGTGCGAGAGGTCCCGGGTTCAAATCCCGGACGAGCCCAATTTTAACCCCTTAGGTTCCATGTGAGATAAGAATAGATCACACACAGTCCATAGATGCGACTTAGTACTTGAAATGTGATCAGTGAAGACTCTCATATGGCAGTAACTTTGATACACTGCACTCAGTCAAATTGCACTCATCTCTCTGCTAGGTTTGCAAATGAACAGGTTGCTGCAATCATTGGCATTTACCTATAAAAAGCATCAATAGATTATAGGGAAAAACTAAATAATTTGCAGATTTGTAGATTAAGAAAACCTACACAGGACAGGAAAGCTAAGATTCATTCTATAGTTGAGAGACATGCTTGAGAACCAAATTATCATCAAAGATGAGGCACAACTTCAGCAGAGATTTGTTTTCAGAGTTCACCAGGGCAGTGTAGAGTGACATGACATACTCTGCCCACAAGAGGGTGCTGTTTGACAAAGTACCTTATGGGTCCTCACTTTGCCACATCACCAGTGGAGAGTTAAATTGCAGGTCTGGGAGGATCTGGAGACGAGTTTGAAACCCTCTTTTTTGTATAAGAGATATGGCTCGTTGGTCTAGGGGTATGATTCTCGCTTAGGGTGCGAGAGGTCCCGGGTTCAAATCCCGGACGAGCCCTGCTTTTTGACCCCAGGGTCCACATAGGGCAGTATCTTGTTTCACAGCATATGCACTGGAGCTTGAACTGGTAAGGAGAGAATGCAAGAAAGTTTGAGAGCAACACCTCACGTCTACGGTTTCCCTTGACCTGGTGCCTCTATTGCCCTAGCCCAGGGGCATGGATCGAATGGATAGATGGTTGGACTGCTGTGTGATTACTGTGAATTTCAAAGTTGTTCTACAAAACTTAATTCCAATGAAGTTGGGAAGCTGTGTAAATCGTAAATAAAAATGGAATACAATGATTTGTAAACCCTTTCAACCTATATACAATTGAATACACTACAAAGACAAGATATTTAATGTTCAAACTCATAAACCTTTTTGTTTATTTGCAGATAAACCTTAATTTTAGAATTTGATGGCAGAAACACGTAACAAACAAGTTGGGAAAAGTGGAAAAAAATACTGAGAAATCTGAGGAATGCTCATCAAACACCTATTTGGAACATCCCACAGGTGAGCAGGCTAATTGGGAACAGGTGAGTGTCATGATTGGGTATAAAAACAGCTTCCCCAAAAATTCTCAGTCATTCACAAGCAAGGATAGGGCGAGTTTCACCACTTTGTGAACAACTGCATGAGCAAATAGTCAAACGGTTTAAGAACAATGTTTCTCAAAGTACAATTGCAAAGAATTTAGGGATTTCAACATCTATGGTCCATAATATCATCAAAAGGTTCAGAGAACGTAGTGAAATCTCTGCACATAAGCGGCAAGGCCGGAAACCAACATTGAATGCCCATGACCCTCGAGCCTTCAGGTGGCACTGTATCTGTTGTTGTGGCATGCTAACTTTGTTTGGTCTCGTGCATGTTATTGGAGGACGTGGAACGTGCCTCACAACCAATCAGCACTAAGGAGCAGCATCCGCCTCACAAACAATCAGGTCGTGGAGGTGAAAAACGGCTTTGTTTACAGTCAAAAAGAGCGGCATAAGAACACAGTGATATTGTTACATTAGCAAATGTTATCAATGACTAATAGCTATCGACTGATATTAAAAGCTTTTTTTGTATATACACCACAAATAAGATGCTTCTTAAATGGAATCCTGCCTACCCCACCTTTAAGGCCTGTATCTACTCTGTCAACATCGGTTTGCCTAGAGGGCTAACAGGTCCACGAAGGATGCAAACTCACTTACACATCACAGAGCTCTCACTGACTGTGAAAAACCCAACACCAAGGTGTCAAGGTGCTTTTTGCTGACAGCAGTAGCTCAGCATATAAAGACTTGGCTTTGGTACAAAAGAGTCACCAGTAAAAACTCCCAGTACGACTCATTGCTTGAGTGTAGTCATGTTGTACATCACCAGGGAATTATGGAGCCGTTAGCTGAACAGCGTATTAAATGCAGATTAATGCAAAACAGCTTGAAATTGAAAAGTGTACGTTTAGAATGTAAAAGGATATAGCACCTCTAAATCTAATCAGCAGCTATGGTGTAAATTTCATTAGTAAAAGGTCTATCGTATATTTCCTCCAGAGAATGACTCTAAATGTTTTATTTTGAAACATCAGGCAGGAAGTGGTTGAAACCATGTAATGTGACATCTCATAGCTTTATAGTGATATCTAGTCAGCTTGTTGGCTCGCTGGCTCTTCTAAACCAAATTCATTTTTTTTGTGCTGAAGACGAGGTCAGGTAAGAGCGGTTGATACAGTTTTTTCAAAGCACCTTTGTTTGTTTTAATGCCATATATCTAGAGAAGTTCCGGGCAATATTTAAGCCTGCGGCGTTGAGGTGGGCTAGTTATGCTATGCTCGAAAGGCGATAGGGGCAGATATGAAACATTTAATTCTGTTAGCGGGATTAACACTCTGCGTGTTGTTGAACCCTAGCCAACGCTACGTTCAACAAACTTTCGTGGCGTGTTTTTAAAGGTATTTGGCGTTTATATACGTAAACGAGAGGGAGATTAGCCACACGGAAAGCTTTAGCTTCCAACTCTGTTGCTAGGCAACATGACTCTTCATTGAGTGTTTGTTGCAAAGCCTGTAATTACATTAGTGTTGCACAATCACGCATTACCACTATGTTGCATGCACGACAACATTTCCTCCTTGATTTGCTTGAAGAAAAGAATAACAGAAACACCATATTCCTTGTTTTTTGTCTTTGTCTTCTTGGCTCTGGTCTGATCAGGCGTTTATAGTTGGCACCATGTTGGTCCCCATATTCACCCTGAAGCTGAACCACAAGATTAACCCTCGAATGGTCACTGTCGGCAAATTTGATGGGGTCCACCCATGTCTTACAGCAGCCACGCAGGCAGGAAAGGTGAGACATTTGGTTGAAAAAATCACAATAAGCAAGAAGTAGACTCATTGCATTGCACGATTTCTCCACAAATACATGGCAGCCCCGTCATTATATTTTTGACTTATATTTATTCTGAACACCCCACTTTCCTCTACTCTATGTTGTTTACTAAATTTAGCCTATTCTTATTCATTACAACACACAATCTTCCCATCATACAAGTTGCTTACAATTCTCAACATTACATAAACCTAAATGTTTTCATTAATGCCTTAAACTTTGTTCTCATTCTGTTAAAAAGGTCTTCATCCATAATCCACATGCCCGGGGTCAGAAACCTGTAGCCCATCGACTGAGTCAAAGCACCCAGGATTCTGACATCTCTATGCTCAACATCAACCAGGCAGTCACTTGTCTAACAGCAGGAACACTGGGACCAAACACCACTGGGGACACACTATTGGTGGGATCCCAGACCAACCTTCTGGCATACGATGTCCATGACAATGCTGATATATTCTACAGAGAGGTGAGCCGAGCTGAGGAATAAGGGGATAAAATCAAAACTTTTGTTTTTGTGGTTTGGATCTTCTTTGCAGTTTACAGGAAGTAAAGTTCTGATCAATGGCTTTGTTGTCTGTACAATTTAAGTGGACATGTCTTTGTTGTTGTAGGTGTCAGATGGGGCCAATGCTATTGTACTGGGAAAACTGGGGGACATCCAGAATCCTCTTGCCATCATTGGAGGAAACTGCGCCTTGCAAGGCTTTGACTATGAGGGCAATGACCATTTCTGGACTGTAAGAACAAATGAACTGTTTAAATATTGGCCTACATTCGATATTCTTACTTGCATTCAAAGTGTGTTTTTATTTTCTTTTAAAGCGACGCAGTAAACAACCAATATGATGATGATGATTCAAACTTAAGATGCAATAAATTCACCTTGCATCATAAAGAGAATGTTTAAAAATGATCCAAAGATCCTGCATAGCTGTGTGGTGGTCAGCACTGCTGGCTCATAGCAAGAAGGCACCTGGTTTCAGGACTGACTGGGGTCCTCTACGGGCTTTCCAGCTTCATCTCAAAATCCAAAATTATTTTTACAGCTTGTATGCAATCGAACTAGATGTTATCACAAATTTCATTAGCTTTACCTGTACATATTCTACAGTTTTGTGAGCACACAGCAGGAGAGCTATATTCCCCAGTTGGTTTGATAAGGCATATTAACATTAAGTAACCCGCACAACAGACACACTTTTTGGTCTTTGCAATGATCTACACTCTCACATATTTTCTTCTCTAAATAGCCTGATAAACTGCACAGATGTTCACACAAACTGTCTTTTTTAGGTGACTGGAGATAATGTCAGATCTCTAGTGCTCTGTGACTTCACTGGAGATGGGAAAAACGAGGTAAATCTTGATTATCAGCCTAGTGTGTGTCCTTTGTGTCTGCACTTTGGGTCAGTCTGAGTTCAATAAAATTTGAATTTAGAAATTTTCAGTTTGAAATTTTAAAGCCTTTTTTGCCTTGTGCCTACAGCTTCTTGTTGGGTCGGAGGATTTCGACATTCGTGTATTTAAAGAGGATGAGCTTGTGTCTGAGATGACTGAAAATGAGGTGAAGGAATACAATTTATGTTACTGTTTTTTTCTGACATTTATTTACTGGGAGTCAAACAATTGATAATGAGTTTTTTAAATGATTTAAATTTTATTGCTCAACAGTGAATTGGACTCAAATACTTGAAATCATTCCACTAATACTCATATCCTGTAGTATCGTGTATCTGCGTTGTGCTGTACTAAAGCAGAATATTTGTTACATGACAAGTTTGCTCTCTGTCTGTCTCCACACAGACTGTAACATCACTGTGCCACATGCATGGGAGCAGGTTCGGCTATGCCCTGGCTAATGGCACTGTGGGAGTTTATGACCGCACGGCTCGTTACTGGAGGATTAAGGTACCACAATGATTTATGATATAAATGTTTGAACAAGATGGTTTGATCTCTGAAGAAAGTGGACTTGGGAAATACTTGTTGAAGTCCAATTAGTACTTATTCAGAGCATTCCTTTCCATTAGATGTTTCTATGGTGGCCCTGAGGTGCAAAACACAACGGCAAATCAGAAGACACAACACAAAAAGAGAAAATACAACAGCAGATCAGAAGACCACCGTGGTTAATGACATTATGTTTTCTGATTTGCTGTTGTGTTTACTCTTTTTGTGTTGTGTTTTCTGATTTGCCGTTGTGTTTACTCTTTTTGTGTTGTGTTTCTGATTTGCCATTGTGTTTTGCACCTCAGGGCCACCGTAGTTTCCCCTAAAAGTTCTGTTTGTTTATTATACTTCACACTCAGTTGATATATCATATTTCCTTGTAGGTACAGTATGTAGTATTTAGTGGCATTTGGGAGAACAAACTTGGTAGAAAGGAAATATAATATTCATGAATCTGTTAAAATTAGTGCGTAATCACCTTAATATAAGAATAATATGTTTACTAAGAATGTGTATTTTGTATCTACCTATGCAGAAGGCTTCATGTAGGTCACCATCTTCACCACCATGTTTCTAAAGTAGCACAGGAGTGACAGTATTTATTGAACTCTTTAAGTCTGCCTGAGCTCTGTCTTTAAAGTGACTAACTGCAGTCTAACAGGTGAAAAGGACAATTTAGTGAATATTTGTTATTATTACTTAAAATGTTGTGACTCTATTTGTCTCATCTAGTCTAAGAATCATGCAATGAGCATCCATGCCTTTGACCTGAATGCTGATGGGGTGGTGGAGCTGATCACTGGCTGGTCCAATGGAAAGGTCAGCAAACCACTTTAAGGGCTCAGATCTGTAAATCAACCAATCAGGTCTTCAAAGTCTTTGATCATGTCCCGTCTTTGTTTTTAGATTGATGCGCGCAGTGATCGCACAGGCGAGGTCATTTTCAAAGACAACTTCTCCTCCTCTGTAGCTGGAGTGGTGGAAGGTGACTACAGGTTGGATGGACAAAAACAACTGATCTGCACCTCCATAGAAGGAGAAGGTATGTTGTTTGAGTGTATCTGATTGAATAGTTCTAAATTGAGCATTTGCTTTGCTTTATTGATACTGGTTAAATTTGAAAGAATGATGTAACATTTTTTCAAGCTGGCAGGAGCTGTATGTGAAAGTGTTGATGCATGTGCAGAAACTTATTTTCATGGTCAGTTATCCAAAATAAGAAAAAGAAATCTCACAGCTGATGAAATGCACTCATTCCAAAAGCAGAATTTCTCTACATGGTCTTGTTCAAATAGCTATGTGTTGTCTCTATGATTTTCTAATTTTTCATTCAGGAGCAGATTTAATAAATACTGTATTCATGAAGAGATTATAGAGATAAATAAGAACTACATTACTATCATCTCTCCAGACAAAGCATGTAAACAAGCTAGTTTGTGTCGGGGAAAACCAACTCTTTAAAGTTAGTTTAAGATGTCAGTCATCAGTGTTGTTCATTTGTGTCCCCACAGTTCGAGGTTACCTGCCAGCCAGTAAAGACCTTAAAGGAAACCTAATGGACTCCAGTTCTGAACAGGACCTCATTAGAGAGCTCAGTCAACGCAGACAGAATCTGTTATTGGAGCTGCGCAACTATGATGAGAATGCTAAGGTACATGCGTTTTAGAGCATTTCTTTGTTTTTTTAATATACAAAACAATGGAACAATACAGAAAGTAGCACACAGACTAAGTGTGATTGAAGAGATTTTAACATTATTAGATAGACTAATAGATGGGAAAGATTCCTATATCATGAATGGTCTGTCCATGCAGATTTCAAAATGAACGCCTATACTGTGCCATGCTATTGTGAACTTAAGTTCATAAAAAATGCAGAATGCATCATTTGGATCATGTAAAACCATCATGCAAGAACAAAACCACAGAGGGTTGATGTATGCTTTCAAAACTGGTCACATTTTCTGTAATAGTAAGACTCATTTTTTTCTAGCTAAGCTTTCATGGTAGATGTTCACCAGAATACCTTGTCATGTAAACATGCTAACAGTTATGATGGTTTTAGTCCCTCTGGAATGTTCTCAACTCTTTAGATGGATATTCACTTGTTTAACTATGCAGTGATCATTTTGAGCAGTGTGAAGGTCTTTAAAAGAATCTAGAATCTAGATTTATTTTTTTTGTTTTGTTTTTGAGTCCCTTTTTGGCTTTTTACTTAAAGATTTTCTTGCCAAATTTGACAATTGGACAAAAAAGGTGACGCTGCAGTAGCTCAGCTGCTCGAGTCTGTATCATTCAAACCAGCTCCTGTTTTAGACAACATAATAGGACTTTGATCTAATAGTGATATATTTAATTTTATGAACTGCTGCAGGGTGTGTCAGAGACAAACAGTGGGATGGGTGTTATCCCAGCCAACACTCAGCTTCAGACAGCTCTGTCAGTGAGACCTGCCACAGAAACCCAGAAGGCTCATGTAGAGCTCTGCATTTCAACACCAAATGGTACGGTAATCTAGCACCAACACTTAGAATTTTTCACATGTTAGGGACTGAATGAGTACTAATAAGTCCCTGGATCTCCCCTAATCCTTTTCAGAAACCATAATCCGCGCAGTGCTCATCTTTGCTGAGGGGATATTTGAGGGGGAGAGCCATGTTGTTCACCCCAGCGCCCAGAACCTCTCAGGCTGTATCCGTGTTCCCATTGTCCCCCCCAAAGATATACCAGTCGATCTGCACATTAAAGCTTTTGTGGGAGGTAAAACTAGGTAAGAGGATGTGTATGAGTAAAGTGGTTATGTCGATTCATATCAGAATCACATGATTCCCTGAAAACATTTTATCTGTTGTTATCATCAGCACCCAGTTCCACGTATTTGAAATCACCCGACAGCTGCCTCGATTCTCCATGTATGACATAACAGATGACTCCTCACAAGCTCCACCCAATGGAAAGGTTGTCTTCAGCATCAATGACCGACCACAGAGGGTAGGCCAGCATGAGGAACTGTGACTCTAATCAGTCCTATTGCATAGTCAAGGCTTTCATGTGCATAAATTAATGTATTTGTTGAGTCTGTGTATTGATGTTTTGCCTGTATCTACACTTATGTCCATAGGTGGTGATGTGGCTGAATCAGAACTTTTTACTCCCAGAGGGAGTGGACAGTCCTGACATTACATTTAATTCATTAAAAGGGGGAGGGCTGTTGTCCATCAGCATGGCCAAGAATGGACAGGTACAGACACACCAGCTAAGTGTGAAGACACAACTTTAAAAAAGATTGACTATGTACTGTCTACATTTACAAGAGAATCAACATGACATGGTCAAGCTTTATGGTTTAAAACATCAACATTGAACATTAGGTCACTTTGATATGAAATCGCCAGTGAAATCATCCAACTGTTATGGAAATGGAATTATGGAGGCTGTTGTTGAGCCTTTTTAGTAAGATTTTACCATAACTGTTTTTTCTTGAACATACAAACAGCGAGCAGAACATCATTTGTCAAGTTACAATGGCTCATGTATCTTATCAGCCAAAACCTGTTGGTAAATCGGTGTGTAAATTCCTCTTTAAGATCACTCTGAGTACCGATGACATCGACCTTGCAGGAGATCTGGTCCAATCACTGGCATCCTTCTTGGGTATAGAAGACCTTTCAGCAGAAGCAGACTTCCCTGGGTACTTTGAGGAGCTACGCACTACACTCACTGAGGTTTGGTTATTTCTGCTGAAGATTCAGCTGTTTAATCCTTTAATCCTCTGCAAGACAAAAGACTGTCTGTGCATTGTTATATGTTCCAAGTTACTAATAGAATAATCAGTTACCACGTTTAGATGGGCAAAGTTTCTTGATCCGATTAAAAATTTGAGGGATCGGATAATCTGAAACCACTGTTTATATGGGTGCAAAATCAAACAATCCGATCATGACGTGTGTAAACATGCACCAAGCTTTATTCAGATTAGAAGCATTTGGACATGCACAGAGTTGTCTGATTTCACTAAAACAACTGCAGAAGAAGAGTTGTATTAATGCCTGTGCTGTCAACAAACCAACAAACGTGGTAGTGGCTCACTTCATCCAATTTAGGATTTTTTTCCCCTGTTAAATTTTGTCACCAGATGGCGCCTTTGCTTACTTATTTTCCTGTTCTGTAAAAGGTTGCACTGTGCATGCAGATGTGGCATCATTATGCTGTATGAACGCCTTATTATGTTGTGGGAGGAGCAGACACGGCACCTGCGGTTGTGTTTTATGCCAGAGTGTTAATAATGAAACCTCCTGTACTAGCCACTATCAATGAGCTAAAGGCTAAAGAGTGAAGATCGAGTCAGGTCAGAGAGTCACGACTGGAATAAGGGTTTACATGGACGCGTTTAGGAATAACGATCGGCATTAACCACCCCTCCCGATCGGAAAACGATTTCTTTCCGATTGAGCCAAATTGGATCAGAATCTTCTGATCGACATGTTTACATGACGCATTTTTATTCTGATCGAGCATTTATTCCAATTACGTGCGCCCATGTTAACGCAGCTCGTGAATACCTACAACTGCATTAGCAGTTGGTACATTACTAGAGGAGGGGATACACAATTTGTTGTATAGAATATGGATTGATACAGATAACCAAATATCTGTATGTCAGGTGGATGAGTTCCACTCCGTACACCAGAAGTTGACTGCAGCTATGGCCGACCACTCCAACTACATCAGGAATATGCTGGTGCAAGCAGAGGATGCTCGCCTTTTGGGTGAAATGTGAGTAACAATGAACAAAGCTTTACTCTTTGATGGTATGAAAAATGGAGTTTCTCTCACTGAAACTCGGTCTTCTCCTTTCTTTGATTCTCCACTGTCCCCTCTCTAGGACAACTATGAAGAAGCGCTACAGAGAGCTGTACGATCTAAACAGGGATCTGATCAATGAGTATAAAATCCGTTCTAACAACCATAATGCACTTCTGGCCTGTCTCAAGTCCGTCAACCAGGCGATTCAGCGTGCTGGGAGACTCCGAGGTAAGACCCTGTGTGTGTGTGTGTGTGTGTGTGTGTGTGTGTGTGTGTGTGTGTGTGTGTGTGTGTGTGTGTGTGTATGAGACAAACATGTTTCCTAAACAGTTGCTGTTTGAGGGCTGACTGTTTTTGGACCCAAATCTTAGTGTAGGAGGCACTGTCTGTGTCCATCAGTATTATTTTATATCGGTACTGTCTAGAAGGTGCATTGGTGTTACTGGACACTGAGGGCTTTACCTGTGTTATTAAGCAAATACAGGTTATGATCTACTTTTACATATTCCACAGATCTGCTGGTAGTTATAAACTATGGCTGGCTGAATTACTGGATGAATTCGTTTGCATTCCAAAAATTTAATGGCTAATTTCTGCATTTCTACCAAAGAGGATTAGAGCCACATGAAGGGAAAAAATTATAACAGGAAGGAGATTAGATTTTAAATTTTGAGATTAAAAAAATCTGAATTATGCTAATGAAGTGGAATTTTCGAGATTAAAAACTAAAATTTCAAGATTAAAGTTGAACTTTCAAGATTACAAATGTTGAAATGTCATGAATAATGTCTAAATTTAAATTTTAAAAAGTTAAAAATTTGAGATTAAAGTCGAAAGCAATAAAATCGAAATTTTGAAGTAATCTTGAAATTTTGACTTTAATCTCAACGTTTTTTAATCTCAAAATGTACACATTATTCACGACATTTCTACACTTCTCGAAATTTTGAGCTTAGTCTCGAAATGTCATTAAATCTAAAAAGTTTGACTTTATTGACATAATTTCTATTTTTTTAAATCTTTTAATTTCGATATTATTCACGACATTTTGTAATCTTGAAATGTCGACTTTCATTTTGAAATTTCCACTTTTTTAATCCTGAAAGTTTGACTTCATTGACATAATTTCGATGTTTCTTAAATCGAAATTTCTACTTTCATCTTGAAATTTCAACTTTTATCTCCTTCCTGTAATTATTTTTTTCTCTTCATGTGGCCCTAATCTTTTTTTGTACCTTTCACCCATGTAGCATCAAGTAGTTGAAAAGGTGATGTTTATGTAGTCCAAAGTAGGGATGCGAGCCATTACAGAAGCCTACTTTTAGGCCCATAAAGAGAGAAACAAATCTGCTTAACGCTTGTTGTTTGGATTTTAACACCAAAGACCAGTTCACCAGTGAAAAAAACTTTTAAAGCCATTTAGTCTGCATAACTTTCTGTTGCTGTTTCTCTTTTCTCTCAGTGGGTAAACCCAAGAACCAAGTGATCTCTGCCTGCCGAGACGCCATCAAGAGCAACAATGTCAACGCACTCTTCAGAATCATGAGAGCTGGCACTGCGTCCTCCTGAGGGTGGAGAGAGAGAGAGGGAGGGAGGGCATACGGGAATGGACCGAATGTTTTCAAGAAACAGACACTCTCAAAACCGATAATCACTGTAATGTTTGACTGCCTGTTTAAACACATGGCACCTGCAAGGACTTTTTAACACAACAAGAGGACCAAAAACCAACCATGGAAATCAAAGCAGGAGTTACTTAAGACCACACAATGGGGACACTGCAGTAGCCTTGAACCATGTTTTCATGATTTGAACATTAACACTAGTTGGGCTGCAAAATTTGGCACCAGATCATTTTACTCTAACTTTTCTTGAAACTGAAATCTTCAGAGTTAACAGAATTCTTTTTTTGATCAAGTTAGTGCGTGAGTAAAAATGTGACTAGATCTTCCACTGTTTGGAAGTGCTTCATTTAGTCCAGTTACACCATAGCTAAATAATTCTCAGAGTTGGTGCAGGAGTCATCTGGCAGGAGTGACACACCTATTAAAGGAGTTCAGCTGGACCAGAGCTGTGAAGGGAGTTCAGGCAGTCTGTTTTCATGTTTGTCAAAGTAGAGGGTCATAGACAGTCTGGGTACAGTCTTGATCTAGAGGCATTCTGTGTCCCTCTACATGAATCCCTAAGACTTCTATCAAAATACAAGATTCCTCAGTACTTCAAATATTCTCTGTTAATGTCAGTAGGTAAGAGTGAAGAAAGAGCTAGGCCATAGTGTCCACTTAATGTTTTAGAGGTGTTCCAGATGATGTTGCACAATTCTCAAAGAGTTGTTTAAACTTTAGAAAAGTCATCCAAACTCTGTTTTCCATAAAGACATGGAAGGTTTGGAGAAAATCATGATATCCTGCTTCAGAACACTAACTGTTTAAATCAGTACTCAGTGGTGTTTAGAGAGAGTACAGCTGGAGCCAGACAGACAGAGAGCAGCCTTCTCTTCCAAAGAGCCGTGCCATTAAGGTCACCGGTGGCCCCGTTGTACCCGTGTGACAGCTCACTCAGACTCAGGTCTCTGCTCCAGGCTGCTGTGTGTTTATGTGGTGTTTGTAGCCAAAGAGAACTATTTTAATTAACAGATGTCACAGAGGACCAATGCTGTGTGTTTACCTTTCTGTAGATTGTATATGTATATTGTAAATGTATTTTGTGATCGTGACAGAAATGTTTATTAAATTAACTTATATTGTAAAGGAGCTTAACTTTGTGTGGGGTTGTAATGGCATCATGTTCCTCCCTCTCTGACGGCTGAGTATTCCTCTGGCTGGATGTGAACATAAATGCTAAAATAGGTGTGTATCAGAGCAGAGAGGCGGCCAAACACTTCAGTTTCCTTTCCTCATACAAAAAATCTTTTGTCTAATAGTATGAGTGTGTCTGTCAGTCTGCAGAACAGATGTTTAGCAAACCAACATCCAAGTCTCCCCAAGGCCAACAAATCATGTAGGCTAATATTTTATCCTCATGTTTATTAGAGTGTTCTAACTCACCACTCACAGCTGCTTTGGATCAGCTCTCACTGAGCACCTGAGCTGCAGCAATCAGGGGTATTTGAACACTGCTCAGAGAATCTAATCTTTGATAGACAAGACTTTGTTTTGTATTTGTAAAGTATCTGGTGTGGCAGGAGGCCTTGTTATTATCACATGCATGTAATATCTTAATGAGAATAAGAGGCCTATAAAGCCAGGGATAAATAGTTGGAGCTGTTTGGAGCTAAAAATAACGTTCTACAGGTCTGGAAAAAGTTTGGCAGCATAGCCTTAAAAACAAAACAAACATTTGTAGTGATTGTTATACTAATCAGACAGTGGTAGTGATAATAGGGAGGAGGAAAAGTTAAGAGTCTAAAAATGTGAGAATTGTTTAGAGTTATATTTGTCAGTTCAGCAGTTCTACACAGTGACACATTCTTGGCAGGGTAAGGGGATGAAAACTTTCAGGACAGTTTGATTGAAAGCACACATGTTCAGCCACAAGCTGTTCTCTATAGGTGCTGCAACATATGGTCCAGTAAAGAAACACCATGGCTATAAACCACATTGCTGTTGTTCATGCTGCGTGGGTTAATGTGTGCTCTCTTGTATGGCTCAAAGAAATAATATTTCACAACTGACTCATGTAACTGAGGTGAAACATTTATTTGTGTAAGATGCTCTCTGTTCTTTGTCTACCCAAAGCAGAAAAAAGGTCCAAAACATGCGGGTTTTGGATCCCTACTCCTGTGTAGATACAGAAAGATAAAGAATATGACTCCTCATTAAAATTTCAACTATTGTGCACAAACTACACCCTGCGCTTGGACGTATACTTCCCCTCTGTCCGCCCATCCTCCTCAGTTGCTGTGTTGGCATCTGGCTTGTAGTTGCGCTGCTCCAGCTCAGGTCACGTGAGCGGGCTAAAGGATGAAAATGCTGCGTTCAGGTGATCCTGGGAACTACTCTCAGATACATGCTCCTCAATTCGACTGGATTTGGACAGGTAGACTTAGGAGAAAAAGGGACATTGGGTAATTACTCATTAAAGTATGTAATTGCTAACTCCTTCACTGTCAGCGATTAATCTATATGAAAGTTACCATTACCGTAGGCCTATCAAAAAGCCAAACATTTTTACTGTTCAGTGCTCATTTGGGCAATGTTCGGCAAAACTAAGCCTACTTTTAAAGCCATATTTATTAAATTATTCCGCGTTTCCCTCCTGTTTTATCAGATTTTGTAAATGTTAATCTTATTTTGAATAATTTTTTATTTTGAAATTATCTTCAATCGCATTAAGAATAAATACATGATTTCAGTTTTTGTCAATGGGACGTGAACGTGTGAGCTGTAGCTGTTTTATCTTGAATTTCTGCTGTCACCTTATTCTATGTTGTATTTTGATATGCCTTTGCGCTGATATTTAGGTTTTTAAGTATGTCATGGCGTGGGTTTTAGTATTTCCTACAGCACTCTAAGGCAACTGAGCATAAACGCTGCAGCCTGCCAGGCTCGGTGCCAGATAACGGAGACTTGGGAGTTTTTTTTTTTCTCTTTTACACTCTTGAGTGTTATCATAGCGCGTGTCTTTCCTCGCCGTCACACCCCCCTTAAGTCAGCATGGTTGCTCTCTCCTCTCATCTCCTTTCTCCTCCTTTCCTCTCCTCTCTGTGGATACTTGCTCCTCCAACTTGGGAACAAACTTTCCTCCAACTGTTGCGGTCTCAAACATCCACGGTGCAGATGTTTCCAGTCTGACCTCCTCCTTCGTCCTGCCTGGTAAGTCTGAATGGCTCGTAATACTGAGAGACGCTTTAATACAGTCTTTTACAACTGATCCGATTCTAGGAAGCATGTGCAATAAACGAAAATATGACTTTCTTTCTGTGAGAAGTAGCTGAGATTGTAGTTTGCGACAGTAGCTACCTTGAGAGCTGATACCTGAAAGTTACGCCTTATAAAGAGACGCTAAACTATAACAGACAGTAACAAGCCTGAACACTTTGTTATATTATCCGTAAGCGTTTTTAATGTTGTCACTCAATGCCATGGATGCTGGGACACAGTGTTCTATAAATTTGTTGGTACCCTCATGCTCCCTTACATAAGACCCAGACACTCCCCCTTCTTCAGACGGATTATAAATCGATGGGAATTTTCGTTCGAGAAAATCGCTTTAAATTGGTCAATGCAAAGTTTTCCCTGGAAAAATTGTACCTTAAAATAATGTGAAACATATTGTGACTTTGCTCCAAGCCAGCCGAAATAATCCAGTTTTCAGTGCTCATGATATGTTGAGGTCTTGTAATTATAGGGAAGAAAAGCAGAGGGTGATTCATGCTCTTCGGCTCGATTTTACTGTAAATTTGCTGATTCAAATCCTCGCAACACAAGAAGATTCTTGCAGATGACAGTGGGGGAAAAAGGGTTTCACAGTCATATCATAGACTTAAAGTTTTCTCCTCTGTAAAGCTTAAGTTTGAAGTTTTTCTGTGCAACTCTGATTCACATATCACTTAACCTATTATGATTTATTGCCTGTTGAGTCGTCAAAATTTGATCCATGCTACTTTTTCAGGATGTCTGAACCATGGGAGGGGAGTCAAAAGAGATGAAGAAGATGGGGATGGACTTGGTGCACATACATTCATTGAATGAAGGACCAAATCACTCGAAGCAACTTTTGTGCCCTGTAGTATGCCTGATCAGCTTGTTGGAGTGATTTTGTGCAATGCTGCAGAGAGACAGAAGGACAATTTCCCCAGTCCTGCAGAGTAATCTGCAAACCCCCGATTTCTACAGATTCTGCGTTTGAATCTGGACCCAAAAGCAGTCTTAACTGCAGCGCCCTCTTTCTCATGCATTTCCTGTTCAGTCATTAACTAATATCAGCGTCTCCAGATGATGATGAGAAAGATGGTGACGATAAGGAGGCTCCTCCATATGAAGGGAGATGTGATGTGCACCATGCTGCTACTTATGCTGTTCTGTCTGCTGCTTTATGCTCGCCAGGTAAGGACAGATCCAAGAATTCTTGCTAATGCTGAGATGAGATAAAGTAAACTTGCCCCTTCTTCCATGAATGCTACCCGTGTTTCTAGGTCTTAATCTCTTCAGGATGGGACAGACCCATGTGGAAGCTGGACATCCACGGCTCTACCAGCTCCAGCAGGACCCTGCTTGGGGCCAGTGGGGCCAAAAGAAGCCAGGAGTCTCCAGAGGTATGATCAGTTTAAAGCTATGATACTGGGTCTATACCTGCATCTCAGTACTAGGATCAAGTCATCTTTGTTTTATGACAACCTGTTTTAGGCACAATCATAGTAGGTGCTTAATGCTTGATTTTAATTGGTCAAAATTCTTAGTATTAAAAGGTGCAATGGTTGCAGCTCTAATCTCAGACTTCAGCTGATTACTTTGATTATTCCAAACTAAATGACAGATTAAAGAATGAAAGATTAAATGACTCATCCTGACATGAGTTTGCTCATGGTGGGGAAAAGAAAAGAGAGGTAAACAGTAGAGAGAAGGAAGTAGAGGTAAAGTCATGAAGATGTCAGGTTATGATGTTAGAATATGTTTACCCAGAGATGGACACATGTACCAGAACACTTTATAGGATACATTTGTGTCCAAACACGGATGAATGGACAGAAAAAATGTCACAGACCCTGATAGAGACAGAAAAAGGTCTACAGTGCTCTCACTTATGCAGTCTGGTTTCACATTGTTTAGCTGGAAATGTTGAAATGTTAATTTTAATGCACATGAAACTGCTAATTAAACCTATTTTAGGACATGTGAAGTTTGTTGTGAGTAATAAGAGATAAAGTTGCCTGATTTCAAGAAGGCTGCAGTTACTTGTTAACTGTATACAAATATCCCATTGTGAAAGAAACATTTTAACTGATGAAATATCATTTTAGATCAATTTGATCATTTCTAGATTAAAGCTATGATTTTTTTTTCTTTTTTTTTACTAAATAAAGCATGATAAAACCAGGATAATGTCTAGTGAGTTTGTTTTGCTGTATCAGAATCAATCCTTATCTCTTCCTAGAAAGATGTAAGTTAAAACTTTGAATGTGATGTGTATCCTTTGCTATTACAACTGCAAAACTATAAGACAAAAACTCACAGTTCACCTTCACTTTAATGTATTTCTTATTGTTTTGCGACACCTTCTATTATACAGTGCTGGAGCATTTTGGGCTTCAGTGTCTTCCCTATGCATCATTTGGCATATGAACGGTGATGACTTAGATGCTCCGCTCCAAAAAGATGACTTTGTTGTTTACTGCTTCAGTCTGTGGAGTACATATCAGCTAAGGACAAAGAAATCCCCCCTGAGTGATAGTCGAGATGGTGAACGAGATACTAAGTGTGGTAACCCCTGTATTTGATTAAAAGCTTAAGTGTGCACTGTGCAGGAATAGTTTAGTCTTTCTTTTACTTGCAGCCATTGTTCATCTTTAAGAGATAAGTGTGAAAATCTCTGATGTGCATTTGACATGAAAATCAATTCCAACCCAGTTTGAACAAATATGGATGTAATTTGAATCAGCTCTGAGTCTGTGTCATGAAACAGGACTTAGAATGTGTAGACACAAAGACACGACACCACTCCAGTAGGTCTAAAAGACTCAGGTTCAATGAATCAAGCAGAGGTCGGTACATGGTAAATCAGTCAGCGAAGGCAGAGGTATCCAAAAAGGGCTGAAGCAAAAAAAAGCAAGGTAAAAAAAAAAAGCAAGGAGCTATACACGACATGACTATGACTATGAATGTTAGAACAAAGACAGAAGAGTGCAGCAATCTGGTGACAAGACAGTGAAACACGTGAGGTTTAATACAAGAGGTAATGAGGGTGATGAGAAACAGGTGGGGAGTCAAGATCAGGCAACAAGTGTGACAAGACAAGACGGGGGCAGGGCAGACCAGACAGGAAGAAATCAAGAAGACAGAAACAAGGGTTGGTGGACTACAAAATAAAACAGGAAAGACACGACAAGAAACAAAACATGAACGTGCCAAAATAAAGGAAACCTAACTAACACACACATACTGAAATAAAAAAGGAAACTTAACCGACATGACGGTCTGATCCTCTAACTCACTGTTTTTCAGGATGACTCTTTCTCAATCAAAATCCTGAATCATAAAACTAAGCTTAAAATCCTCAGGATATGATGCTCATTGTACTCATGGAGACAATGTTGAGGTTAATATACAAGACGCATCCAAACACTGTACAGTTTATGTTGTACAAGGTATGAATATTTATGCTGCATATGTCTAGTGCATCTGTGTTTGCACACACACACACACACACACACACACACACACACAGAATGTCTCATTTGTTTTAACAGATCATTAGTCCACTGATTCACAGATGGTCTAACACATGCTGTACTTAAGCAGGAGGAGATCAACAAGAAGCACTATGAACTGAAATCATGATGTTGTTTAAAGATTTTCATATACATATCATGTTCTGAGGATTTCTTCCTTCCTTTGTTTCATTTGACTTTTTTCTGATCAACAGTTCCCATCCAGCTCACCAGGGCCACAGCTTCCTCACTGTAAGCCCCAGCTAAAGGCTAAACCTCCTCAGGCCAAGTCCAAATCTCAGGTCAAGTCCAAGGGGAAATCCAAGTCGCGACGGAAAAGCGTTGCGCCAACTAAGGGTGTTAGAAAGCTGCTGCCCACATTGCCGCCATTTGACTTTGAGACCTATCTGAGAGAAAAGGACAAAAGAGACTTCAATCTGCTCATCGATCAGCCAGAGAAATGTCTCATCGGAGGAGCAAAGGAGGAAGAGAGAGGAGGAGGAGGAGGAGGGGCAAGTGAAGGGGCCACTGCTCCCTACATGCTCATCGCAGTGAAATCTGTTGCTGCAGATTTTGATAAACGTCAGGTAAATTAAGTCATGTCTATAGGTCTTTGTAACTCTATTATGTATTACTTTTGTAAAATTCCTGGTTTGGTCAGCACAGCTTTTCAGAGAAGTTGGAGCTCATAGCCGAAAAGTTTATGCTACTATGCTAAATACTGACACATTGAAGGAATGATCCTGAAGGTCTCTTTACTTAGGACATACCTATTTACTGAAAAACTTGAAAGACTTTTTCTCAGTTTTTTTATTGTGGTTCAGCAGCAGCAGCAGCTGTGTTTACAGCGCTCATAAACCCAATGTACAGAAAAGAGATGCATTTAATGAGTATAGAAACAGGGTTCACTCAGGAGGCGGGGAACACTAAACTCGAGCTGATAGAAGATTGGAAATTGGACCTACTACCCCCTAGTGGACAAACATCAATTAAATAAATAGTATTCTTTTAAGTCACTGTTTTGTGAAGAAATGACTCTGTATCTTTCTCCTTTTCTTTCTAGGTGGTACGCCGGACCTGGGGCAGAGAGGGTCTTTACCAAAATGGTGTGTCCATCCGTACTGTTTTTCTGCTGGGCGTCCCCAGGAATCGAACTTCACTACCGCTGTGGGATCGACTTTTGACTTATGAAAGTCAAACCTTCAGGGATATTCTGCTCTGGGACTTTGACGACACCTTCTTTAACCTGACGCTGAAGGAAACACATTTTCTGAAGTGGATTAACAGCAGCTGTCCTGATGTCAAGTAAGTGTTCATACCATAGACTCAAAATAAAATGGACACCGTCTGCCTCCTGGGTGAAACCACCGTGAGAACAGCACCCTCTGGTGACGAGCTGCAGTATAGGTCATAAATCCCACCTTCTCCAGCAATCCCTATGGAGCTGTAGACAAACTTTAGAAATTTATTACACAGAATATACATTTTTCTCCCCCCGGTTGCCATGTTGACATATAGTTACTGTAGGACTGGTTTGTGCTCAAGTCCTGTTTCTTCTGTGCAGTTCCGTTTTTTTTAAGTTATTAAGGGTTCTTGTTTTCTATGATTGACACTTGATACAGTCTATGGGTGTACAAAGATTGCATAGCTCACCCAGGGGATACACAGTTTGAGCCGAACATCATCACTAGGGCCTGATCAATATATGGATTTTTTGGGGCCGATGCTGATACTGATTATTAGGGGGGAAAAAAATCTGATTAGCGATTAATTGGACAATTTTTTTTAAAAATTATGAAGTTATAAAGAATACTTCTATACAGGATACTATATACTGTAGATATACTGTAGGCTACTGCTCTTCACACCAACAGAAAGACCGGCTGATCAACCTCGGACCAGAAAAGCATTTTTAACTACCCCCCCGCCGCCAATCAGTGCCTTCGCGTCTTAAGTCATGTTATTCATTTCCTGTCTGGTCTCATCTGGAGACATGCAGCTGCCTCAGTAGGAGAAGTAGCTCGATCACGTAATGTGTACTGTTGTTAATTCAACCGTTACTGGCACGGCTAACAGTGTAGCAAGGCTAATAACAGATGGCTAACTCTAACTTTAGCTTGCATGTTACATGGTGCTTCACCGCTAACTCGGCGTGACCGAGACCAGCACAGCGGAGAACATCGTGAAGTGGGTTGAACTGAAACTTGTTGACTTATTGTGTATTTCACAAATTGGTTTATTTACCGTTGAGGCGGACCATTCTCCTCCGTGCGTCCCTGAGCTGCCTGCTTCAGATCCATCACTCTGCTGTGCTGTGAGGTAGTTAGTGGATGAAGATTGTCATGAGGTCGCTGTGCCATCTACAGGATAAGCAGGGGAACTTTTCAGATGGTTGAACATTTTTGAATTGAAACTGAATCTTATTCTCCACATTTTATTTCTGAAAATATCGGCCATAATCAACGAATATTGGCCGATTATCGATGAGTCTCAAACGGGCTAAAATTGGCCGAATTAATCAGCTCACTGATAAATCGGTCGGGCCCACTCTTGGCCACTCTCCCGCCAAATGTTACCACGCAAGTGGAGAAAATCCCGGAAGTACTTCGAGCAATTGGGCTTTAAATTCGTATAATGACGGAAGGCGGAGCCAAGTTGTTCATAGTATATATACAGTCTATGGTTCATACTGTGTAATCAAGAGCTGGTCTGACTGGAAGCTAAAAGTGACTCAGATCTGTTTTTTCCCTCATACAGGTTCATCTTCAAAGGTGACGCAGATGTGTACGTTAACATTGAGAATATTCTGGAGATGCTTCAGGGTCAAAAGCATGATGAGGATCTGTTTGTTGGTGATATCATATTTAATGCTAAACCCATTCGGCGGCGTAGTTCCAAGTACTATGTGCCAGAGTTTGTTTATGGAGGGGGTCTGTACCCTAGCTATGCTGGAGGCGGAGGGTTTGTCATGTCAGGACTTACTGCTCGGAAACTCAGCATGTCCTGTCAACAGGTACGTCAGACTCTAACAATTTGGATGCTTTATGATGTGTCTTCCAGGTTCTCTGATCTAATATCTTTGTTTTTTTTTTTCACTTAAAGGTTGAGTTGTTTCCTATAGATGACGTCTTTCTGGGAATGTGCCTCCAGATAATCGGGGTCAAGCCGTCACGCCACCAAGGGTTTAGGACTTTTGGAATCCCGAGACCATCTGCAGCGCCCCACCTGCAGACATTTGACCCATGTTTTTACAGAGAACTCATGGTTGTTCACAGCCTCTCTGTCCCCCAGATCTGGCTCATGTGGAACCTCCTGCATGACCCCAATCTGAGCTGCCATAATAGGACCAGTCCCACATCCTGGCCTTTTAAGTGGAAGGAGAAAATAAAAGAAAATGAGGACCAAGGTGTGGATTACGAAGGGAAGCAGGTGTTTGTCACGCATTAGGGACTCTCTGCAGGGATCTGCGCGAGCTCTTGTGAGCACAGAATGATTAGAAAGCAGGATCTATGGCCAACTTGAAAGGCTTGTGATGTGTTCAAAAGCACAGCTGAGTCATATGAGACTTTATCCAAGCTGGCAGATCATCTTTGGGGAAATGAACTGGCAAAGGCCAAATCTGCATCAGATTTTTCTGAGAGGAAACCCAAAGAGAGTTCAGGCTTTTGCCAAGTACGCCCATCTGTGCTCTAGTCTGTGTTTGGGATCAACCGTGCGGCAAGTCCTTGATTTGCAAAGATGAATGCATGATGAGTTGACTCTCACTGGACTCTTGGATGTTTTATCCTCAGAATGTATCGTGTTGTAATTGTTTACACAGAGATTTACCTACAGTAGCTCGACCTGGACTAAAAGATTAAATGTGGTTAGCTGGTTTAACCTCATCCATGCATGAATGTATACCTGCGTAACTGAGACCACAGCATTGTCAATAATGTGACTTTCTTTGGACTGAGCGGACACCCAGGACTGATAATGGCTGTGTGTGCTGAATGAGTGGAAAGACTGCAGGGACTTTGTGTCCTCGCCGTGAATCACTTGCAGAGATGCACCTCACTGTGTAATGCTGGATAAAGGCACAAACGGTCTGTCCTATTATCTGCTCCCCGGAGGGAAAGAAGAAAAAGCCGAAATGGAAACCAGCCGCACATTAGGAACCAGCTGGGACCACAGCACTCCCACATACTCACAGAAACAAGACATCTGTTGAGAGTTTGTGAAAAAGCATGGTATACGAGGTGTCAGGCATGTGCTCTTTCATGCGAACACTTCGGCTTTAATCACAAGAATCATGTTTTGATTTGGCATTTATCACAACCTAGTTCCTACAGATTTGAGTTTTACGTCTTTTTGACAGAACAACAGGGTCACAGTTTTGGACGGATGCAAACTTCCGTGCCGTCTGGAAAGAACTTGCAGTGCTGCTTCTGACTAACAAAGGCTTACCACACAGATTCAATACTTTAGTCATAATGGAGAAATCTGTGCCAGGAAAACATCAGTCTGACTGTGAAGGAGCAAAAGCATCTTTGAAGGGATATTCCAGCATAAATTTAAGTCATGGTCAAACACACCGTAACACAGGGTTAGACACACCCTCAGGAGATGAATGTAGCTGACTGCTTGCTTCTCTAGTTATACCAATTTTAGTAACGACCACATGAAAGCAATCAATCACCACGTGCAGCGGAGTTTCACAGCTCAAGGAAGAACATTTATGATTATTAATTAATTCAGAGCAAGACGCTAAGGCAGAAAAACTACCTCGTCTGCAGTGCAAAATTATTAATAGGATGATTATTACTTTAAGGAAATGTTACGCTGCACTCGTTGATCGACTCGTCAGGGCTGCCCCCACAAACAAGCGGCTGCTGGAGGAGAGTGGGTGAGTTGTGTTTGGTCTCTTTGCTAAAGAAATCAGACAAAGCTAAAAAGATGTTTGATGGCTAGTGCTGTGGCTGGGACCCTATATGTACTGTTGGTGAAGTTAGGTGCTGTTCTGAGCATTATTTGTGGCTATAGAGTGGCTCTTTGGTTGAGGTTTGTGCATAGAGACGTAGACTGCTGTGTATTGCCATCATGCGGTCGTTACTAAAGTTGGTATAACTAGAGAAGCAAGCAGTCGACAACATTCATCTCTTGAGGGGGTGTCTAACTCAGTGTTACGGTGTGTTTGACCATAACTTAATTTTACACTGTAATATCCCTTTAAGCTCCATGACATTGAGTTTTGAAGTGATGTCTGAGTTTTGGTTGAAAGTTTGTGCTCACAAATCATCCAAAGGTATTTATTGGGATGTCTGCTGTCCAAGGGAACAACATGATGTCTAGGTTGTTTCAGTACATAAAGTAAGATGTTGCAACCTCAATGCTTGACTGAAGTCTCAACATGTGGTGTAGATGCACAGTACAGCTGGTTGACAATGTGTGATTAGGAGTTGTTGACAAAAACAAGGGGAGATGTGAAATTAAAAGAAGTTGGTTGCGTCTGAATAGCGAATGTTCAGCTGCACTTTGTTTACGAAGCGACAAAAAACCTCACAAACATCCAGTTTATAAGAGCAGAGGAAAATCATGGAGGAAAGGGCAGATTTGGAGGCAGACTGCTTATCTCCCAAGTATAAAACTGTCTCTGTCTTTGTGACTAATGAAAGAACAATCCTGCCAGACTTTAACACAAAACAGATGTTGAGGTTTTGCTCACAGTCAAAAGTTAAACTTGCAAGCTTGTATCAAAGTTTCAAGGTTGAATAAATTAAAGAATAAAAAACTCCCACTTTTTTTTCACATCCACATTTTTATTGTTTTTTTTTTTCATATCCTGGTTGCACACACAAAAATGGACTGTCAATGAACAGTGAGCGTTTGATTTAATTTAAGTCCAAATGTTGCATTGAGTTATTAGATTGCACAGCGGTAGCTCATCTCAGCCACCCTCATCGGACACAGCTCAAAGATTCATTCAGCCACAGCGAAGCGTTCAGTCAACCATCATCCTTCTCTTTGCACTACATGGTTTTGTTATTGCCTGTTTTTCCGTGGACATGCTGAATAAGTCGACTTGTTCCGTTGTACACAAAGCTAAGTATTCAAAATATAAAACGCCACATTCCAATGAATTTCACAAGTTTGAATTAAGCAGAACCGCCCCATTTCCAGAAACGGGCTTTAAAATATCCACATTAAAAAAAAAAAAAAAAAAATTCTGAGGAGGAGAAGCCGGATGGGCAACAGAACATATGATACCAATAACAGACAATACAAAGCGGTAATATGAGATTATCATTACACTGAACTGAAGCCGTCCATTATAAATTACAACAATCTGATTATGACAATCATTCATTCCTGCATTCAATCAAAGAATACAAAAAGAAATAAGGTGGAAGTTCAAAACCACTCAGACCTCCTGATTTCACTTGTTTTTCTCACTGAAAAAATAGTCGAAAAACAAGGATGTGATATGTCCACCTGAGTTTGGGTGAGATTAACTACCCAGCACCCTAAAGCTCCTCTCTCTGTCTCGATCAGTAACAAAGCATCCTCACAGCACTGACCGTCTGTGACCTTAGGTTGGGTTTACCAAAACAGGTTACACTTTGTCTGTTTCAGGCCTGATTCCTGCGTGCATTTCCTTTCAGATCTACTGTTCTGTTTCTTTCATGGTGAGCTTTCTGCCTCTAGTCGGACAAATCTGGAGCACGCTTGAAGATCTGTAGGACTTTAAACATATTTCAGTTCAGTATCGGAGGGGGCAGCACATGGTTTCCCACCAGTTTTAAAGAAAATCTCTCATTTAGATACCATCAGGCATTTTCCTTTAAATTTTAGCAACTGCATTGTAAAAGTTAAACATTTCACAATAACTGTGGTTTTCATTATGATTAAATATGGACAATTGCACACTTGGTGTTTTCTTGTAATAAACAAAGAAACATAACAGAATGAATGAACAAGAACATCATAGAAGTAAAAACTCATCCCCGTTTTGGGAAACCCAACCTAAGCTGCTGTTCTCTACAGGTAACAGGAAAACTAAAACAGCTGAGACGGTCAAATGACATGTTCGCTTGCTGCTCATGCTCAGTGACACGCACACGTATGTACTGTACAATGATGCAGTTCAAATCCTATTTACAGGGAGATTCCTTTTTACAGAGGAGATAGAGACAGAAGTCAAAGACAGGCTCGGTGGGAGATGAGGCACAATGTTCAACAGTTTTGTGTTTTTTTTTTCTCTTAACTTTGCTGAAAAGCACATTTTAGAAAATGTTGTAATGCAGCTTGTATATCATATTATCATACAGTTCCCTCTTTTGACTCAAGAGGTGGACAGACCAGGTAAGAAGTAGGGAACTTAAAGCGTTTAATGCTGGACAGCCGTCAATCTTCTTCAACATCTTCTACCTGGAAACTTGATGAAAAATTAGTTTGTTTTTTTTTAATTCGTCCTTTAAAATAACTCTAATTTCATCTCTTCTGCATCCAGAAAACACCTCATCCTTTTGAGTTTGACTAAAAGAAAGCTGCTGCCAAAGGCAGATTTTTTTCAAGTGTAAACAAATGGACATCAGATCCAGCAGCATGCCAGTGCTGGACTCCAAATCAGAGTCTGTCCACTGTCTACTCGACACAAACATCTCGACTTCACAGCTCTAAACAGGTCCGGTTTTTCTGTCCTCTTTGTATTTTTATGGCATTTCTGGGTGTTAAATATTAACACCCTGCAGTAGCGGGTCAAGCAGAGCTCAAGCAGGGCTATTGTCTGGCACCCAACACTTATCTGTACCTGCAGTTTTTGCATTGCACATAAACACGTTTCAATACTGAGTGGTCCGGAGTGAAAGACAAAAACAACTTCCAGTGATAGTTGATGAGCCATGTGTGAGCTGAGGCCTCCTCCTGAGTCGTACGTGTGATCAGAATCATGGAGGAGTATTATTAGGATACTCGGCCAGTGCCTGAGTCAGTTGTGTCTGTGCCATTAAGATCATTTTAATAAAAGGACACTAGATTAAGAGCACACAACTATTTACAGCATGTACATCAACATCAACTCAAAGCATCAGGGCCTGAACACAGAGACATCATCTCTCTGACTGGATGACACAGATTTTTCTAAATGCTCTGTAAAGTGCTCACTTGCACATTAAGCTATCACAAGTTTCTCTTCACAGTCCTGAAAAAAAAGCCAAGTTGTGCTGATAAAGTTCTGAATTCATTCTTTAGTAGCTAAGACTAAAAAAAAATCAGAGTTTTTATTATCAATAAGTCTCCAATAGAAGTGAAGAAAAAGCTTCCTTGTTCATTTTCATTGATGAAAAAAATGTGGATGCTGCTGGCTGGAGGAAGCTGAAAATGAACCGATCAATCAATGCAGTTTGCTTTAGTTGTTCAATAAAGTAGAAAAAAAAGAAAAGGCAGAGTGAATTTTAACGACTTAGACTCTGCAGAGATGAAGCATTCAGAAAGAAATCATTTTTCAAACCATCTATATGTCACTCGACTGCCTGAAACTGGAGCATGTTCTCATGGTAACAGACCCTGGTTCAACCCTGATGCCTTCACACATGTTGATCAAAACGAGTAAGAATTCAGCAAGAGAGGAAAAAAATAAAAGAAGAAAAAAAAACAAACATTAACACTGGCGTGTACACACCAGGACAATAAAAGAGAGAGCGTGTGTATTAAAATTAATACACAGTTTATTCAAATGCTCATGAGGATAAGAGAATTTTAATGCAAACATTGGGAGGAAGAAAAATAGACAAACAAATGATTTGATGATGGAATGCCTGGTGTTTCCCATTTCTGAAACGGGTTCATATTTACTAATTCCAAAATTAAATCATGTTCAATCTTTGAATTAAAGCGCCTTAAAACAACAATAACCTCCGTAGAAGAGACAACCCTAGGATGGACTACGGTGGTTGGTAATTTAGTTAACGTGTCTATGACAGAAACCAGATCCAGATGACAGACAAGTCAATTGTTGTTGTAAAACCTCTCATTGAAGTCAGCTTTTGTCATGCTGTGCAATTACTGTCTGCAGTTCTAAGAAACAGGAGCTGGATTTAGAGGCTTGACTAAGATAATGGCTTTCTTTGACGCTCAGATGAGAAACTAAAGGAGAAAAGAAAGGAGACGCCTGCTCCGATAGGACAGGTTTAAAGATTGAAGATTACAGTGATAATGTCAGCAGATCAAATAAAAATCATCCTGAAACGTCTTTGGCTATAGCATTTGGCAATTTGATGAAGAAATAGAAGCAGAGATAAAAGCCGAGGGATGAACTGCAACACTTCAGTCAGATGTGGGGATGAAGAAAGCACAGAGTAAGAAGAGAGTAACACAGAAGACAACAGCAAAAACACACCCACTGTACATCTTTGCTGTGTCAACACTCACGCACATTCACACACACACGCGCACACAACCACCTGCAAAAGTCTCCACAATTACATCTCAAAGGATCGGAAAATCATAACCAATCAAGTAAAAAGGTGTGTTTTAGTGCAAATGTCATAATGGTTGTTTTGAAAAGAATACAACTAAAGTGGTCATGGTGTGCGTGGGTGAGGCAGGGCAGAGGGGTCAAAACAACAAACTGTGTGCCGGGTCAATGTCTTCACTACATGCAGGGTCAAACAAAGAGCGCAGGTGGCCAGTTTGTGCTTGTAATCAGTCTCACCTTTCCACAGCGTCAGCCAAGTTCATGCAAATTCTCACATCATGCCTGCTTGTTTCCATTTTTGAGTCGTGTTTAAGAAAAGGCTCAAAATGTTAAACTGGACCTCATGTATCAGAAATACATGTGACAATAGTCAGGAACTGAAACTCTGTGTGTGTGTGTGTGTGTGTGTGTGTGTGTAAGTGCGTGTGCTTGAATCAGTCAGTTAAAATGTCCATCTCAAAGCCAGCAGCCAATCACATGCAGATGCTCATTTATGTGAGTGTGTAAGCAAGGACAAAGACACAAACGTCCGGAGCGTCAAACAGCTGTAGGTTCATACAGTTCTTACTGCTGTGTGCTAGTGTGTGTGTGTATGTGTGTGTGTGTGCGTGGGCACCACTGAAGAAGGTTGTAGGAGGGTACATGTGAGGTTGGATGAAGGAGACAATCTTCGGTGGAGCTGATGTAACGTGTTTGGATCGTTTGGCTTTCCTGGGCTTCATATCTGGTCACCAGGCTGCTCAGGGTGTGCTGTGCTCCTCTTGTCTCCCCTAACCCCGACTGTGTTTGGTTCTCATGTCTGACAACATCTGAATCCTCATGTTTGTCTGTTTTTGGTAACAGTCCTCTGTAGCTTTTCGATGGCTCTGGCTCGGGCTGGTTTGATTTTTGTGGTTTCTGGTTTTGGGTCTGGTTCTGGAGCTGTGGCAGGAAGACAGGCTGTGCTGCCTGGTTGGGCTGGCAGTGTGATCAGTTGATGTGTATTCAGTGGGTCATGCCAGAGTGTGTGTTTGAGACTTTGGCTGCAGTGGGCAGATTGGTGATGTTACATCCCTACAACTCTCTGATGTCTCACGCTGAGATTTGTAGCAGACGATGTTTAAATGTTGATCTTTCTCCACCGCACAGTTCTGGAGGTTGTCCTCACAGACAGACTGCAGTCACAGCGCTGTCACCAAGGCAACCATGCCAACCTAACAACAGTCTGGGAAAACTCTTCTTGGTTTTGTGGTAAATGTAGTCCCTGCATGTGATAGGAAATAGCTGAGCTCCACTGAAGCACTGATTTCTTCAGCCCCTTTCAGAACCAAGACATCATTTTGCCACTTTTATTTCAAAGCATCAGTCCTCCAGCACCGTAACCATGACAACAGATCCTGGATTGCCTGGGTTGGGCTTCTTGTGCAGACTGTAAGAGTGAGTCTTCAGGACCAGCAGGAAGAGTTGATTCATGCCCGGTTTGATTTGGATGGTTGTGGGTTCTGGTTTGATGTTCAGGTTTATGAGTAGCATATGAGCAGGAATGTCTTTGTTGTTCTGGTTTAGGTCTGCTTGGTAAGGAATCTGGCTCTGGGTTTACAGGTTCAGTCAGTAGAAGTACAAGATTCAGGACAGGCCAAATGGGATATGGTTCTGGTTATTTGTTCAGTGGGAACTACTACTGGACTCGGGTCTGGCTTGACTGGCGGTCCGTGGAGCTCCATAGAGAGTCACTGATGCTATGTGGTTGTTCTGCATCACCTGTGGAAGGAACAGACATCAAATATGAGCGCATTTAGAGCATATGTAACTAAAATAGGGGTGGGAGAAAATTGATACAGCATAGTATTGCGATATTTTGTCTGGTGATATATCGTATTGTCTCATTTACCAAGTACTGATTTTCAAATTAATTGCTAATATAAAGTCAACAATAACAATAACAAAAATAAAATCAGCAGTTTGCCCAGTGAGGTTGGCAGAGGTGATGTCATAGAGCAGGAGAAAGTTAGTACAACAAATATATATGAGGTTTGTAAGATGTGCTACATGAAAATAAAATACAGTGTAAATAAGACAAACATAAAGGAAAGACAAATGCTAAATTAGATAAACAGTTGAAAAAATTGTTTAAATGCAATATATTGTATCGCAATACTCACTGTATTGCAAAATGTTAAAAATTGCAATAATATCGTATCGTGGCCCGAGTATTGTGATAGTAATGTATAGTGGGGCCACTAGTGATTCCCACCCCTAAAATATATGGTGCTGAAATTCTGAAGAAATAAGTGTGAACAAAAAGGCTTTAGGATTTTGGTTTTCCAGTGGAAAAAAAGTAGAAAAAAACTTAATCGATACAGACTATCGTGATTGAATAAAAGACCAAATAAACACGACCCATCCGTGTCGCTTTGAGGTGGTCACAAAAGATCTCTTCTTCAAGCCCTCCAGACAACTGGAGCTCTCTTGATAACTGTAGGTTTACATACATCATACACGTGAGAGTTACAGTAAGAGATATTTGTATTCTGACCTCAAAGATCATCCTCTGCAGTCCGAAGCAGAAGGTAGAGCCAAAAGGGTTGGTGTTATTGGCTGAAGAGGACCTGCCAAACACAGCAAACATGATCATGTCAGAGAGGACCCTCATGGAGATAACATCAAAGATTTTAAGTTTCTTAACTAACAACATGAACATGCTCTCACAAATTATATTCTTTTTTTGTGATAGACAAATAAAACAGCTCTGATCCATTACGTGTGTCCGCAGAATAGGACATGTCTTTACCTGTGGAGGACAACAGGTTTTTCCATAGGGTGACCCAGCAGCTCCTGAATCTGATCCCACTGACAGAGAGACAAAAAAAATAAGACAGCTATTAATTAAGAGTCAACATGGATTTGATCACAAATCCAGACCTGCCTTAAGAGTCAGCACAATGTTAGTTCCTACATGACCGTGCCTCTATTTCCACTGGCCGACTGTCTGTGCAGCAATGAAGACTGGGGGCCTCATCTAACATCCAGCACATAACATTAGAGTATGCAGGACAGGTCCTTATTTTCTGCCAAACACAGTTAAAACTTTTTTTTTTATGTAGAGTGCCTACATTGTGTAAAAAGTGAGTAAACTTGCACAGATGTAGCACCAATGGATATGTCAGTATTCAAATGAGGTGTGGTCAAGCGCAAAGGTGTTGCACTGAGAAAGCAGAGAGCATCTACGCCTTTTTCACATCTTACTAAGACATCTAAGCAACATGTCTGCCTTAAGGCGCACGTTAAGGCTCTTACCGGAAATAAAGACAAATTCACTGATTGGCTTGATTATCATTTGGGTCAAAACACACTTTTGAATAATCAAGGGGCTTATTCAGACTTCTTTCAGCCATGTGTCTACCTAACCACATCAATTAAAGGGATATTCTGGTGTAAATTTAAATTATGGTCAAACACAATGTAACATAGAGTTATACAACACCTCAAGAGATGAATGTTGTTGACTGCTTGTTTCTCTAGTTACACTAACTTTAGCAAATAGCAATACAGAGCAGTCGCCGTCTCTATGCACAAAACTCAACCCAAAAGCCACTCTATAGCCACAAATAATGCTCAGAACAGCACCTAACTTCATCAACAGTAGGGTCCCAGCCATAGTGCTCTCCTCCAGCAGCCGTTTGTTTGTGGGGGGAGCCCTGACAAGTCGATCACTGAGTGCAGCGGAAAATTTATTAATATTACTTCATGGAGATTCAATCAGACCGAGACACTAAGGCAGGAGAACTACTGCGTCTGCAGTGCACAAACAAGATTCACAAGAACTCTGATTGCATTTCCATGTAGTAATAATCATAAATGTTCTTCCTTAAGCCGTGAAACTCTGTGATCGACTCGTCAGGGCTCCCCCCACAAACAAGCGGCTGCTGGAGGAGAGTGGGTGAGTTGTGTTTAGTCTCTTTGCTAAAGAAATTAGGCAAAGCTAAAAAGATGTTTGAAGGCTAGTACTATGGCTGGGACCCTATATGTACTGTTGATGAAGTTAGGTGTTGTTCTGAGCATTATTTGTGGCTATAGAGTGGTGTTTTGGTTGAGGTTTGTGCGTGGAGACGTAGATCGCTGTGTATTGCTATCATGTGGTCGTTACTAAAGTTGGTATAACTAGAGAAGCAAGCAGTCGGCAACATTCATCTCTTGAGGGGGTGTCTAACTCGGTGTTACGGTGTGTTTGACCCTAACTAAATTTTACACCAGAATATCCCTTTAAGCTGTGTTTAACTTGTAAAATGTGCTCAGACACCCTGACTCACTTTGGACACCATATAGATAACTAGAACAAGGCTCATACACTTCAAATCATTGCATCATTGCAAGGGGAAGATCAAATGTAGTGCCTACAAGTAATATATGGTTGTAAAAGCATGATATCACATGACTTAGACATTACTCTACATGTAGTGGCTGCAGTTTAATACAGATGTAACAGTATCACTTTTTATGCTCTGCACATAAGGTTTAAGTAAGATTTAGAGGCTGTGTAAAAGAGGTAGGAGGGCTGGAGTAAATCAATCAATGAAAACATCACACATACTGATTGTTGTTCCCTTGGTCTCAGAGCACCATCTCTGCTGATTCACAGCAACAGTAAAGGACTGACCTCACACAAATCAGCAAGAAGAGAGGTGTGGAAGTCAAAATTAAAATGCTCTCAGCTCTGCTCAACCCTGAGGTAAATGGCAGGTATCTGAATCCAGTCACACACACACTCCTGTCCCTCCCTGTACTATATCCTGTATGTTAGTGTTAAGCTCAGCCCTACCCTTGGTGAAATCAGCTTACAGATATGCAGCTCTGTGCTGTTGCCTGTAAGCCGCTAACAAACCCCTCTTTAAACTGGTCATGTTGAACAGGAAAATCAAAAGTGTTGATTCAGCCTGTGGACCACTTTGCTGCAAGTAGTTGTGACATTCTTATCTTGAATGCACCGTCTAAACTGTCCTTTGCAGCTCATAAACTCTTGAACTGACCTTGCTGTAGGTGGTTAAGATGCAGTCCTCTGTCTGAGAATCAGCTCCTTCTGAAGCACAGGGGCACAATAACATAGACACAGAACAGACATTAGATAAACATCATCACTGCTTCTTTGAAGAATTCATGACTGAAAACTGTCTCACCTTTCTTAATGACCAGAGGAATCTTAAAGTCACATCGATGATATCTGGGATGAGAGAGCATAGCGATGAGACGAACAGAATGTTAGAATAAAAGCTTCAATTTCACTGTGACAGAGATATATAAGAGACAAATGGAGGCCCTGTTTGTCTGATACCATCATGTTGCTCTAGGGTGGGGACAATGACACATGTTAAAGAAAGAGAGCAGGGCTGAGACAAGTGTGAAGGAATCAGAGAGGATTGAAGAATGACAGGTAAAATAGTATTTACATATTGAAGTTGTAATGTCCAGGAAAGTTGGTATGAAGAACAAACTTCTTGACCAGGTGTGTTGTGGAGTCAAACAGGATATCCTGCAAAATAAAAAAAACACAATCTTTGACATTTATTTTGCACAAAAAATTTGATCAGACCAGCTCACTAAAGGCTTTTCAGGTGAGAATGAAGTGAGGAGGAAATGCAGATAGTGCTCCTAAGAATTCACACCCAGCCAGTGTAAGCAGCTGAGGGCTGAACAGAGAGAAAGGAGTTCGACCTTATGTAAAAACAGGTCTGAAGAGGAAGCTGCTCCACTTAAACAAATGAGCTGACTCAGGGAGAAAGACTGAAGAGCAGTTTCTGACAAAGCTCTGCTATAAAAAATGAAGGGTGTGATGTTTCTGTGCAGTATGGTTTAAAACAGACAGAACACAATCGGCCCCATGATGAATATCCAAAGAAGCTCACTTGAGCTGAAGTGCTCCTCTCGCTGTTACATTATTACACACACTTCACTTCCAATAATTCACTACAAAATGTGATGTTTCACTGATTTGAAAAAAGATTTCATAGGTATGTACAAATTCAGTTGAAACTAGAAAAGCACTCGGAGAGGGCAAACCTCTGCCAAGCAGCTCATGTCCCCCCTTATATTGTGATTCACACCAAAGTTTTAACTTAATGTGTCTTTTATTAACTTTTAAACTGGTATGCCCTGACCCGGATTCGAGCCCATGACCTCCTGGTTGTGAGACGACAGTGCAAACCACTACACCACTATGCCGCCTATCTACACCCCACACACATCTACACACCGACGCCCTTATTTTTGTGTGTTCTGGATCACAGTATCCAGAATTTTGTCCGGATCACCACCAAAATGTAATGGGATCCTCCTGGGGCTGAGAAGCACCTCTGGTGAAAATTTCAGGTCAATCAGTCTGTTACTTTCTCTGTAAAGTTGCTAACAGACAAACAAACAAACAAACAAACCAACGCTACCGAAAACAATAGAAAAGCACTCGGAGAGCGCTGACCTCCGCCAAGCAGCTCATGTCCCCCCCTTACACAAGATATGCCCTGACCGGGATTTGAACCCATGACCTTCTGGTTGTGAGGCAACAGTGCTAACCACTACACCACTGTGCCGCCCATTGTTTATCTTTCAGCATAGAAAATTCCAACAACACCCTTATTTTTGTGTGTTCTGGATCACAGTATCCAGAATTTTGTCCAGATCACCACCAAAATGTAATGGGATCCTCCTGGGGCTGAGACGCACCTCTGGTGAAAATTTCAGGTCAATCCGTCTGTAACTTTCTCCGTAAAGTTGCTAACAGACAAACAAACAAACAAACAAACAAACCAACGCTACCGAAAACATAACCTCCTTGGCGGAGGTAAAAAGATTTTCCACAAGCCCACGGTAAGTTATGTAGGTCCGCTCAAATCTTGTGCAACATCAGTAGCAGCAGCAGTGAGACATTATGGCGTGGAGCTCCCATCCTCAACCACTTCCCCTTCAAACTCCCTCACAGTGTAAAAGCTGTCCTCTCAGGATAGCAAGAGGAATTTCACTGCGGGCACTTACAAGTGATTCCAACTCTTTCCCTCCCTGTTCTTTGGCTTCAAGAAAGGATCCGTTTCAGCACACAGAATGAAATGTCCCAGTTTAACCAGATTAACACAAAGAAGAACAAAACAGTACTTTCAAAACATATAAACAGACAGACAATCAGGCTTTGACTGAGCCACATACCACTCCGAGGGTGAAGTAGTTGAAGAAGTAGTCGTTACATTTAGAGGGAACTTGTTTGTGAGGTGATGGAGAGTGGATCTTCATCTTAAAGGAAACAAAGAGCACAGAAATGTAAGTATAAGGCTTCATTTCTAATGCCTAAACTGACTTGTTTCATATTCAGCAGAGACAAAGTCTTGTCTTTTGCCGGACCTCTACCTCTGACTACTTCATTCTCAAATATTTGAGTCTCCCTCTCTCTTTAGTCTAGTAAAATAACAACTTTATTTCAGTACCATTATCACTACATTTTGGCAAGTTTTGGCTTTATTCTGGAAATTTCAAGTGCCATAATTTAATGGGCTTCTGTTTGTATCTGTGGTGTTTAAAATGCTTTATGAGTCACTTTTTATCTTTGATCGTCTGTGGTTCTTCTGCTGTACCGGACAGTGTGTACTGTTTTGTACCTGGGGTTATTAGACAAGAACTTGATTGAAGTGGTAGGTTAAACAAAAAAGAACATCTTGAAATAAATGTATTTTATTTGAAAAGTTTATGACTCTACAACTGTAACAAAAAAAAGGCAGTTTGTTTGGGGGTGGGAGAAAAAATTGATACAATGTTTTGTCTTGTGATATATTGTATCATCTCATCAAGTATTGATTTTTTCAAATGAATTTTTAATATGACGTCAAATCTACAATAAAGGAAAAATAAAATCAACTGTTTGTCCAGTGAGGTTGGCAGAGGGGACATCATGGAGCAGGAGAAAGTTAGTGCAACAAATATATGAAAGGTTTGTAAGATGTGCTACATGAGAGAAGCATTTGCACTAAACATATAGAGTACTGTAGGTCATAATTTAACAGGGTCTACTGTTTTGGTTTGATAAAGGAACACTCGTGTTGAACAGGGATACTTCAATTAGTTTCAACTAAACAACACCACAAGTAACAGTTTTCCTACCTTGTCCTCAGACTTGTAAAAGACTTTATGTGGTGAGCCCAGAGCACCCAGAACATCCTGACAAGAGTCCCCAAAATAGATGTTTCTTTCAATAGACCTGACTTTCGCATCAGCCATCACACCTGGACCACAACCTGCACCAAACACATTCAAACAAGAAGTAAATAACCTGTTCCCCAGATTATCAACAAGGAACACAATTCAAACAAGTGAAACAAGCTTTTATTGATGCGTCATTGCAACTAAAATGTGAGGACTGATGCTGAAACCTTTTCTCTTTCTTGTGTACTGGATTTACACCTACATTCTATGCAACTTTATTTAAAAAACAATTTTATATCATTTTTTTATATCTCATATTATTGCTATTATTAATATTGGACTATCTTTTAATGTGAGTGTGTTTTCATTTACCACTATTATCTTATTTATTTTGTTATTATTATTATAACTATTATTATTTATTCACTTATGTAATAATAATAATAATAATAATAATTTATTATTATTTAATTATTTATTTTTGCCAAACATGGCTCATGGGATGAATGGGCAGGAGGAGGGGGTATGTACCCTCTCAGCACACTTACACTTAAGTATACTTTCTGAGTTGTTAACTCAACTTTGTATTATTATCATTACTGTTTGTGTATGTTTGTGCTCTGCATATTTTTTTTCTTTATTTTGATCCCACTGCAGTTTGTACTTTCATTTACTTATAACTTTGACGACTCTAATATCAGTACTACTATATTTATTTATATTGTTCATATTATTTCCAGTACTATTGTTCATGAAAAAACTAGACCAAAAACTATTTACCTTGTTTGCACTTTTAAATTTAAATAAAAATATTGTTATAAATAAAAATTCAAACGTGGTCAGATATAGCGATTACAATCAGTGTCTCAGTGAATGAGGACTGCTTAACACAGGTCAGTACCACACATTTACACATATTTAATCCAGTCAGGCGTCTGTAGATAAATCTGTAGCCTTTTTTCTGTCCAGGACAGGACTGTTCCACCTCTGTTTCACCACCTGTACACATGGTTCTAAGGTGAATAGTTGGGTGAATTTATCAGTCATTAGAGTTAGTATCAGAGACTTGGCAGAGGAGAAAAAGTGTGTTTAAATGACTGAGCTGGCAGGATGTATGTGTGAAACTTGCACTGTCTGCAGAAATGTTGCACTTCCTTGGCTCAAACAACCCTGGAAAACTTTGTACAAAGACACTGTGGGACAGCAGTGTGACAGTGCTGACGATCTATGAAACCAAATCAACATGATTCAAATTTTTATGAAATTCAGCAAAACTACATGAAGAATAAAGAAAACATCAATAAGTCAGAGGTGTAGGAGGCATATGTTACCTGCAGTGAGAAGGCGAAGTTTAAGTCCAAGAGGCCCTGCATGGTCTCTCAGGACATCCACACCATCTGCATATATGTTACCAAGGAAACAAGCCAACGGCATGACTGGAGCTCTGAGGACAGAGGGAAAAAAAAGATATATATTAATTTTAACTTATTAGAAGCTACCCTTTTCAAAACTTTTTTTTAGATCTGAGGACTTCTTTGTTTCCTTTTCCCTTGTGTGTTTGATGAAGATCGAGTTAAACTCACGAAGACAAATAAAATAAAGACATGTTGTGACACACTAATGAAGAGGTATGATGGCCAGTGTTCATTTATCTGCTTGTCTGTTACCTTGTTTCTTGTAGGTTGTTGCCAGTGTAGATGTGCATCCTCTTGACCATTGCCCCATGTGGAATCTGCAGGGAGGCCAAACCCATGGCAAAGTTAGGCTGCCAAGGCAAAACAACTGGGAGTAGTACAAGTACAAGATGTAAACTGAGTTTGTGTGTGCACACTGAAAAGAGTCCCACACACTGACAAGACACTATGCAAGAAGAAGATTGTCAAGGGCAGAAAAATGTGTTCATCTATGACGAAGTGCCATTGAGTTAAGCAATGGAGTTTAAAACACAGGCTGACCTAAATACCTCTGTTATTCAGGGGAAAAGTCAAACATCATGTTTCCATTTATTGGTCACACACTACACTTGAATCCTGCTTGGATCTCTGTCTGGTCGAAAAGTTTGTACTAAGAGAAGTCCTGTCTCCAAACAACATTCATTGTGACTCAGCAGTTTACCCTCAGTGTGTTATTTTTGGTGTATTTTCAAGTCCACAAACAACAACGGACAGGCAGGGCAGCTACAGATGAGTCATTCTAATACCTAAGGTAAAGGTTGCAGTCTTCAGTGATTCCCCCTTGTAACACCCAGTCACCTGTCTACAAAGAATACAATGCTTACAGGAGCCTTGGGCAGAGAGATGTAAGTATTATAACTCAGCTTTGAAACTGAATGCAAGTACAGACAAACAGCGAACACGAGGATGGCTTTTCAGGGCTTAGGAGAATCAATGCCTTTACAATCGCATTATCAATATGTTGGTGCAACCAAATAAGATGTGATAATCTGCCACACTCAAATCAATGGGATAAGGGAAATCATCCATGGGAGTAATAAAGATGTCACCACATAATGTGTGTGTGCTCACAGTAGCAAGCAAGCAGCAGAGAGAAGCAGACAGCAGAGCAGCTGGTTCATGACATGCATCAAAGACATCTACAGCTGTACAGTCCAAACAGCAAAACAGGCCACAAACTCAAATCTTTATTCTTCACTTTATTGAGGAAGAATGTAGATTGCTGGTTGTGTCTGCAGCATTTTCAGCAGGAGTCTGTGTTGTTTTGTAAAACTTCAGCATAAACTGTTGCTGCCAAATCTCTAAACTCCCTGCTGCAGTCAGAATTTTACTGCTTACATAACACTGCACTGAGTCTTTGACATCTGAGTAATAAAAAATGGAATTTATACTCGATTCATTGGAAGATTTGTCATAGAAAAATAAGAGAAAATAATCAACAAACAAAAATAAAGTCCTATTCCCTGCATGCATTTATGTTCCTCATCCAGTCACTGATGATTTATTATAAGGATGCAACAACACATAGCTTAGAGGGATTTAGGAACATGCTTTTAGAGCTTGACCTCAGACTGTCCATATGAAGGGTAATTACTTTAATCACAAGGCTGCCCTGATTCCCTTAGGATGTGAATACACAACCACTCAGCCTTTCTTCACAGAGCTGACAAGCAAAATCAGTATCATCATACTCACCTCATATTTTGGAGCTTCATTCCATGAGTCCAGTTGGAAGGAGAAGGACAGGCCTCGAAAGTTGAGATGGAACAGCTGCTCTGCAGCATTGTAAACTGAAGGTGGGGAGGGAAAGGTTCAGAATAAAAGGATTAGTAAAGTGTGATATACAGTATGTTTACAGCATGTGTGACAGCAAACATCCTCCATGTGTTTGTGTGATCTGTTAAGTACCTCCAGGGTGCGTAGCTCCAAATGATTGGTCAATTTGCTCTATAGTGGGGGCAATGGCCTGAGAGTTGAAATGGACTCCACTTAAACACAACACATACACAAAGAGCCTGTGTTACATCGATTGACATTCACAAAGATTGTTGTGCATTTGATGAAGAGCTACTGCCAGAGGAGTCAAATAGGTTTTACTGAAAGTCAATCACACACAGACAGAGATACACTCTGAAACAGGCAGATTTTATTACTGTGATATCTCTCACTGAGTAGCTGCCTGTCTGTGGCTTGGAGCTAATCACAATCTCTTTGGCAACATTATATGTATAGTATATGCTTGGGGTGGAAATCATCAGTGGCCCCACGATAGAATATTATCACAATACTTGGGCCACGATACGATATTATTGTGATTTTTAACATTTTGCAATACAGTGAGTACTGCGGTACAATATATTGCAATTTATATAATTTTTCCCCTGTTTAGCTAATTTAGCATTTGTCTTTCCTTTATGTTTGTCTTATTTACACAGTTTTTTTATTTGCATGTAGCACATCTTGCAAACCTCATATATATTTGTTGTACGAACTTTCTCCTGTTCTATGATGTCACCTCTGCTAACCTCACTGGACAAACAGTTGGTTTTATTTTTCTATTATCATAGATTTGACTTTGATACTTGGTAAATGAGACAATAAGATATATCACCAGACAAAATATCGCGATACCATGCTGTATCGATTTTTTCCTACCCCTGGTATACACACAGACCACCATATTTAGCCCGTTTTACATGAGGTGCTTTAGATTTCTACTTACCAGTATTTCAACTTAACTTTGCTCAGGTCGTACACTTCAATCACCTGTTACACAGAAGGATGACAATAGTTTGGATACTAATTATGAATTACATGTAATTCACAAGGCAGGGCAGTCTAACATCTTTACCACCACAGGCATTCACACTCACATGCACACACACCAAAATGACCATTTTTTTCACCTTGAGTCTCTGATTTGTGGCATCAAACAGCAGTTTAATCCCATCCTGAGTCAAATTCAGTATGAGGTCATGGCTGAGTGGCGTCTGGGCGGGAGAGAAGCAAACTAGTTAACAGAGAGGTGAGGTGGAGGGTGGTATGACCTGATGGATGGGCCCAAAGTAAACAAACCCTACTTTTTAGTTCGGAGACTCAACACACAAACTAAGACTGACACATCCCATCGAGTGTGTTTGATGTCAGTTTGAGTTCATTCAGCTGAATACATCAAGAGTCGAAGATTCAAAGTATTTCGGAAACAAACTCCCTGGCTGCTCATATTTTTAGCATCAAACCTGTGGGAAGACTTTAAAATTAGATTCACTGATGGAGAAATACGGAGGCTGATTTGTACGGTCTTGAAAATACAGATGCCGAACCTGTTTACACATAAACCAAACCTAACAATACCATCAAGACTTTTTACTGCTTATATACTTCTTGACCAAGATGAGTGATAGGAGGGACACTTCATCTTTGTAAATAGAGCTTTCAGTGCTCTCTGTTGGACAAACTGTGCAATGGCAACAACCTTTCGTCATATTTGATGGGAATTCTTTTATCTACAGTGCCCACATACACAGAAAAATGACTACATCAGTGATGAGCTTTTGAGCAGGAAATTGATCAAAACTGTCAAAAAAGTATAAGAGGTCCCACTAGTACTGGTTTAACTGCTGCCTGACAGGAATACCTCTAAAAAACACAAAAAACTTGTTCTACTGCCCTAAAGAGGAGTTTCCTGAACATGCTGATTAACATTTTCTGTCAGAGAAAAAACATTAAAAAGTTGACACTCTGTCATTTTACCTGTTCACTGTATAGCACCTGGACATTTTTGATGATGCGGCAGTGTTTCTGAAGAATAGATATGGCCTGGGCCAATGGCATCCCTGGAAACAAATATATCCATTTAGCAAATGAAAAACAAAGAAAAATTACAAGAAGCACCATAATCTCGTTCAGATCCATAAATTGCTGACAATATTTTCATCAGGAAGACTAATAATTTGGATGTGGCATCAGGACAGGGGTAGACTGATTGGTTGGCTGACTCATCAGGACAGTTGATGGCATCTTGAAATAATCAGTATTGGCCAAAGCCTGCCTTCACAAGGCTGATGAAAAGCAAAAATAAACAATGTCTGCAGACACTGCAAACAGCTCTGTCAATGCGGCTGCTGTAAAGGAACACTGGGAAGGTGGTGAAAATGTTCTTTTGAGCCCTGTGCCTGTACTATTACCAGTATGCATCCTGTTCTAAACATTTGCTCAAATGTCACCCGTCACCATCCTAAATGACAACATATTAATGCAAATTAATCTCCTAACTTGTAGCAGTTTCACTTCAGTCATACTCTGATATCAGTGGATAGATAGATAGATAGATAGATAGATAGATAGATAGATAGATAGATAGATAGATAGATAGATATTTAATCCCAGAGGGCAATTCAAATTTAGTAGCTTAACACTATATATTTTTTATTTCAGGATTTCATTTTTAGTTCAATAAAAACATGTTTCTGATAAGATAACCCTTTATATTAGAATACAATGAGTATGATTCATGTGATTATTGTGTTTATCCAACTATTTACCTCAAACCAATATCAGTCAACCACTCCTTCAGACACCAATGAATAACTGTTTACACCTCCTTCTATGTGAGTCAGTATTTGTAATTCTGGAAGTTCAGTAAAAACTCACCTAAGGCGAATTCCCATTGCTCATTTCCTAGTGATCTCTCAGGCACCACCTCCAAATCCAGCATTGGCAAGTAGTGGGGGGCAGCTCACCTCAAGACACAATGGGACCCTCAGGGGGACCCTTTCTTTTTGCCTTTCTCTCCCTTATCCCGACGCCGTCTCACTTTTGCTTCGGATAGCTACTTTAATTCATAAGTCAATCTACCTACAATCCCAAAGTGAACAAACTCATGAGTGTGAGCATCAAGCAGCTACTAAACCTGTGTGTTACAGTAAAAAAAAACAGTCACTATATCACATGTCATATGTGACTGAAATGACAGCAGTGTCAAGGGTGAATGTTCAAATATGTACAATACTTAAAATGACATCCACAACACCACCTGAGGATGAGCACCACAGGCAAACAAGAAACAAAGGTTTGAAATAGCAGTTGAACAGATGCACCACAGAGGCTGACAGCGTCCACACAAACAAATTACGCAACCTGCCAACCTGAAACCTACAAGGCCAGATACCTGTCCACCTATGACTTGTTTGTGTGCCAATAAGCCGACACGCATGTAAGAAATAATAACTAAACTAAATCGATTTAAAGTCACGAATGAGCTTGTCTGGCAGATAAAGACGTCTTGTTGTTTTTCTTCCAGCTGCGTCCTGTCTCCAACACAAAGCCCGAGCTAGCTTCACTCAAGACAAAAACACTGAGGCACGATGATCATTTCTGTAAGCCGACTTTTTCCCCTGTGCTCTGCCGTTATCTGCCAGTGTTTGTCGGCCGGTTACGAAAGCATCAGAGGTTGACAACAAGACTGTTTCTTTGCGCTATGCGCTAATATTAGCTGACAAGCTAGCTGCTCCCCGTGTTATGGAAATAATGTACAAATATAAATAATGTATTACAGTACAAAAAATTGAGTCTGGACGACGAGTTTTTCTATGTTCAGACTGGCACGACATAAACAAAGCAAACACGCCAAGCCGTCGGCTGTTTTGCTCTTCTTTTTACCGAAGGTTCAAGCTCAGCAGCTAGCTCTCCTGTCGCTGCTGCGTAAATTCAAGTCCTCACTGAGAAATGCTTCTTTTGTTCTTTAGAAGCCCTTCAGTCGATAAATGCCCACAGCGTCCCTCTCTTGAGTTTACGTCTCTTCAATGTCAGGAGCAGATAAGAGCAACACAGTGTCCAAACAACAGCAACTTCAGGCATCAACAACAGCCAGCAGGATCAGCTGATAATTCAACTTCCTGTGTTGAGCGAACGTTCTCGGGCGACGTGCTGACGTCATGGTCAGCTGACACAGGCATCCTTAGAGCGGGATTTCATATGAAAAACAAGCTGAACCAAACAAGGTCCATTTCACGGCTTCAGCCACAGATTTTTGAATAGATTAATCAATGTTCAGTTATGGCATATCAATGTCTATGAGCATAAAATTTGAATTGTATGAGGGTTGGGACATTGTGAGAAATGTCCATGAACCCAGATTTTGCTGGATACCAAATTATTTCACCTTACAGTTAATGGAAATAGTGTAAAGTAGGGTGACCATGTTTTGATAACAGAAAGCCAGGACCACAGACTGTATATACTATGAACAACTTGGTTCCGCCTCCCGCCTGTATACAGATTTGAAGCCAAAAAGCTCTCTGTATATCTTCAGTTTTCTCTTTCATCCTTGTGGCCCAATTTAGTGGTCCAATGAAAAATAATGAAAACCAGGACATTTTCATCACTTAAAAAACAAACCAGGACTGCCAGGACAGGAAATGAAAACAGGACATGTCCTAGGAAACGATATGTTTAGTCACCCTACAGTAAAGCCAAAATATTAGATTTTTTATGAAGAAAAAAGGCCATGTTCTCATTTTAAATCTAAGTTCAGCAACACCGCTACTCATGTTAGTTGAGATGGGCCAAAACCCATCTTAGGTTGGTTCTTGATCATCAAACAATGAGCGTGGTCTAGACCTGCTCTTGTTCCTTGAAAAGCGTCTTGAGATGACGACTGTTGTGAATTGGTGCTATATAAATAAAATTTGATTTGATTTGATTTGAAAGAAGTGTGGACAACTCTTTTTACATCACTCGGACAAAGTTTGGGAACCCAGGAGGCAGTTTCTGATGTTTCAGAAGTAAAATGCTGTCCTAATAAAGCTTTTCAGCTGCTTAACAGTTTGGGGCCTTATTTGACTTTATTTCTGTGTTGTGATACACTAAGGCTATGTTCACACTGCAGGTCAATTTCGATTTTTTAACCATATGTGACACATATCTGATTTTTTCATGTAAGTGTGAACAGTGCAATTCAGATTTTTTCAAATTCAACCCCGGCCTCTTTTGTATGTGGATATAAATCGGATATGTATCCAATGTGACTGGACAGTGGACGCTCAGGTCGCATTCATCCGACCTATACGCCATCAATATGCGACAAACGTCACCATTGTTCGACAACGCAAACAGACACAGAAAACAATAGCGGACAGGGGAACGGAGAACAGCCAGTTTTGCACATGCGGGTCACTTCACAGATGCATTCCGTTCACATTACATGCTGCATTCGTTGTTGTAATGTGAACGACCGCACAAAAAGATCGGATTTAACAAAAAACCCGAACTGTGCATCATAACCTGCAGTGTGAACATAGCCTTAATGTTTCTGTTATGGCTCAAAGAATGCTCTGATGTAAACCTTGTCATCTCTTTTTCTCTAATTTTTGTGTCCAGCAAGCTACATGCTTACAGTCAGTAACCAGTAACATTTTTATGAAATGCTTTTATGTATCAGAGTGTTTTTGAGCGAGATGTTCTTGGTTTTATTTTTAGGGAAATGTTTTCCGTGTTCCTGGATATGTTGATTGTGGTCATGAAATGTTTGCAGTTGATCATCAGGTCAACCATAGTGATTCAATTTAGGTTTTTCCAAATCCATATATCTTCATTTGTGGTGCTAAAAAAAAAAGGAAAATCCAAATAAGCCCACCACTACAAATAAGCATCTCTTTAGGGTAAAAGTCTAATGTACTGATAATCCATACAACAGGATCTTTGAAAGTTTTAGTGGGGGCTATTTCTTAAGTGTCCTAGAGCTTCAGTCTCATAGAAAAAAAGTTTAAAGAGTTTAAAAAAGACAGAAAATAATGGCTGACACTTTAGTTCCAGTCTCTTTGTCATGTGCGTTGAGCAACATTCCTTTTCATTCTGCAATAAGCCAAAATGTGTCTTGTCTTAAATACTCCAAACACTGTCTCCTATGTGAAGATTCAATACTAAGTGATGTAGCGGTTTTTAGTGTGAATAACAGGAACAAATACAATATTTTTTTACATGTTTATTTCGAAAAAATCCGACATTTTGAACAGGAGATCTTAAATTTCAAATTACTCCCAAAATACAAGCTCAGACCTAAAACAGAGGGAGAGACAGACCAAACACAGTGGAAGGAGAAACCTGGGGAGTATGTATGTAATATGTAGTATGTAATATTACAGAGTTTCATTTTTGGATCTGTAAATGAAACCAAAGTTTAAATAAATAAACAAAAGCAGATCAAGAACAGTAAAAAAAGAGTGTATGGGTTTTTTTGTTTTGCCTTAATGCCTGCATTAAGAAAACTGAAAGATGGAGTATGAATTTGATTGTGGAGGATGGTGGGGTTAGGGGCGTACTCATACAACCAAGACATAGAACAACAACTTTGTTTTACAGTTCTTATTGTTTCTCAATCTGGGATTAAGCTGCAGAAAATTAAAATTTCCATATTATATGTAAAGTTTATGAGACAAAATCTGATTTGAAAAATTATACCATTCATCTCTGGTTAATCAATCAAATATAGTAATACAGAGCTTGGCTTCTAGGCTACGTTACACTTACTTTACACCAACATCTCATCTCTCATGCCATTTCGGCAGCTCTCACATAAATTGACTTCAAAAATGTTGCTCACATTGTAGACCGCGGAAGTCAGAGTTAATGCAATGTGAAATCACATATCAGGACACCTTTTATGCCTTGATGGGATCAATGTAGAGGTACAAAGGTGTGACAGCGGTGGAGCTAGGTTATGGTGTTATTGTAGACTCATAATTCAACAGGGGACAAAGATGAGTGCCTGATTTGTACGACTGAAGTCCTTAAAAATGTTTCTGCACTGGATACAAGTGAGGAATAAATGAGTGTCATGAAAACCAAACAGCCACAGCAGTCTAAGGCATTACATCTTTCACCAACACCACCTGAGCCTGAACCCTCCTGCACACACCTGAACTTATCTTTTTAGCTTTTCAACACAGCAATGTCAACCTCAGCATTTTAACTTAGCCACCAACATCCAAGATACTCTCAGACATACTCTTGATCCAAGTAAGCTTTGTGCACACTCTGATTAAGTCTGAAAGCTTTTCTCCATGCTTGCTAAAATCTCTGTGGGAAATAAACAAGACTATTAAAGAGAAAACTAGTTCACTAATAATCTGGGTTTATCCAAATCAAGTACTCCAAGAATCCAAACACTGGAAAAAATCTACTTCCTCTGACCTGGGCTGGATGATTTAGCCAAAATAGTTTTCCTGAAAATAGCAATCATCACAATTGAGCTTTACCAACTTCCTTTGCAACATGAGACTTTAAATGCCATAACTCCTCTGTCACATTTCAAACCATTAAGTTAATCTTTGCTGAGTTTTCAATCTTTATTTTAATTTCAACAGTTTTTACTCCAAAAACTTCCTGTAAAATGTTACACACACGACTGATGATGCATCAAAATATCACAAGTTAGCTTAGCTCACATAAAACTTGTTCAATTCTCAATAAATCAGACTGGGGAAAGGATAACTCATGAATAAACAAAAGGTATTTCTTGGTTATAATAATAAAAATAACAATAAAAACCGTTGAGTGCATCAAAGGTAAAACACACTGGAAAATGAAATGAGCTTCTAGTTGCACAACATATAAACATGGATATTGCGAAATAACAGGACTTAAGTAAATCCACATTCAATGTTTTAACCCCGGAAGTGGATTTCCTCTCAAAAACAAAACCAATAATAAGAATAACATTAATAAAAGGAACACATGAAACAATGAAAAACATATGCAACAAAAGTTCTCATAACTCCCAAATTTTTTGAGACATTTTGTCTTTTTTTTTCTCTAAACTATACAGATAATAGCCTAACGCTGCAAATACTAGTCCATAAAAAAGCTGAAGGATGAATACATATACAGAGGGAAGAGAAGGAATATAAAAAGTAAACATCCTGACTTCACACAAACAAAACAATAAGAAAACAAAACACAATATTTTATTTCACTAGTGCTGTTACAGGAAAGGGAATAGTTTTCAGACTCCATGGAAGCTTTCACAGTCCAGTGATGAGGAGTGTCTGGGTGATCGATCAAATGATGGACTGGTATCATGAACTGTCGTCTCTCATCTGAGATAGTGAATTAGTAATGATGATTGTAAGGTGATGGTTCTACAGCAGGAGTTACAGGAACTATACGTGACTTTTGATGTATATTGTGTGAATTGGAAGAGTTTCAGCCAATTCTCGGTTGAATTTTCTCATTTTCAACATTGTATGTTTATCATCCCTTAAACTCAGCTCTGTGATTGTAAAAGTGTTTCGATGCTAAAACACAAGCCACAACACTGAATGAACAACTGTCTGCAGAAAGTTTGGAGTTCATTTCTGCCTGTCACTGACTCTGAGGTGGCCCACATTGACCAAACAAAGCTGCACTAGACCTCAAATATAACCTTATTGAATAGAAATGACTCAAAGGAATTTATTTTGTGTCTGTTTGAATCACCCAGATATCCCTCATCAAAACGCTGACAGGGAGCGCTCTCATGATAAATAGGCTGCATAGAGGGAACAATAGTGAACATAGGTAGGCCTGTGTTTGCTTTCATGCAGAAAAAAAATGCACGTGGGGAACAAGACTGATTGTATCTCATAGTGCAAAACCCCTCAGGATACAGAGGGGGTTTATGTCTGACCCCCATCGCACTGCCAGAGACAAAGATGACAAAGATAACAAAGTATGTAACAGTTTTCTTTGTGAATATATCTCACCTCCAGGTTTATAATACATCATGTGTGATTCTATGGTTAGGGCATGTCATTATAGCTGCATTTTAAAGATCACAAATATCAGAATACAGCAAATACCTGGAACTATTTTCTTCCTCAAGCCTGTGATTAAAATCCCCCTCCTTTATCCCCCCTTCCCCTTTTCCAGCATAGTGAACTTTGGTCTAAGACAACAGCAGGTTTCAGGAAGTCAGCTAGGCATAGAGAGGGTTAACATGCTCACAAATGTGAAGTGTTGCACAACACTGAACAATGTTGAACCTTTTCTTTCAACATCTCACTTTTGTTACTGGTAAACCTGACCAATAAGCCCCGACTGTGACCCTGAGCCAGAATAATCCCTCTCATTCCTTCCCCTCCCTTCCTTTTTAGCCTCTTACAACATCTCTACCTGTATTTTCAACGTCTCTTTTTGATAAAAAATATAATTTGGTTTTTGACATCACCTACTTATCAAATCCTTTCAGACCTGGACAAAAAGTATTGATGCCTCTAAATGACTTGACCTCTGCTTAAAACATTTAAAACACTAATTTCTCTAAAACATAGACTTTAAATCAGCTTTGGATTTTTCACATGAACAAACTAAAGCTAAATCAATACCTTATTTTCCCTTCTTTTGAATCTTTATATATTCAGCTATCTTTTGTTCAGGTCTATTGTCTGCTGTTTTATGTTAATTTTTCATTTCCAGGCTTTAATCTCATCCATTTCCATCGTTTCTTAAGGTGTATCCTATCGTCCAGTTAAAAATCTCAACAATGTTTGGTGTGTGAAGAAGATCAAATCAGTTCTTACTGGGAAAACTGAATTAGTGTGAAACTGCAGTTTCAGTTGACTATTTTTAAAATATTGAAAATGAGTGAACAGCCAGCCCTGAAGGGGTTTTCTCCTCTTCCGCTCTCCTCTATGTCCTTCTCCTCAGCGCATCTTGTGTTCCACATCAGCGTTGGCCATGTTTGAGCCAGGGCTGGGGTCCTGCTGTCGTCTGGACTGGGGAGAGAGAGAGATGGAAGGATGAAGGAGGTGAGGAGACAGGAGGAAGAAAGAGTAAAAGATAGTAGAAAAGGGATCAGAGAGGTGGAGAAAAAAAGTTGAGTAAAGGTCTTCAGTCAGTGTAATCACATCAAAAGCACTGGACTTGAACCCCAAATCAGGACACATTATTAACATGTACAAAACCCAATTCCATTGAAGTTGGGAAATTGTGATAAATGTAAATAAAAACAGAATACAATGACTTGCAAATCCTTTACAAAGACAAGATATTTAATGTTCAAACTCATATTATTTATTTATTTTTTACAAATAATAATTAACTTTAGAATTTGATGGCAGCAACACGTGACAAAGAAGTTGGGAACGGTGGCAAAAAATACTGAGAAATTTGAGGAATGCTGATCAAACACCTATTTGGAACATCCCACAGGTGAGCAGGCTAATTGGGAACAGATGGGTGCCATGATTGGGTATAAAAACAGCTTCCCCAAAAATTCTCAGTCATTCACAAGCAAGGATGGGGCGAGGTTCACCACTTTGTGAACAACTGCATGAGCAAATAGTCAAACAATTAAAGAACAACGTTTCTCAAAGTACAATTGCAAGGAATTTAGGGATTTCAACATCTATGGTCCATAATATTATCAAAAGGTTCAGAGAATCTGGAGAAATCACGGCACGTAAGCGGCACAGCCGGAAACCAACATTGAATGCCTGTGACCTTAGATCCCTCAGGTGGCACTGTATCAAAAACCAACATCAATGTGTAAAGGATATCACCACATGGGCTCAGGAACACTTCAGAAAAACACTGTCAGTAAATACAGTTCGTCGCTACATCTGTACGTACAAGTTAAAACTCCACTCTGCAAAGCAAAAGCCATTTATCAACAAAATCCAGAAACGCCGCCGGCTTCTCTGGGCCTGAGCTCATCTAAGATGGACTGATGCAAAGTGGAAAAGTGTTCTGTGGTCTGACGAGTCCACATTTCAAATTGTTTTAGGAAATAGTGGACGTCGTGTCCTCCGGGCCAAAGAGGAAAAGAACCATCCGGACTGTTATCCACGCAAAGTTCAAAAGCCAGCATCTGTGATGGTATGGGGGTGCGTTAGTGCCCAAGGTATGGGTAACTTACACATCTGTGAAGGCAACATTAATGCTGTAAGTTTCATACAGGTTTTGGAGCAACATATGCTGCCATCCAAGCAATGTCTTTTTCATGGATGCCCCTGCTTATTTCAGCAAGACAGTGCCAAGCCACCTTCTGCACGTGTTACAACAGCGTGGCTTCATAGTAAAAGAGTGCGGGTACTTGACTGGCCTGCCTGCAGTTATGGTTCCTGAGAGGAACCTTTGGTTTGTGATGAATTTAATTTGTCATCTACGTGCTTGAGAAGGTCCAAAAATGACTTTTGTAGCTTTCATTATTAATATTTTATATGAACATTAAAAAAATAAGCTGTTCCTTCAAGGGCTTAGCTGACTCCTACCCCCCTCACACTAGATTAAAGCATTAAAATGACATAATGCATATTTACAACTTCTTACTGTTGAGAGAGTATAAGAGTAATTTGCAAATCTAGAGGCGGTCACTAGAGGGAGCCAGAGCACCAAATCCCAGCAGGTTAAGCGCTGCTGGTTTTACACTTCACTGATGCTGATATTTTCGTCAAGAAAACTGGCAGACAGACAGACAGGCAGAAAGTCAGACAGGCACACAGATAAAGTGGCAGACAGGCAGGCTGTCTGACACATATAGAACACACACACACACACACACACACACACACACACACACACACACACACACACACACACACACACACACACACACACACGCACAGAGCAAGCAGATCATTAGGTCATCATTAGAGGCCATGAGGGTGATAAGACTTTTAAAAATATTTTATGACGGGGTGTAGTGTTAGTGTGTGTGTGTGTGTGTTTGGAAGCCCTCTACATGACCTGCTCCTGCTGTAAAAAATACTTGTGGTTATATATTTACACATAAGTGATAGCTGAGGGAAATTAGGGGGGCCAGGGGGGTTACAAAGTGTGCAGAGAGGTGAGGCAGAGAGCAGACTAAACAGAAATGCAGACGGAGATAGTAAAGGGGTTGCTTAGTTCAACTGGAATGTAGTTTGTGTCATCTCAGTGACTCACCATAATAGCAACACACACACACACACACACACACACACACACACACACACACACACACACACACACACACACACACACACACACACACAAAGTCACATGCAGACACACATACAGTATGTCATACTACCATTTTGACTCCTCACAGCCAGACTGACTCCAGTTTCTGTCTGTCTCCACTGTAAAGCTTTCTGCTGCTCCATCAAAACTCCTGATAGGAATTTAACCCTGTATGTGTGGCTCGTGTGGAAGGACTTGGTTCAGGATCCAATTGGACTCATGATAGACTCAACTCTTAACTATTCACCACAGTGACACCTTTACATCTGTGTAAGGCCAGGCTCTGCAGCATGTAAGCAAATATTTGATTTTGTTATGATGTGACAAGGGCCCTTAAAAAATGTTGAATTATCATCCAAAATATCACTTCCTAGTATGTTTTCTGATTGATTTGGACATACTTCCTTTATTAATAATAACTGTTGCCTTTCCACTCAGTAAACTAGAGTTACAATCTTAAACGTAAACACACTTCTTTAAGATGCTTAGTATCTTAAGAGTAACTGTTTTTTTAGAGAAACAGCTCTGATAAACCTAAGACACTTGTGCCTTAATAAAAAAGAAAAGGACCTAATGAATATTGATGGCATCAAATTTAAAACGAGCATAACTTCAGAAAACAATCAAACTTTTCAATTTCAACATATTTGTCACTTTAGCATTCTTTTGACTTTGAATATAGGGTTTTTAATTTAATGAGTTCAGTTTTTAAACAGTAAATCATCATTTTACACAGCTTCCCCACCCTTATGGAAATGGGGTTGAAAAATGATGATTATTCTTTATCTATAGCATTTACCAAAGGCAGAGAAACAACTTATAGGACCTATAGAGTTAAATGACAAAGATGTGACTCTCAGTTATCTTCAAAACTGCTAAATGTGTCAATAAGAAAGTATTTCAAAGCTGGCATAAGGGTTATGAATATGGTATGGAGTTCGTAGTCCTGAAACGTAAAAAAAACTTAGAGCAGGATTGGTCAAACCTGAAGCCCTTGCAGATTCAGTGTGTAAAAATATCACAAAAACAGACTGTATCTAGCACCACTTAGAAATATTGTTGAAGCTTTCATGAAGAAGTGTGAAAATAAAAGCATTAATGAGAATTTGAAGTGCCTGCTGTGACTAAACATTCACTGTTTTCACAGAAGACTGCCCGCCCTAAATCATAATTGTTGGTTATATCTTGTTTTTGTCTTTGGAGAGAGGAGTGGTCTCTCTAATTCTAGAGGGAGAGGAGCCTTTTTTATTGATCCACACACAGATGGAAGCTTGCTGAGCCACTGTAGGCTGCTTAACCACAACTCAATACTGGAGAAGAGTGTGTGTGGGGGTGGTGGTGGTGGACTTATTTGCTGCATCTGCGAGTTTGTGCTCATGTGCCTGCACAGTATCTGAAATTGTCTCTGAATACATATATATGTGTGTATTTGTGTGTGTGTGTCTGTGTGTACAACAAAGTGGGGGTCTGATGGCGATCAATACTAATGATATATTAATGCTTTCAGTGCCAGCTCATCATTCATCACCAAATCTCTCTCTGCCGAGCGCTTTCAGAGATGTGTGTGTGTGTGTGTGTGTGAGATGAGTTATAAAGAGCATCTCTTCTTGATTTTCTGCTCCTCCATTGATCATCCTGACAGGATCATGCCTTCTGACCTTGAATGTTTTTGGGTAAAAAAGTATAAAAATTTAGCCAAAGATTCATTTATTTCTCTACGACACTAATTAAACAAAAACTCGCTCATGTAAACTTTGAGTTCTATTTATTCTTCCCATGACATTACTTTCATAAAATCTTAATTTATTGTATCATTAAGATTTTAGTGCTTGTTACATTTTTTTTAATTACATGTCAGGCTCATTACTTTTGTTACATTATTGATCGATTATTATAATACGGGGTTTTATTACAATTTTTTTAAACAACATTTTGGGTCATTGTTACATATCGGTCTCTAACATGATTTCTTCAATTCTTTTTCCAAACTCCGTTTTGGGCCACTTTTCTTTCATTCAATAGGAAAGCTGATGAGTGACAGGAAACATGGGAGGGTCAAACCAGTAGCTGCAGCAGCGAGGACTATAACCTTTATTACATGGGATGTGCAGTAAACATCATGTTAAACTAAGAATAGATCAATAATTAAAATGATCCGTAATATTGGTTCAGGGGAAATTTTGCTTGGTTTACAGAAATATTTCTCATGAGATTTTAGAGTGTGGTAAGAAAGCGAATATCACAAACTGCTTATATGCCAATTGTGTAAGCTCTAGTTATGTATAATATACTTATGTTGGATCATTAACCCAGAATTTATAAAAGTCATTGTTTATTTCTACATGTCAGAAAAACTGAATGCCACCCTCTTTTACTGTTTTATCTATTTTCTATCAATTTTTCTCATCTCCCTCCCTCACCTTTTTCTCTCTGTTAAAATCAGCCCTAAACTAGGAGACAAATGTCGGTAATTCAGTTCTTCTTTTTTAAATCAGAGACTGAAAGCGCTAACTATGGCTTTAAATTAAACACACTTTAACTAGGACAGAGACATAACTAGAACAGCAGTGAGAGAAAAACAGACGGAAGGAGAGGTGGAGTTCAGACCACAGAAATGCAGAGGGCTTAATCTGTGCAGCTATTGAGAAACGCTCCTCAGTTACACCCACTATGTGACATCTCACGCAGGATCTAAAGGATCCTACTGTAACTGCTCTTTCCCACTGTCTTCCCTCTGAATGTGTGGACATTACTTGAAAAAAGTATTTTGTTGACAATGATTGTGTGATTAATCTTCATTTATAATAACTATAAAAAGAGTGAGGGTTATAAAGGGTGAAGGAGCAGTAAAGCAGCCCCAAACAGCGAGGATCTCTGAGAATGGTGGAAAACATCTACATATGTACTGTGAAAGGACTTGACTTTACTTATGATGGGAAAAAAGCAGAGCAAAGAGGTTTTTATGGATTATTTTGTGCACTGTGTAATTTAATGTAGATTCTGGATCTGTGCATTTATCTGAGGGGTAAACCAAGAAAGTGATGATGAGGAAAATTTTGACAAATACAGAGCCTGTCTCAAGGGGGCAGAAAAGAAATTTGAAGTCAAATAAAGGTAAAGTGTTTTCACTCGCAGCTAAAGCCCCAAAATAGACAACTTGTTCAAGTGTGTACCTACCTCCTTGTTCCTGTTTTATCTCAGGACACCACCTGGCAGGGGAACTTCTATCTTCATTTTAAACTGATGTTTGATATTTTTAAGTCTCTCTTTTTGAGAGACAGCAAAAAAGACTAACAGCGGGGTACAATAGTATCATTCTGTAACTACATCCAGTTAGCTATTGTATTTTTAAATTTTTACTGTGAAGCACTTAGTGAATCTTTTCTATGAAAAGTGCTATACTAAATAAATTTTACTTACTTACTTAGCTGGCTGTCCAAAACATCACTCTAGTCAGCTGCTGGTGGCTCACAGTTTAAATTATAAACTACAACTACTGTATGACAAAACTAGTTGTTCATAGTTTACTCAACTGTCGTATGTGGTAGAGCCATAGACTGTATATACTATGGACAACTTGGTTCTGCCTTCTGCGGGTATATGGATTTGAAGCCAAAAAGCTCTCGGTATTTCTGTGTTTTTTCTTCACTTCCTGAAATGCAGTAGCGTTGTACGCATTCGGCGGGAGAGTCGCCAAGAGTTGTTGTGATGATGCTCGGCTCAAACAGCGTATTCACCGGGTGAGCTACACAATCTTTGTACGCCCATAGGCTGTATCAGGTGTCAATCATAGAAAACATGAACCCCCGAATAACTTTTAAAAAAGGAGCTGCACAGAAAAAAGAGGACTTGACCACAAACCAGTCTTACGGTAACTACATGTCAACATCACAAGCAGGAGGGAGAAAAATTTATATTCTGTGTAATTAATTTCTAAAGTTTGTCCACAGCTTTATAGGGATTGCTGGAGGAGGCAAGATTTATGACCTATACTGCAGCTCGTCACCAGAGGGTGCTGTTCATGCAAGGAGGCAGATGGCATCCATTCTACAGTCTGTGGGTAGAACTGGTGAACTAGAAGTTTCAACTGTCATAAGCTAGACAAAAGATGTTTACCCTTTATAAAAGTAAAGAGTACAACTTAAAATAAATATCATTACCACATAGATTGAGAATAAGAATATGCAGGTGGAAGTTTAGGAAGATTTAGTTGCACTGTCAGTCTGTGATATGGCCGCATGTCACCAAAGTGTGATCTAAAGTGGGACATAGTTTCTGCTTTCTGCAAATCTGAATCTAAATCACCCCCCGTGCCCAGTTTGGAGTGCATGGGTTTTTCCAGGGCATAGTGATGGCACTGATACTGAAACACAAGGTTTTCTTTTTCTCTGAGAGCCTCAGGGAAGAAACATGAGATCAGCCAGATGAAAGGCAACCTTCAATAAAGGCCTCTTTTTCTTCTTTGTTTCTGCCTCTCTGTTCAGCTCATCTGTGTTCATCACCATCCCCCCTCTGTCCTCCTTATGTGTTAAGTTCCTGCCTTTCTAATTTGTGTCATTTCTGCACCACCATGTGCTGCAAAGCTGTGGTAGGTCTTGGTAGACAGTGTGTGTGTGTGGCATGGCGCAAACTGGCTAAGTAAATGTCACTGCAGTACTTCTGTCTCTCATGCCACACAGCATCAAACAAAGTGTCACATGATAGCCATAAAATTCACACACTTTCATGAAGACACAATCACAGACATACACATATCTCTAAAAAATGAAGAGAAAAAAAAACAGCCACTTTTTGTCACAGTAACCAATAAGAGAACACAAAGATACATAGACATAAATGAACAGGTGAACACATGCACACAAACAGCCACACACACACACACACACACACACGCACGCACGCACGCACACACACACACACACACACACACACACACACACACACACACAGGGTGGTTTAGTGCATGACAGTGTGATAGATGGTAAGAAGTGAAGGACACAGACCCTGTTCTTTTCTGCTGGCTGTCTGTCTGTGGGTCATCAGTCCCAGATTTTAGAAACCACAGGGTCCTAAAAAATAAACAATTTTGGATTCAATGGTAGGGCGTCAAATAAGGAAGGATGCCATTGATCTCCCTAAAGCCTTGCTGGGAAAGTGAGTTTGTCTTCAAAACAGTAAATGGGACAATGAATAATATTGACTTTTCAAACTTGTCAGACATTATAATTAGAAAAATTCTCCACAATGACAATTTCACAAATAAAAGACAAGTTCAAAAGCAACATTCCCTACTTCGTTGAAACTGACTGTACAATGACAGCTCATTTTCGGGATAATGGAGTTCAAATGATTCTGTAAAAGCACATCTTTCCCTTGTGAGGCTTTTAGGGACACCTGACAAAATTGGATCAGTCATTCAATAGATCAAGAATATCAAATCAAATCAATTATCAGATTAGATTAACTGTCAAACTGTTCATGCACTAGACCTATGATCCAAACTATATCTATATTGTACACATCAGTTTTTCATATTAGCAATAATTAAAAGCACACAACCACACAACACACAATTCTAAGCCATCCAAAGCAAAGAAGAACCTTCGAGAAATTTGAGCCTTAACCAAAGTAAATTTGGATTTAGCCTTCTCTGTGCTGAACAAATTAGGCTTAGGAGTAATTATGGAAAATGTCTGTCAAATTGAGGGCATATTTCTGAAAATATATGCAATTAATCACAATGATAAAATATCTTGAGGTTATCTTTATTTCATTTAAATTTGTAATTTCAGGGCCTAAATAGTCTTCAGATATAAATCTAGAAATAGTGAGTGCAGTAGAGCCTCGCAAAGCCAGCCTTCATACGTGTGTATTAATTTAGCGCACAGTGGTCTGTTGAAAAATGAATCATTTCAGAAAAAGGTTAGTAAGAACATATTTCTAATGCTTACTACTGTTCAGATCTCACTATGAGTGATTTTGACATGTCACTTTGATCCTATTTTCCTCTTTTTATCTAGAAACTTGACACCTGTTCATGACGTGAAAACATCTGAGGCCTGAAATGTCAAGTGGTTTTTGAATATACCTTTAAAACATTTCCATGCACTCCAGTGCTGCAGAGGCGTTGCCGCTGATTCATCACTGTTGTTTGCACAAATTTCGATAGTTGCACCCCTGACTACACCCAACAACCATGAGAGTTGAGGTCATACGTTCAACAAACTGAAGTGAAACAATGCATGGCTGCTTGAAGTAAGGATTAAAAAGGTCAGGAGTGTAGGAAGCCACAATATTTGCTTACATGTAAACCACAATGTTCAGGTAAAACCTTTAGTTCACAGACAGATGGGGCCAGAAGTCCCAGTGTGCAAGATTTAGACTCACTTGTAGTCAAACAGAGGATTTCTGACACTGAGGCTGGCTTGGTAAGGCTAAGCTGGTGCTGAATTGTCTTTGAGATGGCAGAGAAGTATTAGTTTGTTTTTGTTTTTTTTATGAATGACAATCTCCACAGGGCCCTCTCACCTCCAGATCCTCTCTGTGTGACCGGTCTCTGTCTTCAAAGTCTCTGGTTCTGCGGCGAGCCTCTTCAAATGCTGCCTGGGCCAAAGCGTCCTCATGCTGCACACAAATACACACACACAGTCATGAACAAACACACACATTGACAGAAAGAGATGAGAGTGACTTTAGCCTTGGATAATAAAGTGGTCCGTATGCAGAAATAGAAAACGATCGAGGCAGAGCAGTTATTTATTTGGGTGCCAGAGTATCTTCAACTTAGTGCTGTAGTGTTGAGTCGGACACTTTACAAATTTCAACCACTGTATTTTCACAATCTCACACCTACTTTTCTCTCAAGGTAACTCGACTACCATCTGTTCAGCTGGAGATACAAGTGTGCATTTCTAGCAGCCCAGGAAGTCGAGCAAAACTGTAGAGCTCCAGGTTTTCAGATTCAGATTTGCGCTGCAATCAGTGCACTTTCAGTGCAACTGACTGAGGTGACACCACTCGAGATAACATGCAGAGCTTTGGCAGCACTTTTTGCAGCAACACGACACTCATACATTTTTTCCTCATGTGCAGTAGTGGAACTTATTGGAGTACCTGTGCTCTCTCCTCATCATACTCCAAAAATCCCATCCCATCCAGCCTCTGTAGATCGATCCAGCCTCTCCAGATCACACACACTCCGTTCAGGATCATAGGAGCCTTTAAATAGACCTAGAGAGAGTGGGACAGAGAGAAAGAGAAAGAAAGAGAGACAGATTACAGTCAGCAGCAGTTTTTATTTTCAGATGAACAAAATCATTGTCACTATCAGACATGATTTCAGCATGGCAACAGATTCAGATCCCAGCAAAGGTGCAACAGTTTGGCATTTTCATCTCCATATGAGCTTTTTTTGTCAGTAAGAAGTGTGAAACTGACTCTTTGGTACAAGCTTCATTCTCTGAACAATGAACTGCAGCTGACGATGCTGCCTTAGGAAAAATCAGGAGCTTTAATGAACCTCTAAAATTGCAACTCTTGGATCAGGATTTTTTAGCTGTCTGTCCTGAAAATAACAGAGTCCGTATTTGAAATATAGAGCGCTCCTCCTCACCTTTGGACATGTGTGAATCCCACGCTGACACGCTTTTACACTAGCATGCAGGTGTGTAATCCCTCTCATCTGAACTCGGAGTGTGTTACTTTACTCTGTGTCTAATTTTGAGTGTGTTTGCAGACCAGGGGGAGACAAAATCATTCATATAAAAAAATACTATCCACTTCAAAACCTTGTCTTTGTTTTAATTTGGTGTGTGAGTCTGACTGTGTCAAGGGTCTAAGACTTGTTCAGGGGCTCAGTTGACAAAATGAAATCCTCTGTCCTCTGGATTTTAATCCAAGTCTCTCTAGCTCTTCTTAAAGTTGTCTACTTTTGAAAAGAAATGTTCCTTTTCTTCTCATGTGTCCTCAGTTAATCCTGAGAGTGATAAAATTAGTACAAAACATCATCAACGGATCAACAACACCAACCAAAATCAATATTGTGTAGTTCTTGTGCTCATGTGGTGTCTATTTTGTTCTGCCTTGGAAGGACAGTGGAAGAATAAACATTGATACTAGCAGGACTAGGAGTGCTTATTTTCATACTCCATTAACCTCTCGCTCTCGCTCGTGTACACTGTGCAGCTCAGAGAGAGTCTGCAGCGTCAGACAGACGTTCACAAACTCTGCTTATATTACATGTCCATGGCTCTGTGCCAGCAGGGCAGCAATGTAACCACCAAGTATGTGAGTGTGAGTGTCCTAGTGTGTGTCTGTGTGTGTTTTTTTCATAAGACAGGGGAATGTGTACATGTGTAGTATCAAAGAACAAAAATCTTTGTTTAGACTTGGCAGTGGGCCTTAGCTGATGTAGGCCAAACTTAGCCGCTGCGGACTGAACTCCACTAGTTCTCAACATATGGAAACATAATTAGAATAAGTAGTCTTTTTATCATACCTAAGTTACAGCTTACAACCACTCAACTAGCATGGCTGAATTTGAAAATCAAGCTGTCAAAGTACAGATCTAGTCAGCTGCTGGCAGTAATAAACCTTTTGTTTTGTACTGGAATTTCAGTGCTTTGGCCCAAAGGACTAAACGTTCCCCTTCTGTTTTCCTCTTTAACCCATTTGGAATTTATAAGCTAATTTTTCACTCAGATATGACTGTATAACTCTGAGAGTGGCTTTACTTGAAGCTCCTGTGAGGAACTTAAGACCTGGGTCAATTATTGCAGCCCCCGTGGACAACGCAGCCTTTGTTTTCAACATGCTTGAACAGCATCTTGTGAGAAAAATCTCATACTGCTGACTGTTGAGAATCAAATCTGTCATTTATCATGAATATTTTAAAGACGTCAAAAAAGGCTGTTTCTGCAAAGCCTACAAGACAAGCCTTCAAAGTTCTACAAAGTTTTTTTTTAATTCGCACGTGCACTTCATTGTATCACAGGTGCGATTTAACTGTTTGTTAATAAACAAAATCACTTCTTGCAAGTCTGAAAATCGCCGACGGCAAAATTGCTGTGCTTTGAGGATCCTGATGAGGTGTCTCCTACTCAAAACAATACTAAATGTGGCGAAGTTATAAAGTATCTCTTTATGAGTCATATCTAAACAAAAGAAAATGCTGATAATATGCTCTCCCTCCATGACACGGTCCTTCTTTTATCACAAATGAGGCGCAGAGGATTATTTACAAAAATGCATGTGCAAGATACAAAACGCACGTTCGAGATACTAAATTGCATGTGCGAAATTGAAAAAAAAGTTAATGTCAACCTCCCAGGCTCCGTATGTTTCTGTATCTGCTGAAAAAAAAAAGAAACAGAGTGAACTGATAAAATGATGATCACTTGAGAAAACATGTCAGACAGACATTTATAAAAACAGTATTTGTCCTTGTGGAGGAGCACCAACACATGGTAACAGAAGTAGAGGAATACTTTCACACGGAGCTGTAGATTAAGTTTTCTTAAACAATAAAGGACAGTTACAATCTAATTTACTCTCTACCTACTTCTATCTCTTCTCTCATCTTAATTGTCTTCCTCTTTCCCACGACACTGATTTCCATGAGGAAGAGACAGCAGACAGAGAGACAGGGAAACACATGACAGTCTGTTTTTTCCCAGGGTAGAAAGTCTGAAGGTGGTATTTTTATCAGAGTAAACAAGTGTTTAGGAATAAATTAGCTAAATCAAACACTCCCCCTCAGCACACACCCAAACACCCAGTAGAGTGGATTTTCTGTGAGACACTGGGTGAGCTCCACGTTCCTGCAGTTTTACTCAGGCTATTTTTGGACAGCCTCTCACAGGGACCTCTTTTACCACAACTACCCACACTGCACCAGGGTTTGAGGGGAGACTGCTCTCCAAGAGACTGTGGGTTTTTGTGTTTATTTTGAAGTCAATGTTTTTCTGTGTGTGTGTGTGTGTGTGTGTGTGTGTGTGTGTGTGTGTGTGTGTGTGTGTGAGAGAGAGAGAGAGAGAGAGAGAGAGAGAGAGAGAGAGAGAGAGAGAGAGAGTGTATGTGTGTGTATGAAAGAGAAAGATGGCTTCCACATCTGCAGGGGTGTACGGTGCTTTTAAATGAAAGCTTCATTTGGCCTGTCAGGGAAAATTTGTGTGAGTGAGTGTGTGGTTGCATGTGTGTGTGCATGCATGTGTGCGTGCATGCAAGCATTTGAGTGTGTGTGTGTGTGTGTGTGTGCGTGTGTGTGTGTAAAGGGAAAATATGTAGAAACGGCCTAACCACAGACTTCCTCTGAGAGAGGGCCATGTCAACCCCCACATCCATTTACTTACACACACACACACACACACACACACACACACACACACACACACACACACACACACACACACACACACACACACACACACACACACTCTCTCACGGACACACACACTTTCTCACAGACACACAGACACACATGTAAAGACAGAGGAACACTCTGTGAATAAGAAGAGGAAGCTGAGTGAGATGAAGCGAAAATTCAGACCCACTCTGAAACAGAGAGCGAGTTTCATACAGACATGTTTCACTTTTGGTGTCAAAGATCTGGACTGTCACACCGAGTTATTAGCTGGCAGCTGATAAGTACAGTTGTCAGTGTATTAATGTTTTTTATTTCTTTTTAACAAGTTTACAAGAAATTCTTTGAAACATGCAAGTTTAACAACCCTATCACTATAATTTTATAGCAATAGTCATCACCCTGTAATTAACTATAGCTCTCTGCCCGCCCATCACTGAATCACAGCAGTGCTGACATTCAGCATTCATGCAATACTCCTCAACATTCATGTTTTACTGTGCTGTGTCAAACACTGATTGGTCAAAACTCCACAGCAGTGGTCTGTTATTTCTTGATAACAGACCGTTGTTATGACGAACAAGAGTGCTCCAATCACAGTCTATGGTGGACGTACTGTTGCTATACCAATGTACAGAAAACAGTCCGGTAAGTCCAGTGTTGTTTAATTCAGGGAGGAACACCAAGAAAGTGTTCTTAAACAGTGGAGAAAAGCCAGGGAGGTCAAAGACAGAAAAACTGGAGGCTACATGAGAGAAACGTGCAAACTAAAGGTAGAAAGTAAACAGTAGGATGTACGGTGGTGTTTAAGGACAGGTTAATGGAAAAGAAAATATCAGGCTTCTTTTGAAAGGCTTCAGAGTGAAGTGTTATGTCATTGAAGCAGCTTAAACTTTGAGCTTCATAAAAACCTTTCCTGGGAAAAAGTATCTCAATTTCTAAGTGAATAAACACATTTCCAAATCAACATTTGGTTAAAAAAATGCAGTCTTTTAGTAGGCAGCTGTGTGTTTAGTGGGGTACTACGTAGTGAGCTTGTTGCTGTAGCAGAGGGGCCCCTAACACCGTGTGTGTCATGTTGCTCCATGTTGTTTATGTATCCTTTAAAAGGCTGAACTATTTATGTTTCCTCTATGTTTCTTTAATTGTGTTCTTCCCTACTGCCTTTGCAGTATATCGCGAAAGGGTCCTTCATAGGTGACAAAACCGAGTGTGGGTGTTCTCACTTGTAAAATCTGTGACTTGTGAAATTTGTTTGCATGTGGCAATTACATTTATTTCTAAGCTATTAAATACGACTACATACCCAAACCTACATTGGAGTGACTAATGGGGATTCTTTCAAATAAATAAACTGTGAATCGTGATTTTATACAATGTATAATGACAAAGAAATGTCTGATAACAATGAAGGATTACATTGGACATTTTGGAGTTTGAACTCAAGTTTATGTCAAATCTACACAGTCTTCAAATGGACTATCTTTCCTGTAAGTGTTTATAAGCACTGGATATGCTGAGAAACATCCAAATTATTCGTGTGAGTCAGAGTGAGTATTAAAGTTCTAGGAAATATTAATGACTTTCATGATTACTCAGAAGTGGGATGTAGTGGTATCATCGATTTCATGATGTTTTAAGGAGAAAAATGTCACAATGGCATCCTAGACCTGTGACAGCATAAACCATAAAGCTTCTTGGTAATAAGTCCAGTTTTGTTTCAACCCCAGAGAGGCAGAGTGGAGGGAGCCTATCATCCCACATGTGCCCATCTTTGTTTGTTTGCACTCAGATCAGTGCTGAAATTAGTGGACACCATCTTTAGTAGCATGGGGCGAGAACAGACAAAGGAATTTGAAACTGTGGTGCCCCAGCGGCTTTCAAACCTGATATGTTGAAGCATTTTGTTTTCATTTTTCAAAAAATGAAAAAGGAGAAAGGGTTAGGAACAAACAAAAGTCAATACGGAGACGCTGCCAGACTGCGGTGGCCCACACACAAGGAAACCAAAAGTAATATGCAATATTAAAAAGCCACGTAGTTAATCGTCATCTCGAAAAAATTTGAGAAGATATGAGGAAAGAGAAAAATCCAGCACGGCCAAAAGACTCTGAAGGGAGCGTAGAGTTTCACTTCCCATGCGGAGAGCATAAGATGTACTGCTGAACACAAACTCGTAGACCTGCAGACGTTTTCTGTGGTTTTCTGAGAACAAAGGATTTACAAAGTTGGTGGTACACACACGATGAGTGAAAGAAAAGATTTCCATCATGGCAATTGTTGTATCAAACACTATTAGCAAAGAGACAGAGAGACAAAAGCAACCAGAGTGCATCTCACTCAGCATGGACAGTGGACTTCATAAAATACTCAGAGTTTAATAACCTGGATTATTTCAAGTTTTTTAGTAGTCTTTAAACACCACAAGTATCACACCATGGATTTGTTATGATCCCATTGTGAGATTTGGATAATGTTACATGTACCAAGAATATGATCATCTTTAAGGTGAAAGTTTGTTCATCCCCCCCAGAGCTCACAGACTTGTAGAGACCACAACACAGACCTGGTCTGAAGGCTCAAAGTGACACTATAGACCCTTTCATGGGTTCTTTTTGTTGTCTGTTCTTTCTTTGTACCGTCATGCATGTATAACATTTTTACGCCCTGTGATTCTGCCCCGCTCATTTACATCACTTCCTTCCTCTGCGTTACATGTCTTCTGAGCCTCCATAACTCATATCTGGCTGAACATCATAGCTCATCTTCCTAAAAACTCTTTTGTTAGAGGCTATTTCATCTCCTGGGATCACATTTCTCTTTGTAAAGTTGATGGATGAGGGCTCGAATGTAAAACAGCTTTTACAAATTTCTGAGTGGAAAGATGAGGATAGGTGGCAAAGATTTTATCTGACATCAGCGACCAGCTGCAGCCTTGTGAATCAGCGTGTGTCACTTTCACAGTCATTCATCAGTGGATCTTTGTGTCTCTGCATTTAAAGCACAACGTGGATCAAAAACTGCCTCTCTGATCTGGTTTTCCTTTGACACTCTGTCCCTGCTGCTGAACACACGCTGATACAGGAGATCTCCAACTAAAAGGGGAAAATCTCTCTTTTTGATCTTTTTCTCCAGAGCTGCTGCGAGAGCTTCCTACGCTCTGTGTGAGTCTTTGTGCATGAATGTGTGTGTTAATGCGTGTAAGTGTGTGTGAGAAATAGTGTTGGCAGACAGTGTGTGACGCAGATGTGGAGGGATCTGTTGGCATTGTGCCCTTCATTCAGCGTGGTGCCAACCATTTAGTCAGCACAACTGCCCACTGCTACACTCATACACACACACACACACACACACACACACACACACACACACACACACACACACACACACACACACACACACATAACAGGGCCCACGAGGTGTGTGAACACAAAGGGTATCAGTGTTTTTGTCTTGTGAATCGTGGCACTTTGTCTCGCCCACACATGAACACAGTAAATCATGCTGACAAGTACATAGGTTAAATTCAAATAAACAACACACACACACACACACACACACACACACACACACACACACACACACACACACACACACACACACACTATAATATTCAGATACAAAAAGCACAAAAAAGGCTTCAATTTTTCTGATCTTCCTTCTTATTTTTTTAACATACTGAGTGTGGCGCCCTTCAATTTCATTCCTCCTTTGCACTGTACACAGATACAGTGTGTGTGTGTGTGCGTGTGTGTGTGTGTGTGTGTGTGTGTGAGTTTATGTGTGTGTAAACTGTCAGAGCTGGAGGCATCAGCTGATTTAGTGTAGTAATTATGTTATTATCTAGAAGAATGTTACATCAATGACTATCAGAGCGTCTGGGAGACTGAGTGACATTCAAGCTCTGTGTGTGTGTGTGTGTGTGTGTGTGTGTGTGTGTGTGTGTGTGTGTGTGTGTGTGTGAGTGTGTGTGTGTTTGTGTACCATTTAGATAAAAGATGAGATCTAGTGACTGTCTGTAAATGTGTGTATGTGTGTTGTTCACACTAATTACGTGCGCTGTAAGTGTGTGTGTGTGTGTGCGTGCGTGTGTGTGCGTGTGTATGTGTCTGACTCAGCAACCAGTCACAGACAACTTGCTCTTTTTTTTCTTCCCTCATTATTTTTTCACACTTTCTTTCTTCTGTTTCTCTTTTGTGTGCGTTCTCTTTGGCATTGCTCCTTCTTTCCCTTTCACAATCACTCATTTTTATCTCGTTCTTCTCCAGTCACAGACACGTGATGAAAATGAACAGTGACTGAAAACTAAAAGTAAACCAGGATTGCTGCTGGGATGGTGTGACACTGGAGTTCATATCACATGAATCATTCCTGATTCAGGCTTTCTCTCTACAACACACTGCAGCTCTGTAGTGATTTGAAATGAGCCTCATACGGTCGCACCAAAATATATGTAGCGATTTGAAATGAGCCTCACAAGGCCGCACCAAAATAATACTTGGCGATTGGAATTTATAATAAATGTCTGAAGATTAATAATCTCAAATTATGACATTTATGCACTCGTTGAAAGGGGCACCACCCACCCTTAATGGTGGGAAAATAAAGAAAACAAAAGTTTAATTCAGAAATCAAACATCAAGTCAGTTTTAATTAATCAGTCTTAATTAATCAGTCTCATATCTTAAGTCGAAATTCTAATTTCAGGGACTCCACTTCTGGAAGAACACTAACAGACAGGAACTTAGAAAAATAATGATCTGTTTATTACAGGATAAATGATGGTACAACACACATGCAATAAATGATAAGAAGATAATGAGGATAAAATAATAATAGGTGAATAAATAAAGATTCTGAGTCAGGCTAGGAGCACTAAAGTTAATGATAGTGAGTGAATATGCGCTAACATATTAACCTACACTAACTTTGGTGTCGAGATAAACTCGGATGTGGATTTGGAGGAATCTAAGATCACCAGAAATAGGTGGATATCTGAGTTATGAACGCATGAGACAGCAACAGCCCTCTTTGGCGCTCTGGAAGTTTGCATACTTAAGTGAGACTGGTCCTTGGAGAAGATGGAGCAGGTTCCGAAGGTCCGGGCTACTGGCGGTTCGAGCGGTTCAGCTCAGAAGACGACTGAAGTCAGCCGAAGGATGAGCCAGGAGTTGCAGCACTCGGGCCGGAAGCAAAGCCAGCGCCTGTGGATCCTGTGGATGCTCGTTTGGGTACTTCTTTGGTCTCACTCAAAAACTCTGGCACAGAGGATGACCTGGGCCTGTTGGGTTGCGTTCGGAGGTGACTTTGAAATCACGCAGAAAACTCAGAAAAACGAGGCTCGAAGAGCAGAGAAAACTTTCAAAAATGGCTTCGCGAAATTAAAGAAAAATCAATCAAAGGCTTAATCTTGAATTGCTATGTGCACAAAAAGTTGAAGTTTCAAAACTTGAACTAAGACGATGTTAAAGAAAAATCAACGTGAATCAACACGTGGCGTAAAACTTAGTAGACCAAGAAAAAGTTCTAAGAGAAAACAAAGAAACGCACCACAGAAGGGTGTGGGCAGAAGAGAAGGGCCCAAGAGTAAGGGGCCTAAGAGAGACAGGAGAGTCAGCACACAAGAGAAAAAAAGGCATAAGAGCCGGGGACAAGAGAGTCAGCAGAAGAGAGTGAGCAACCCCACTTCACTGGTTTTATCTTCTCACACTGGGAGTGTTTCCGGGGTGTGTGTGAGGAGAAAGGAGGGGTCGTGGAATCTCTGATTATTTGATCTAACTTATTCTTTTGGCTGGTAAAAGAGTCAGATCTGATACTCACTCACTATGATTAATATCATTGAATGCTAGGTTCCATGATAAATAATTTGACACTAAACACATATGAATGAAGTGTAGGATCACATCAAACATTCTCATCATGTTTTAAGTATCACATTGAACATGCTAAATTACTCTGAAATGAAACAGATAGTAACACATGGAAACTGTGAACAACAAAAGAGTAAACACATGTGAATGAACGTCATCATGATTAATAAGGGATTCTAAATACTCACATTCAGATTATTCAATGATATTATAACCACCTAATGGTTAAAAATACTAAATAAACGATTAAAATATAAACCAAACATTTCTAAACTATTTCTGTGTTCATAGAGTTAAGTTATGAGCCATAGTCAATAAATTTAACTCTTAACAGTTCATGAAACAGTCTGAAAAGCTGTTGGTCTAAAGATATCCGGAGTGATAATTTGGCTTCTGAAGCACATAGAAAAACGGGAAACATCTCATTTCAACACAAATTTCATGATTAGACAGATTAGTACATTGCTGAATGCATAAGATGTCATGATCAGTCATTTGTATTCTTTCACCAAAGGAATGTAGTCTTTATCAGTGTATGGTTGAGCAGGGTTTTACGACCGAGGTCTGGAGGTCAGTGTCCCCCCCTTTTCCTGGGGTCCGTATGTTCACACACTTTAAGACGCTAAATCTCAAATGGGAGATCTGGGTTGAGACATTAGTGTTTATTTAGATGGTCAGTGATGGAGTCAGTTTAAAAGGTAATAAAAACTCTGTCTCTGTTCTCCGAATTGACCAATCGTGAAGAGTCAGAAGTTTGGTCAACCTCCGGTTGGGTCACTTAGGCAACCTGAAAGTGTAAACAAGTCTGGAAAGATTTATATCCTGTTTCCTGGGATCAGATAAGGAAACTTTCCTGTGAGGAATTCACACCCAGGGTTGTCTTGATTGCTACAGCTCTTTCACAGCCAGAAACCAAGAATTAAGAACTGCAACTAACTCCACTTCAGCGTGAGCGCCTTGTCGTAGCAAAATAAATGAGGATGGGAAGAGAGGAATGAGAGCAAAGACTGTTCACATAATTTAAAATCTGTACAGTGAAGAATGACAGATTTAGAAGACGTATTGGATTGTAAGCACGATCGATTTTGTTAGAAAATTCCAGCCTTAGAAAAACACACTTGTGACAATATGTTACAGTGATATACAATAAATAGTAGGGGGTTGAGTTGTCCGCACAATAAAAGCACCACTTGATAAATATTCATTATTCTTATCATACAATTTAATCTCACTTATTGATAATTTTACATATTCCAACACACTAGGTAGCAGTATTCACTCCACCATTACATACAAAGAGCAAAAGGTTAGTGAGCCAATGAAAAATGGCATCACCGATGTGAATGTTTACCGCAACAGAGAAAAGAGCCCTGAGGTTTTCTCAGAGCTAACCTTTTAGCTTGAAATTTGTTTCAGGTAATACCCAGGCAGCAGTGATAGTGGCTGGTATGAGCTCCAATAAAATGCTGTGTGCTGTAGTACAGATTTAAAATCTGCTAGTAATAACTCTAAGCTACACAAATCACTGGATTCACAACATTTAATGATCTCTCTTTTTTATATAGAGGACCAATGACTACACTGGCTAATGGAGCATTAGGAACAGTATCTAGAGAAGCTGATAATTAGCAGTCATATCCTCATCCTTTTGTTATCCTCAAGTAAAACAGGAGCAATATAAAAATAAAGCACAACAAACAATCATTTTTATGACGCAGGCCGTCTCCAAAGAAGTTTCAGTGGATAAGTCATAAATTTGACCATGAATGATGATATCTTTGTTAATTGTGTTGATTAGTTAAACTAATGGACTTGTGATATCAATGAAGATATATAACCCATGCCCCACCCGTTTCTTGCCTTTCCTTAATTTCACTCACCGTGTTGTTTTAAGCTTCAAGTTTTCTCTAAATATCTAGCTAACATGGTTACTGTGATATTTTAAGACCACGATCATTATGAGGTGAAAATTCTGATATCTAGACAGCCTCATCGTAATTTCTTTCTTTTTACCAAAAAGAAAAATACTTAAGAGCTGCTATTATCTTAGACATAGACAAGAGGGACATCCTCTAAAGCTGCCAAAAAATAATTTTCTGCTTGAAGTCAGTATCACTCCTTAAACACAGTCAAATAATTCCTGAACTCAGACAGAGGTTCTGACAAGATCTCTTTGACTGAATGAGTCACACATTGTTTGCTTCCATTTAGCATATCACTCTTTTCTTCCCTGTCAGACCAAAGCATTTGTGGGTTTTTCCCTGTGTTAGTGCACCTGCATTGTAGACCACCTGAAATTAAAACTGGAGATAAAAGCTCAACTGTAAATACTAAGTAATGACTGAAAAGTCTGCAGGCAGTGGTATGAAAATTAATCAAACTAAGGAGCAGCATGGGAAAACAACAGAGAAGTATTGAAGACATGGAACTTTTTGCCTTTTGACCACAAAATAAGAATGTAGGGAGACAATGACAATCATTTAAGTGTGAAGTATGAGAAAAAGTGACAAAGACAGAAAAAGACACACGAGAAGGGGGAAGTGAAAGAAAATCAGATGAGGTACAACAATGAGAGCAAGGAGGTGAAGCTGTGTGTGTGTGTGTGTGTGTGTGTGTGTGTGTGTGTCAGGGGTGATGGCAGCAGGTGGAGATAAAGCACGTTACTGGCCTTCTGTTCCTCTATTCTCTGAATGCAGCGTCTACTGGTCTCAGTCACACACACACACACACACACACACACACACACACACACAGATGCACACACCACCTGCCAAACTAACAGCAGTATGAAAGTAAGTAAGGATAATAGTACGGTACTCTCCTCTGCATGATCACTCTCTCTTCCTCTGTTTTCCCTCCCTGTAATTACCAAGGCTGAAAAACAGAAAACACACAAACATCTCATGATGGACAGTCGGAGCATTAAGGTTAAACATGGTGTAGTGTCGGCTTTGTGCTTCAAAGAAGGAGGAGCCAAGGGTGAAGGGATATTGACCTGTGAAGCTCTCACTGTGACATTAAAACTTTACTCACGACTCATGTTTTTCTTGTGTATTTCTTTTTTCTTCTGTGAGGAGTGAACTTTCGCTTGAAACCTCTGAAGGTAAACTACCTACCAAAACTCATCATCAAAGCCCCATCACTCTTCAGCTCTACCACCCCATTTGTCTTTCAAATTACAAAACTGAAAAAAAGTAAAAAAAACCTATCTAGTCTTTGATCAAAAAGCAATTATTCACAGGTTCACTGGCAGTTTGTACTGTGCTTGCCCTCACCCTGTCTGGGCCTCCAACTGCCTGCAGACACTAATGTGCATCATTGACATGCAAAGCCTTCTTTGTGCACACTGGAGAGCCAAAACCACTGTTTGTTCCTATGGCTTGCATAGGCATGGAAATATCATGCAAATCCAGACACAGGCTTGCAGATCAAGTTAGAAAACCAGAGGGGACAGAATGACAAAGAGATTTTTGCCAAAGATCATAACACTTATAACTCCAATAAAGAATAATGAATATCTTTAATATGCAAAACAACTTTGTTTCAATGGTCTCTTCCATCTAAGCAGGGAAAATCCTCATTTAAACAACTTTTAGAAAGATTTGAGATGGTAAACTAGAAAAGCACTCAGAGAGCGCAGACCTCCGCCAAGCAGCTCATGTCCCCCCTTATATTGTGATTCACACCAAAACTTTTACTGTTACGTGTCTTTTATTAACTTATATTTGTGTTTAAACTGGTATGTTCACTGTTCATAATGTTCCTAAAACAAGAAATGCCCTGACCCAGATTCGAACCCAGGACCTTCTGGCTGTGAGGCAACAGTGCTAACCACTACACCACTGTGCCGCCCATTGGTTATCTTTCAGCATTGAAAATTCCAACGACACCCTTATTTTTGTGTGTTCTGGATCACAGTATCCAGAATTTTGTCTGGATCAGGATCAACCTTTGACACCTCATAAAACTCATTGAGATCCTTTTGTGTAATTTTTTACTAAAGATTCTGGTCATTTTTATAGAGTTAAATGCAAAAATTCCAAAATTTGCCCTATCTCACAATGATAAAGAATCCTTCAAAAAATTCCTGGATCCAGAAGGCGATCCGGATCACCACCAAAATGTAATGGGATCCTCCTGGGGCTGAGACGCACCTCTGGTGAAAATCTCAGGTCAATCCGTCTGTAACTTTCTCTGTAAAGTTGCTAACAGACGAACAAACAAACAAACCAACAAACAAACCAACAAACAAACCAACAAACAAACCAACGCTACCGAAAACAAAACCACCTTGGTGGAGGTAATAAGAAAGAACTGACCATTATGTGTCTGCTTTGATTAACCAAAACCAATGTTTGTTGGTAAAATTGTAATAAAGGGTTTGTTATAGCATTTTCTTTTCCTAAAAACGATAATAATGTTGACAGTAGTAAAGTTGTGGGAAGTTAAACTGAAATCCTGGGATGTCAGACCTTGAAATATCGCTAAAGCTTCACCATGAGCAGCCCTTCATGTTACACATGATGAGCCCTTTTCATGTTACAAGCCTGTAACAACCAGCTATCCGTCTTCAAACTTTCTTTCACACTGATCAAGCAACAGCATTATGTGTTGCAGACCCAGTTTATCATTTTACACTTCATCATTGGACGTGTACTCAGACATATAACAGACACATATACAGTGTTTCATACTGTCATGTTAAACGTTTGAAGACATTTGAATAACATAAACAAACACGTTTACAAACAGGGAAAACTTCAGGTGAGTGGTGCTGCATACTTTGGTGCAGCTCAGCCAACAGTTACTGGAAGAGTAGGACTAAGAATAGAGAGATGGCGCTGACATGCACATGCTGGATTTCACACCAGACTGACCTGTCTCTCACGGTTTTGTGTCTCTGTTTTTCCACTCAAATACAGACCAACAAACATATTCATTCTGTTTTTTTCGGTCTTTAAATCAGATGCATGGACAGATGTTCACCCAAACACAAAGACAAAATGGCAACAAAAGTCACTGGGATGCACACAAAGAGCATGTGGACCATCGGAGTAGGTGTGGTCATTAGTCTGAAGCCTGGAGCAGGAAATATGAAACCCTGTGGGAGGAGATGGCGATGGTGTTGTGTGTGTGTGAGTGTGTGTTTGCATGAGAGCTTTTGTTATGCAGTAATATCTCTGAACAGGGAGACTCCAACTGAGTGAGGCTGACAGCAGACCACTTACTCAGATTTAAACTCTATGAGCTCCATTAAATCTTTAAAACAATCACAGAGGACGCACAAGATGTAAAAACACAACCTCACACACACACACACGCACATAGGCACATACTGCGGGATGCAGAGCAGCAGTAGCAGAGGGAACCAATTAGTGGTCTCACTTTGATGATGTCACTGACAAGTCACGCACCGGTGGCACAGCTTCTGTTCAAAAGGAAACATAACACCACACACTGCGCACGCAGCCCACACACACACACACACACACACACACACACACACACACGAACGCCATACATCAACACACACCACACACAAGATGTTGATATGCTGGCAGCAGAGGAGGATCATGAAGGCTGATGACTAAATTAGAGGGCAACAGAGGAGCCAGATAAGAAATTACTTCAAGAGGAGCGTGTGTGACTTTGAAATTCCTTTATGGCGGCGAGCTTTGACAACATCTGTGAATAGAAAATGGGGAATATGACCAAGTCAAAAAACGCTTTCTCCCTTTTCCCACAGAAGGAAACCAAAACAAGTCAAAAACAAACTTCAATGCTAAGCTGAAATAGTTCCCTGACACTCAGTTCAAGGGGATACATTATAGTTAATATTTTTACAGAGAAGTTTATGTTTTGAAAAGACTGGACTTGTGCTACAGCTGTGGGAAGAACAGTCAGCACATCATCATCTACTGTAGTCTCTAAACCAAAACATCTTGCACCTATTAAACTGTTCTCTCTGGCTCCAGAAATAGTTGTCTTGGCAGTACAAACCCTCCACAAACAGCAGTGCTGTACAGCTTCTGTGCAAACCTTTGTACCAGATAAGGGCAAAATCTCTTAAACTTAGTTTGATTACTGAGCCTTTTGAGAAGTCAAGATGGATGGATCATATTTTGTACAAATACAGGCTTTTTTATTGAGCATCCTATTCTTCACGAGCTGTAATTGTTTCGTTCAAGGTGTGGAGCTGCAGGGCTGCCCAGTAGCGACAAAATATTTGCTCAGTTAGTGACAGCTGTGTCCATATTTGCCCAAATTTTATTGACTCCTATTAATCAGTAATAACTTTTATGACCGGGGAACAGCGGGATCTAATATGGGATGGAGGTTGCGCAAACATAAAAGAGTTAGGGGGATAAAAAGTTAGAGACATCCTGCAGCAGAGCTAAATATTAACAAAAGCAAGCTAACATAATTCATCATCACAATAATGTCCCATGAGCTTAAAGTTAGGAGGCATAATGTTAAACATGTTCACTTTATTACTAAGTGTGATGAAACATTGATGTTTGTTTAATAGTACCAGATACAAAGTTAAGTCAAGACCAAAGAGAATCATTATTTACATGCAATTAGTAATATTTGGTGGTACGGCTCTGATCTGAGGGAGCCTGCATTGTCACTGGGATGACAAAGCATGAGACAAGTAAAGCACACCTCCCTGCTGTTTCATTTTCATACAAGAAATGCCATGGCAGGGAGAACAGCAGCTAAGACCTCAAGGGTACAAACAGAGCAGTAATGACACTACAAATCAGACACAGCATAAAGAGGAGAAAACAGGATTGCAGAGCAGTTTGTGCAGGAAGCAGCAATATTAGGCAAGCTAAAGTGGTCTATGGAGAGAATACCCATTTTGATATTTACCAATTAGATATATAGACAGTAATTGGCTGAGCTGCTGTAGGCAAGCACTGGAATCAACAAATGTACTTTGAGCTAGGGATATTCTGGCGTAAAATTAAGTTAGGGTCAAACACACCATTACACCAAGTTAGACACCGCTGACGAGTTGAGATCACCGAGTGCAGCGGATCATTTCCTTGAAGTAATATTCTTCATAGTAATCATTTTGCACTGCAGACGCAGTAGTTCTTCTGCCTTAGTGTCTCAGTCTGATTGCATTCCCTTGAAGTAAAATTCATAATTGTTCTTCCTTGAGCTGCAAAACTCACCTGCGCTCAGTGATTGCCTCGTCAGGCTCCCCCACAAACGAGCGGATGCTGGAGGAGAGTGGGTGAGGTGTGTTTAGTCTCTTTGCTTAACAAACCAGGCAAAGCTAAAAAGACGTTTGATGGCTAGGACCCTATATGTACTGTTGATGAAGTTAGGTGCTGTTCTGAGCATTATTTGTGGCCATAGAGTGGCTCTTGGGTTGAGGTTTGCACGTGGAGTAGTACAGTGCTGTGTATTGCTATCTGCGGTCGTTACTAAAGTTGGTATAACTAGAGTAGCAAGCAGTTGGCATCATTCATCTCTTGAAGGGGTGTCTAACTCGGTGTTACGATGTGTTTGACCATAACTTAAATTTACACCGGAATACCCCTTTAACTTTTGGGTCTGCCTGAACTGACACTATGATCAGTTCGAGCTTGAGCTGATGGGAATTGGTTATCTTTTGAGTATTTGTTCATACACAAGACAGATGTTTCTGTCTCTTTAACTGATGTTTGACAGATGATAGATGTTTCTCTCTCTTTCTGCCTCTTTTCAGTCTTTTTCATGTGTTTAAGTTTTGTTTACACTTTGTTTGTGTGTATATTTGTGTGCATCTGTGTGTGAGCTCAGTCTGGCACCACCATCTCATCAGCACGCATGGGTACTGTGTGTGCAGTCACACTCACTGTTATGTCCCAGTACAGTACACAGATGAGAAAAAACACACAACCACCAACAGCCTGAAACTTTCAGCCTAATTCCTGTGGTTGCAGTCTTGTATAAAGTCTCTTCTTAAGTTTGAACTTTTCCACCGGTAATCAGTCGGTACGGAGTACAGTTTTCTGTTTCACAATTCACATTTTGTTACTAGAAATCTTGGTGTTCCAAATAATTTATAACTGAGAAATTCAGGGCTAGGAAAACAAAAGAAAGCAAACCTCCCCCCAAAATGGGGCTTCTGTAGTTCCCTGCTCACCTTGACATCCCTTTGTTCCTGATTTCCTTGACACAAGACATTTGAGGTGAAACTGTGACCTACATATTCAATTAGTGTGGCACATCTTCGATGTTTTATTCTAAATACTTTATGCAATACTTGTTCTAGACAGAAAGACATGTTTTAATGTAGTTACAATAGATGAAACAGTGGAGCAGGACAAAAGAGGAAGACCTGTTTTAGGTCCGTTTCCTTACACAAAAGAAACCACAAACAGAATTCTGACAAAAGGAAGAAACACTAAAGGTAAGTTTATGTTTGAAGTTATGGGAACATTCAAACAACGAGTAAAAGAACAAGTACATTTAAAACCTTTTCACTAACAAAATGCTGATATGAAATGATTTTGAAGAGCGAGGAGGAATTCTGTTATGATTCAACAACTTCAGTACATAAAAATGATAATAAAGGGTTTACCCCTGAAACCTGTTTATCAGATAAAAAGACAGATGATAGATAGGTGAAGGGAAGGACAGGTGGAAGAATAACTTGATAGATAGACTGTCGGATATATGGATGAATGGATAGATGATGGATAAATAAAAATAAATAAATGTTGGATAACAAAAATCAAATTAATAAATAACCAAATAACTAAATAAATAACCAGGTAAATGAATCTATACTGGAAAAATGGGTGAACTGATTGATGAACTGATGGACTGATGGTTTGGTAGATGAGTAGATGAATGGATGAATGGATGGACAGAGGATGGGTGGATGATGAATGGCTAATCCAAACAAATGGTGTTTGTATGTACACTACAGGCCAAAAGTTTGGAAGCAAGATCAGATTTGTACAAGAAAAGATCATAGTTTCATATAATTTGCAACACAATAAACATGACTATTGTGTAAAGAGTAACTTATCAGAAGACATTTTGACTATAATTATTAGGTATTTGAGTTATTGTTGCTTAGACTTTGCTTTCTTTAAAGTAACCTCCTCTGGCTTTAACAGCAGCTTGGCATATACCAGGCATTTGTTCAACATGTTTTTTAAGGTATGTTCCAGGGATTGCATTCCAAGCTTTCTTAAGTTTATTAAAAAGAGACTGCTGATTTGTTGGACGTGCTTTTCTGACCGATCAATCCAATTCATCCCGCACAAGCTCAATTGGAGAAAGGTCTGGAGACTGAGGGGGCCAAACCATCTTTTGAAGAACACCTCCCTCTTCTTTTTTGTCTAGGTAACCCTGACAGAGCTTGGCAGAGTGCTTAGGGTCATTGTCTTGCTGCAAAACAAACTTATGAGCCACAAGTCTGAGTCCAGATGGAACAGCATGGTGCTGGAGGATGGAGTGGTACTGTTCCTTCTTCATGATACCCTTAACTTCAAACAAATCTCCTACTCCATCACCTGCAAAACATCCCCATACCATGGAACTACCACCTCCATGCTGAATTGTGGGTGTAACACATGGTGCTTTCAGACGTTCACCAGTTTGTCTGCGGACATAGGCTCTGTGTTTTGAACCAAACAGTTCAAACTTGCTTTCATTGGTCCAGAGAACTTGTTTCTAGTCATCATAAGTCCAGTTTTTGTGAGCTTTTGCCCACTCATATCTCTTTTTCTTGTTCTGTGGACGAAGTAGTGTTTGTTTGCAGATACACAACCCTTCAGACCAGCCTTTCTCAAACGTCATTTCACAGTTGTCAGAGATATGGGTTTTGACCTTGTCATGTTGATTTCCTCCCTTATTTTTGGTGCTGTCTTTTGCCGATCTCTCTTACCGGTGACAATGATATGTTTATCCTCTGCTTTTGTAGGAACTCTCATTTGCATTTTGCAAATTTCTCTTTCTGTGTATCCTTTTTTCCTCAATGTACAAATCTGTACTTTTGTTTCTTTACTCAGTTGCTTCTTTCTAGCCATTTCTGCAGTATTTTGAATGCAGTTGAGATTTATTAGGATTTTTGTATGCAGACTCTCAAAAGCCAAAAAGTTGAAGTGAATAATCCAACTGTGATTTGTTTTTTTGCTTTTGCACTGAAGTTGTGACTCTTGTTAATGTTTTCGACCCTGCAACTAAGCCCTTATTATCTTTTGCTGACATATATTTAGCAATAGTCTGTTAACATCAATGTATATCTAAAGGTAAATGGAGTAAAATGGTGCATTTCTATGTAAGCAACATCTGATCATGGAGTAAATACATCCCAAAATACATAAAACTCATGCTGGATTTAAAAAAAAAACATTGTGAACAAAAACTTGAAGTTACTCCCAACTGTTCGGCCTGTAATGGCCTTGCTTCCAAACTTTTGGCCTGTAGTGTATGTAGCCTATGTATGGATTGATTAACAGATGTCTTGACATTTGAATAGCTAGTTTAGATGACAATTGATTGACATCTAAACTGATGGATGGATGGATGGATGAATGGATGGATGGATGGATGGATGGATGGACATATATAAGGACAGATGTATCAAACTGTGTTTTAATGACAAACAGATGGATTATTGAAAGGATGGAAGAATTGATGGGAAAAACTGAAAGGGTCTCCAAGTTTTTAAAGTAAGTGGAAAAAGAGAAAAATGTTCTTGATAGATATTTTGGGGCCTCCTGTGGACAAAGTCAACCTCTCATCCCTTTGCTGGTGTTGCTCAACACATGAGTAAGACTGTGAGAGTGGGCAGCGAGAGCTGCAAATATTCAAATCTCTAAAGATATTGGTCTTTTTGCTGGTGTTCTCATTGGCTTTTGTATTGTTCACAGAGGCACCAGTGCTGACAATAAGCTGCTTTATAACCCGCAATAAAACTCCTCACATGTGCGCTATTAAATAGGGGAGACAACACAAGCTGTTTTAAGTGTTTTTTTTTCCTTCCCTAACCTTTAAACACATTTGAGTCAAAAAATTTTATCTTCATTCATGGGGGGGTGTCCATGTTTTGGTTATATTGTATTTTGTGTGCAAGGACCACTACAGAACTTTAACTTCAAAATGAGCAAACTTCACCAGTATTTTTGGCCACAAAGGTTGCTGGTAAGCCAGCTGCTGATGCTGAAATTCATGCCTGGGGCTTGGTTGATGCTTGCTAGCAAGTTAGCTGCTGACGCTAAAATTAACCTCATCCACAGCTGGCTCCCATTAGCCCTGCAATGAAAGCCTCTACTTTTACTCTTTTTCTCTCTGTCTTTCAAAACCTTTCTGTCTTTCTTTCTCTCTCTCTCAAAAACACACACTCTCTTTCTCTCTCACACACACACACACGCACTCACGCACACACACACACACACACACACATTATATTGTGCTGCCAAGTTTAACATGGCTGTACTACCCTTTTGGTTTGGCACTGTCAGTGTTTGGAAATGAAGAAGGGGGAGAAAGTAGAGGGGGGGAGAGAGAGAGAAAGAGAGGGAGGGAGAGAGAGAGAGAGAGAGGGATGTACAGCGGGAATGAGGATGTAAGCAAAAAGTACAGGGAATGGAAAGCGGAAAGGCTGGAGTGATGGAGGACTTTGGATGTTTAAAATGCCACAAAAATAACAAACTCAGGAAAAAGAAGGGAAGCTGGAGACTGAAAAAAACTTATTGAAAAAGAAAAAAAATAAAGAAATAGAGGGAAACGAGGTTACCTGAAACCTCCAGGAACATATTCTTAGCTGCTGTATCATCTCCCTCTTTTTCCTTTTCCCCTCCAAAAAAACAAAACAAAACATTTGTGCTCTTTTTTTGAAGCTATTGTCAGTGTTATCTACTCGGACATTAACCCATTTTACGAGGTGTTTAAAAGATGCCTGGAATAAAAGAAACAACCAAAAGAAAAAAGGATCATCACCAAGCTGTGGATGTTTCTATGTGAATGTTTTTGTGAGCAAGTAGTTAAGCATTGACAGTAATTAGGAAGAAAAGTTGCAACGTACACAGGATCCTTGCCTTGGCCTGACAGTTGTATTCTACAGGGAGGTCCAGCGGGGTGTGTGTGTTTGTTGTTGTGTGTGTGTGATTCTTTGTGGGTATGTGCATGAAATGAAAGCTGAACTTGTGGTAAAGCAACACTGCAGAAAATGTACACTTGGTACACAGTTCAAGACTGCACAGGAATAAGTGAGCGAGTTTATGCACTTTCTTCTAAACAGTATTTCTCTTGACTGTAAATCGCTCCACACACCACATCCAACCCTCAGCTGTCCCTTTTAATACACGTGGAGTATAAATTAAGATCACATTGAAGAGGGGACTGAAGGCGTACACTGGTGCTTCATCGGAGCTTTATGAATACAACACTTCACTGATATGGGGTGAATACTACAGTGAAAATTGATGACCGAGAAGGCTGTCAGCAAGTTCATCTGGATCCTCACATCTGAATATTTGTGTGTGTGTGTGTGAGAGAGGGGAAGAGGAGAGGGAGCGCTTGGCTTTAGTTCTGTGAAACTTATTTTACGTTGACGACTTCCAGCCTCATTAAAACTTCATAGATCTGTGAGCACCGCAGAGGTGAGAGAGAAAAGAGTATCATCTTACACACACACACACACACACACACACACACACACACACACACACACACACACACACACACACACACACACACACACACACACAGCCCCGCTCTGAGGCTGCCATACACACATATATGCAGCCCTCCTCTCTCTCTTTTTGTCTGACACACACGCCACATCAGGAACTTGTCTGCAAAATGCCTGCCGCCCGTTATCACGAGCCCACACACACACATGCACACAAACATCATTCCCAGCCATCAGGGCACTTGTGTTAAATAATTAACGGGGAGAGATTAGTCCGTCAGCCTTGGGGCATGGAGGTCCATCGATTCCCCAGAATGCATTTTTAATGAGCCGCCAGTCGGCATTCATTTCAGCTGGCCAGTGTCCGTGGAGGGCCCTCTGACACACACACACGCACAGAGTCCAGGCTCAGCGCCAGGGGAGACAATTAACATACACATAAACACAACAGCAGCAGCAGCACCACTGTACTGTGCGGTGTATATCACCTTGACAACAGCAGCAAACTAACAGTTTCTGATCTCTCTAAGTAGTTTAACTTTGATCTTTATCAAATAAAAAGAGAAAATAATGTTTTCAACCAACTCACTGATGCGTGACTAACAGCTCAGTTTGACTGGGGTCACCGCCTTTAACGTGTTGTTGGCTGGATGGTACGACAGAGGGCATCAGATTGAAGCACTGCAGGGTGAAACTATTCTGAGAGACCTACTCTGGTTTACAAGCTTAACTCTGCACAACTAAGAGCTGATCGCAAATTGATCCTTGTAATTTGTCTGTGTAGATAAATAAAATAAATAAAAGGATTAGACAAGAAATAAAAAAATCATGGATTGAAGTTTGTATCTTCCAATAAAAAAGTATGACCAAGTATGAGGCTTTGTAAACTAAAGCTGTTTTTGTGTGATAAGTTTGTAAAGGTGTTTTAAATGCAGTTCGTTTTGGGATTTAAAAAGCAGCTTAAAAAACACACACCCAAAAAAGGAACAGAAAGAGACAGAATTTGACAGAATTTCCTTAAAAGCCTTTCTCTTCACAGTCTCATATTTTCTCATGTGGCAATAAACCTGGATGAGTCAAACACACATGACTAAAGGATGACACACATGGCAAAGATATTTTCAGATCCAGCTGATGTTGTAACACGAGGTTTTATCAGCAGTTTGTCTGTTGGGTTTTTCACTTAAGAGCTGAAATGTTCCCAACCCTACGGCAACTTTAGAAGATTTAAAGTCCTACTCCGACCGTTTTTTTTTTTTTTTGACTACTTAAAGTGTCCTCAGTGGTCTTAAAGTTGTGATCATTAAGTTTTTAGCCAAAATTGCATTACCTGTGATATTTTCAAGAGCTTTTCTTCTGCAGAGCTCCAGTAGCTCATTATAACAATTCACCTCTGAGTCGTGGGCGGAGACAGCGCTGTTCTGCACAGCCTAACATTGTCAGTGTTGTAGAAGTGGCAGGTAACATAGGAGCTATTCAGCTCTCAGACACAAATGTCTTTAGGGACATGATGAAAGTTAATATCATAATTAGCTTTCTTGCAAGCGTTGCAATCCGCTAACACTAACGCTTGTTCCGCAATTGCTCTCTCTTCTTCTCTGAGTCTGGGGCATGCCATATGCCATACATGCCATATAAACATGTAAACAACAAGAAAAACACGATTCTCATCTGAGTGGATATTTCACAACAGGTGAGGAGTTAAAAAAAGAGTGTTTGTAAGTGTGTGCGTATTTGTGTGTTTGGGGGCATGGACACACATTTTGCACTTGTCTTATGTTTCCCTTTCAAGCTGTGTGTGTGTGTGTGTGTGTGTGTGTGTGTGTGTGTGTGTGTGTGTGTGTGTGTGTGTGTGTGTGTGTGTGTGTGTGTGTGTGTGTGTGGAGGGTGCACGTCTTGCACTTGTCCTACCTTTCCTGTCTCTCTCTCAAAGTCCACATAATCCCTTGTGGGGACCTGCCTCTGATCTCCATGCAGGTTGGCTGGAAAGAACTGGAGAGAGAGGTTGGTACCTGTTGCTACAAAGGCCTGTAGAAAGAGAGAGAGATAGAGAGAGACAGACAGACAGACAGACAGACAGACGGACGGACAGAAATAGAGAGGGAGAGAGAAGGAGAGACAAGAAATCAAGTCAGTCGGGACAAACCTCAAGAGAAGTCATCAAAGATGACCAGCAAAGGAGAGTTATATTCAGCATAAATACACAACCGCCCTGTTTCTTCCTATAAATGGTTAAAAGCTCAAGTGTTGTAGTTGTAAATCTGCACATCTAGCAGACAGTGAGCTTTACAGAGCTTACATATTCACAACTGTTTTATTGACAAAAGCGAGAAAACTGTTTTCTAATCCAAAGAAACCTCAGGTCTTTTGAACCTCTTTGTTTCTCACATATCCACTTGACCCTCAGTGGTAGTGTGTGTGACTGCTTGCTGGAGCTTGTCTGTGGGAAATAACTCTTCTGAGTTTTAAATTTCACCTCATCTCATTTCGAGTAAAGAATTGCACAAACCAAACATTAAGCTAAAAGAAGCTTAAATCACCTTATACAGCAACAGAGCTTGGTTTAATCTATCAGGCCCTGCACTATAAATGACTCTCTCACATTACATTTTATTAATAGCATAACAGCCCTCCATGTATTGTACCTGTCACATTAATTTTACTTTTTAGAGAATATTAAGCAGTCTCTCACTGTGGTTCTTTAGACTTCTGAAAGGGCTGAATGAATACCAAAAACATCATTGATTCATTCAGACCAAGGCCAAGGGAGTGTGAATTTATGATGTACTTATGATGTGTAACAGAAAGCATTAGGAGTGGGAGTGCTGCGTCTGGAAGACCTAGTTCCCTACCAGATGGGAGGAGGGATATTTTAGATTGTATTTCAGCAGTGTGCCAAACAATCAGTTTGAGCATTTAGAGCTCACATCTTCTACCTTTCTGCCAGTTTCCCAAGAAAATAAGGCTGATGTTTCATTACAAACTAAAAAAATGAAAAACTAGAAAAGCACTCGGAGAGCGCAGACCTCCGCCAAGCAGCTCATGTCCCCCCTTATATTGTGATTCACACCAAAACTTTCACTGTTACGTGTCTTTTATTAACTTTTATTTGTGTTTAAACTGGTATGTTCACTGTTCATAATGTTCCTAAAACAAGAAATGCCCTGACCCAGATTCGAACCCAGGACCTTCTTGCTGTGAGGCGACAGTGCTAACCACTACACCACTGTGCCGCCCATCTACACCACTGTGCCGCCCATTGGTTATCTTTCAGCATTGAAAATTCCAACGACACCCTAATTTTTGTGTGTTCTGGATCACAGTATCCAGAATTTTGTCTGGATCAGGATCAACCTTTGACACCTCATAAAACTCATTGAGATCCTTTTGTGTCATTTTTTACTAAAGACTCTGGCCATTTTTATAGAGTTAAATGCAAAAATTCCAAAATTTGCCCTATCTCACAATGATAAAGAATCCTTCAAAAAATTCCTGGATCCAGAAGGCGATCCGGATCACCACCAAAATGTAATGAGATCCTCCTGGGGCTGAGACGCACCACTGGTGAAAATTTCAGGTCAATCTGTCTTTAACTTTCTCCGTAAAGTTGCTAACAGACAAACAAACAAACCAACTCTACCGAAAACATAACCTCCTTGGCGGAGGTAAAATGAAAAACTACAGAAAAGTTAGTCATGTTAGATGTTGGAATACATACAGCAAGCTCAGGATACTTCAGTACAGGATACTGAAGCTAAATTATTTTAACTTTTCTATCAAAAAAAAAATCCTCAAAATGTTTAAAAAATTACCAAAACAGAAGTAGACTGCTTTTGATTTAAGGATGGTGTCAACCTCTCTCAAGGAGGTTTCTCATTGAGGCTGTGGTGAAAATTAGTACTGGCAGGTATTTCATGTGCCTCTTTATCTGATCCAGGAACAAGAATAAAGCAGACCACATGGTACTGCAGGTGTCTTGGTGTTAGCAGAGGGGGAAAAAAAACTTCTCATGATGATGTTTTAGGTAGGCAGTAGGGATGGGCGATTTGGGCTGAAAAATTTATCACAATAAGATTTGCCATTCTGCCGATAACGATAAAAGTCTCAATAAAAAATATTATAATTCCAATCTATATTTTTGACTCATTTTGTCTTAAGACCACCAGTTGTAGTAGTCAAATAAGATACTTAACTACAAGTTTGAGAGGTAGGTTATAGAGAAAACTGATGACAACTGATCAAACAAGTCTCAAATGTGAAAACATTTTAAACATTTGTTGAAAACTCTTATTGCACAGAGTGAACAGCAGCAGATCAACTGTCCGATGTCAGGCATACCTGATTGCACTCATCTAAACACCAGTCTTGAAGGAAACCCCTCATGTGGAGCCTCGGTTAGTAACAAGCTGCTCAGAAACGTCTTCTTCATTACCTTCAGCCATGTTTGTTTGTTATTCTGCTCTGTGTGGGCTATGGCTGCGAGTCCATCGCCCGCGCTTACGTCATCAACTTGCATTTATTGTATTTATCATGAGATGGCAAATATTTATCATGGAGGATTTTTCGGACAATTTATCGTGAATGATCATTTATCACCCATCCCTAGTAGGCAGAGCCATATTTGACATGATTCTCATCAATGTCTGGGATATATCCAGGAAAACAGTTCATGGTGGTTTCCCTTGAAGATAGCAAAAATGAAAGTTGAATTCTGGCCATGTTGGAGAGATATTTCTCATCCTAACTCAGACCAGTCTCCTGTATTCATCAAATGACTTTGCTGGATAATCCACATATTATTAAAAAGTTACAGAAATGCAGATGGGAACATATTTCTATCCAAGATTGATATTTGAAAGTTTTGTTTTTTCACACTAGCATTCATAGTTTCATGTAATGTTTTCATGAAGTTCCTGTAAGAATGAAGGGCAGCATATTTGAACCAGGTCTAGGCCTGGACGATATAGAAAAAAATCATATCGATAAAAAATAAATCATATTGATCGATATCGATAATTATCGATATAATTATTATAATTATTTAACATATATTTTAATTGCAGCCCTGGATGTTTTATGCTATTGCTTAATGACCTACTTTTAATAAAGAACACACAAGCACTGAATTCAAATTCAAACTTTTATTCAACCACCTTTTTTATTTTACCACAACTGAAAGTTTTTTAAAAAAAAACTAAAAAAAAAAGAAATCAACTTAAGTGGCCTGAGTGACGTCAGTAAATACTGACAAACATAAAGACTTAAGTGACCAGAAAATCTGATAAATAAATATTTAAATAGTCTTTTGATGAAAATAAACAAAACAAACAAATATATAAATAAACAGAATAGCTTTAGGTGGGAATAGCATACTACCAGTTTTAACTGTGTGGGAAACTGCCCACAGCCTGGTGTCTGAACACTGAAATATTTCTCCCGGGGTCGGGAGATTTATTTTTTTTAATTATCATGTGATTGACTTAATACACAAACTAAGCACGAGAAGCAGGACTTATCCACGCCGGTGTTGTGTCGTAGAATGCACCCCTGCCGAATGCACCCCCTGCTAGTAGCCATGATCCAAATACTCGCGTCTTTGTAAAATATGAGCTCATTTTCTTCCACTTTAAGAAGCGAATGAGTGGACGGGATGCAGGGGTGCATCCTACGGCAAACACCGGAACGTATTTCCTCCGCACCCTTCTCACCTTTTCAACCCCTGACCCGTTTTCATGCCTGAAGCGCTGTGTTTGAGAAACACTTGCGGCCGGGCACTTCATATCGCGGGTCGAGAGTGGCTAGAAGCTGGTCGAAAACCCGGCTTTTCAACGGTAGTTATTAGCAGTATGTCCCTCGCTATGGAGCATGTTACTGCATGGGTGATGTCCTTATGCTGCTCGGACGCTTTGTCGTATTTTGGCAAGAAACGAAGTCCAGTTCGGTCTGCTTCACATGCTTTGTGCTGGTGCTGGCAGCGGTTCCAGAGGATTCCTCCTCCGACGACGTGGAGCCGCGGCGCGGCCGACACAGCTCGTACTCCTGCGGGTGCGATCGGTTTAGATGGTAGAACAAGTTGGTTGTGTTACCAGACTTGGTTTTTACTAATTCTCTGCAAATTTTGCAAACGACCGCTGTTCGCTTTTTGTCAGACTTCTAAAAACCAAAACACTGCCATGCTGGTGAACTACTGAAACCTTTTTTCGGGACAATGTCCTCCGCTTCTCCTTGCTGTATCATTTTTTCTAATACACGTGCTGTCTGTTGTGGTTTGATAGGGGCTGGGCTCGGTGCCGTAGCGTACCTGGGTCTGCGTTTGTGATTGGTTGGGAGGAAGCAATGACTGTAGTAAAAGCTACATGATAGGCTATGATGAAAAAGAAAGGGAAACTGTGTTTTTCTATCGAACTTTTTGTCGACCCGTTTTTTTTCTATCGCACCACACGTCTATCGATCGATATATATTGTTATCGAATTATCGTCCAGCACTAACCAGGTCTATGTCTGGTGGAGTCTGGAGTTGACTCTGTCAGAGTTTTTCTTTTTCCTCTGTCTTTATCCCATCCACCCTCATCCCCCTCTCTCTCTCTCTCTCTCTCGCTCTCTCTCTCTGTCACTTCTTATTCTAACCGCTCTCCTTTCTGAACAGAGCACAAAGCAAACCACCGGCCGGCCCTCCTCACACAAACATATAATCACATCTTTCTGTGGCTGTCCTCATTTTGATTCCAGTAAAATGGCTTCCTGCGCCGATGGGAAATCTTTCTATCAAAAAAGTGCGCACATATGTATGTATGCACACGCTGATGCAGAAACGCAAACAAAATGAAAATCAATAAAAAGCATTTCTCTGCGGCAGTCAGGCAGACGTATGTTACAGAGAAGCAGAAAATTAAGTTAGAAAATGTCTGCTTTTTATGCCTTAGTCTGTGTGCGTGCGTATATGTACGTGTGTGTGTGTGTGTGTGTGTGTGTGTGTGTGTGTGTGTGTGTGTGTGTGTGTGTGTGTGTGTGTTGTTTCTGCAGAGACAGATCAATACAAAGGGCATTAAGGGCTTGGACTGAGCTGGAAGCATATAAATTATGCACCCTGTCAAAAGTGTCCCTCATCAGATGGAACGAGGGAGGAAAAATGAATGAAAGAGAAGAAGGAGAGAACACTAGTATGTGGAAGAGAGGGAAATTAAGGGCGGCGAAGGGTGAAAACTATGAAGTGTGTACATGGGCGCACAAAGAGAGAAAAATGTCTCTCACACATATACACACACTCAAAGAGAAGCTCAAAAAACACCCGAGTCATCACTTCTGCTGTATTTGAAGTATTGGATTACAACCATCTGATACTCATTTGCTGCCTACTACCGCGGGAGAAAAAAAGGGAAGGAGAGGCAGAAAGTGGGAGAGAGATGGAGGGAAACCAAAGGACAAAAGGGGGAAGGGGAAAAAGAGAGAAAAGAGGAAGTGAGAAGAGAGAGGAAATAGGGAAACACTAGTTGGGACAGCATGCGAGTAAAGAAAAACAGACGAAGCAGGATGCGAGTGAAACAAGCTAAATTAAGATAATGAAGGACAGCACAAAAGGAGAAGGGGCCAGGAAAAAGAAACGACAAAGATAGAGAGAGAGAGAGAGAGAAATTACAGAGGAGCAGCACAGCATGAAAATCAATAAGAGTTGAGAGAGCGACTCATCTCTAATGAGCTGAGCAGAACATGATTAACTTGAAATGATTGTTCCATTTATCAGATCAATCCTGGACAGTTCAGAGTCGCTCACTGATGCCAGTGTACACGTGTGTGTGTACATGTGTGTATAGAAATTCTTAACGTGTTATGGAAGTGTAGTAGGAAATGAGCATTTGAAACACACGAGAGAGAGAAAAAGGGTGCATTTGCTGCAGTGTCATGTCTTCAGTTTCTCATTTTTTCCAGCTTTGTAGAATCAGAATCAGAAGGGGTTTTATTGCCATTGTCAATGAACAGGATTCACAGACTAGGAATTTTTTACGGCGTGATGGTGCAACATTAAACAGAGAATAATATGTAAAATACTAGAATAGAAAATAATAAGAGCATGCAGGACATATATAAAGTATAAAAGGCTATGTACAATGCTATGTACAGTAAGTATAACATTACATACACCATCTTTTACATGGTGAACTTAATCTCAGTTTTTGTTAAGTTCTATACAGAGTGAAAAAGACATGTCAAATTTGTGTTATACCAGCCTCATTAAATAACCAACCATTAAGACTCAACTTACGACAGCTGAAATATTAAGACTGTGTTTCTGCCTTAACTAGTCAAAGGAAAAACAACATTCATACTTAACAGAGTGAAGGATCTGTCTCCCTTATTATCTTTTTACATCCACAATGGGGATTTCTCCTAGTCACGCGCTTTTCTGAATTAACATGACTGGTAAAAGAGAAAATAATTCTGTCAAATTAAAAAAAAATGTTCTGGGGTAAGTCAGGACTTGGTTTGAGAAAGGATAACACAAGGAAAAGAACTTATGAGATGAAAAATGATCAAAATAGATCTCCTCAGGATATTGTGAATGGGAAAAAAGGAGAAAAGAAGCATAAAGTTTTTGTGTTTTTGGAATTTGGTCTCTGTATTTTTTCTACATTAAAAGTGGAAATGCTTCTATATGTTTCTCCTTGAAAGTCTGGTATCTATTCTTAGACCTACATGTTTGATACGGGATATTGAAATGTAAAATAAATACTCAGTTAACACTCACTGGAAACCTCTCTGTAAAATTTGTTTGAGTTGCATATACAACCATAATTAGCTCATTGCGTTTTCTTTATAGAAGCGTCACAAACTCTGATTTTAGTTGAGTTGAGAACAGAAAAACTTTCCTTCTGAATGTAAAAAAACAATGTTTAAAAAGACTCATCTCAAATCTGTTATTCAGCACACACAAGCTTTACAAAGACTTGACAATCTAAACGTCACATATACGTTTATGTGACAAGTTTCACTGATTACTCCACATCAGATTACTCCCCATTTATTCTGATAAGCCAAGTCATTTTTGAAGCATGAATGTCAAGCATTTGCTCGATCAAGTTTGTAACACAGCAGTTCAGGCCTTCTGAGCTTTACTCTACATTTATGGAGACAGCACAGACTTTACCGTCTGTTGATCAATCACTGAGAAATATTCTTTTTTTTGCCATGATAAAAGCTTTATTTGTTTGTCTTATTAGAGGGGACCTTTAGTGTAGGTTCAAGTCTCTTTGTGTTGGATTGTTGTTCATATTAAATTAAAAAATAGCAGCATCTAGGCCGATAGATAAATCAGTGCCATGATGTCATGGCTGCTCTGAAACTGTTCAAACTCTGGCTATCAATTCAGACAGCATATGAGCCGTATAAATACAGTGAAGACAGACGGACAAACAGACGGGCGGACGGACAGACAGACAGACAGACAGACAGATCATGTCCCACTTAGTTGGCAAAACTAGATGTGCCCCGTCTCTGCCCCCCTCCCACCCCCCCGAAGATGACAGCATGTTTGTGAAAAATACCACGAGGATGACTAAGACAGCAGTACTGTGCGCTGTGTTTGTGTGTGCATTACGGCACGTTTGTGTGTGTGTGCCTTGACACCCTCCGTTCAAAAGTATTTCACCTGACTTCACCTTTGCTGAGCGCATGATTTAAATGAAAGGTTAAACTGAATTCGCGCTGCGACAAATACCACAATTACCTGATGATGAGAATATGAATGTGTCATGACCTGTTTTGTGCTCGACACAAACTCCTCACCGCACACTGATGAAGGAGCACACAAAGGGTCACCAGGGTTAAGTTTGGAGGATCGAGGACAGTTTAACATAGAGACATGTTCACTTGGGACTACTTTTGTCCTTTTCTCCTACAAATCAAGATTCTCAAATCCTACAAGGAGCAAACAAATCATAAACCTGACTGTATAACAGACTATCAGGGAGTTATAATTATGTGAACTTCAATGTTTTGAATAATTGCAGCTACAGATTGAACTCTGATCAAGATCGTTTTGGTGCTCTGTATTACTTTCATAATTGAGATAAAACTAGGTAATTAAATGTAACATTAGGGCTGCAGGAATTATGCTCAGGTGGATTATTACATTATATTGCGTTACATTACAACAGAACATGGCTCATTAAGGCATCCATCTCAAAACCTCTCGTCTGATCAGATACATTGCAGGATGCGGCTGCAGAAAAATTGTGGTTGAAAAATGGAGGGAGAGCGATCCGGCGAGCACACACTCTTACTCTGCGACACTGTAGCCACAAACTATCTCCTATTGCAGCAATTACCCACGGGAAACTCCTCCTCACAGATAAAAATGGGGAGAAAAACAGCCAAACAACTCAAGTCGCAACAATAGGACTCGAGCAACCACTCATTATTATTTTTAATTCTTGAATCACCCACAGATTATTCCTTGATATTATTTCTTTCTCTTTGGAATAAAAATCACTTTTAACACTACACTATTTCGTCATTTGAATATGACTTGTTTTAATGTTTAAATGTTGTTAAAAATAGTTTCTGGGTTATTTTCATGAAAACTCGTCGGCTCTAAACAGAAATAGTAGAATTTTTAAACACTCAGTATTTTTATTAAGGCTGAGGTGCATTAAAGGACACCATGTGGGTATTTTTTCTGCACGCTCACAAGTTGTCTTTCTCAACATGTTTACCGTTCGTACCAAAATAAGACATGACAGCTGATGTTTACTTTAAGAGACCAATTTTAGGATCCAAATTGCAGCCCTGTGGGTGTTTGTTGTGACCTTTAAGTGTCTGTGAGTTAGCATGCTCTGATGTGTGTGAGGACATCGATGACTGCAGAGTATGGACAGAAACTTAAAGTAAAGACATGACTGATAACACATCGACTCCCTTACGCAGGAACACATCAAATCATAACACACACTCATGCACAAGTGTATCTACACTGCACAAACTGAACTGAGCTCAGTCTTCTCACTATAAAAGCTCATCTGTTCAATCAAGATAAATGCATGCTACTGGGTTTAAAATTTCAGGAACCAAACTGAATTGATTTAGGCCATAAAATTCATTTCCATAGTATCATATACGTAAAAAAAAAACAAATGGAGACTTTCTCTTTTCCTCCCCTTAGGCCAAACAGTAATCAGAAATTATCCCTGCATTCCTGTTTGTTTTTAGAGAAAAAAACTAATAAAATAGTATTGAACGGTGGACTCACAACTTCTGACCGTCCGTCCCTGCAAGCGTTCTGGAAGCGAGCTTGTCTTTCCTCATGGGGCCGGTCCCTGAAGCCAGTATATTTAATCTGTATAGAAAAAGAATACACAACACTAAATTTAAAGTTATACATGAATAGAAATAGTCAGAATGATATTAATTAATAAAGGACTAAAAACACCTTTAAAAAAGTCGTTTTACAAAGGATACAGAGCTCATCTTCAGCAGCAGCGTGTAATCTGATGTTAAGCAGTGGGAATTTTCAATTTAAAGCAAAATTCATAGTTCTCTCTAGATTTTATTTAAAAACTCTCCTTATTTAAAACTTTTATAAGATCAAATTGCAAACCTTTTTTTTAGTTCAATTTGTGTATTGAATTCATAATTCAGTAAAGAGCTTATTTTGTGCACAATTCGATACAGCTTTAATGAATGAATCCTGAGGTCGAACAGCTTATTTCAGAGCACTTTTGTTGACTTTTTGTGCATCTGGTTGATTTGATGAAAGTGTAGGCTTCCTTATGCTCAAATACAGAAATGAAAAGTAGTGATGTGTTTGACTTGTAACTCAAATGGAGCCTCCAGCGTGCTTTCTCTTCTGTCTATATTTCCGCCGTACAAACAGAATGGATCCAGTGTGTAGCGGCAGAGTCACTCACCTCACACTCCCTGCTCAACTTGCGGAAAAACTCCTCATTCTCAAACTTGCTCCTCTGGTCCGGGACTACCCGCGGCATCTTCAGCAGCTCTGTCCGGCCTCTTCTCCTTCACTTTTTATTTTATCTTCTTAAGTTATCCCGAAGATGAAAAGTCAATTTCTCTGACTCGTCTTCCGTCCCTCTCTCTCTGCTTTCTTTCACTCACTTCTCTTCCGTGTCTGTGTCTGTGTGTGTTTTTTTTCTTCTTTGCCTCTACCCTGTGTGGAGCAATGTGCTCTGAGCTGCTGCCCTCTGAGACTCTCTCTCACTGATGATCTGCGTCTGGCTGCGGCTCCCGCCACTGGCTCCAAATGGCTCTTATTAAGTGACCCACCGCGATAGATAAGGCTCAGTTTGACCGTGAGGCTCTCCCTCCCTCTTTCTCTCTCTCTCTCTCATACACACACAGACTTTCTCGACGTCTCTCTACCTCCCTCTCTCTGTGTTGACGAGCGTGTGATCTTTTCTGAGTGGCAACAAGCGAGCGCTCCCTGTCTGTCTGTCTGTGTGTGTGTGTGTGTGTCTGCTCTACCTGCAACTTTCAAGTGCTCCTCCCATATGGGCCCGCCGACTGCTGTGCGTTCAAGACACTTAGGACATAAATTAACTATTAAAACAAACAAACAAAGGATTAGCATGTGTGAGTAAAGCCCACAATTAGGCGGCTTTTGTTAAGGTCATGAATAACATGACACAGTGTGTGTTGAGCTTTCGAGGCAGATAACAGATATCACCGGCTAGTTTAGCCCAGCTTTGACTTAAAACAAACAGATAGAAGTTACAGCTCTTACTGGTATGATTCAACAAATCTCCAAATAATACAAGCGTTTTTCAACAGCCTTAGCTTAGAAAAAAAGCAAAGAAGAACAAACAAAAATGAGCGTTTAAAGCCCAAATGTGAGCTACTAATTCATGGTATTACAGCAGAAATAAGCTTGAGTATGCCCATCTATGAGTGTGTTTTCTCTGGACCTCCAAGAAACTTATTTCTTTTTTTCTCTCCTTGGGTCTTTTGACGCAAAGGTCTACCCCAGATGTCAATTTTCAAAATTACGACAAAGCCGCCTGTCCTTGAATGCATCAACAGTCTACTTCCTGGCTCCGTCGAGTCGCTCTTGTGACTGTACACCCAAAATACCCCCTCCTCAACCTCCCCCCCTTCACCACCGCCCACCCCCATTCACAATAATAATACTACTACACACGCTACTTGGGGGATACGACCGCGCATGCGTGTGCCCTACACCGCAGGAACTTTATAGGATCCTTATGTGAGAAGTAAAGGAGGCAAGAAGCATAGAGTGGGAGTGGAAAGACAGTGTGAGAATATTTCAGTAAATGTTTTTATGATCGTTCAGTAATGCTGGTGAACATTTGAAAATATGTAGCCCATACATTTATGTTACTTTTGGATTTCGAACTGAAGCCCCTGTGTGTATTTGTAGGCCTACAGTTTTCCTTTGCCCACAGGCTTCATAAAAAAAACAGTCAGGCTTTGTGTGGAATACAAGGAGTGAAATATGTGATGAAAAAAATGTCTGTTCACACCTCCATGGAAAATTTTGCCCCGGGATAATGAACCCTTTTAATGCTTCAAATCAGTAAAAACTCTGCAACGTGTTCCATCTTTTTATAGACCTACTGACATTTCCAGGAATGTGCTTGGTTGTACACAGGAGTGGAGTTGTGAAAAAAAATCAGGGGGGATGGTGGGTTTTATTGTTTGGGACAGATATTTTGTTCTGATGACAGTGCACATAACGGCAGAATTCGGACTCATTTTCAGCCCTGGACTTTCATGCCTTACACAGGCCCACTTTAGATCACGGCCTATTACCTTTTGATATAGCAACAAAAAGGGTTCGATTAGTATGATAAGAAAAAAAATGTATGTACTGTATATCCTGTTACTGAGGGTGAGCAAAATAATGAAAACTATCAACAGAATCATCTTCATCTCGCTCATTCCTAACTTGTGGTTCAGGGTTCTGCTGCCGAGCTGTACTCAGTCCCAGCTCGTACACTCTGCTCTCCCTTTCACACTTTCTCCAGTTTCCTTAGACTTGAAAACACATTTGGACTTAAACAATTAAGATATTTTCCATGGCAAAATATGATGGCAGGCTTGTATCATATGACTTCCATCCTATTCCCTTTCAGTTGAGGGCTTTGTGTATTTACTTTCTTACCTTTAATAATAAAAAAGATGTATATAAATATATATTTTACAGGTCACTATTATCTTTTGGACAAGAGTATAGTTTTACTGGAACCAGTGCTTGCTTGTTCACAGACTTTGTTCCAACAGCTCGATACTCTCAGGAGTAATCCCCTCATCACTCCTGGCTCTACTTCTGATTTTAAAACACATTTTAAAAATGGACATCATTCTCAGCACAGATCTCCTCTTTTACAAAGCCTACTGATCAATTCAGCTCAGTTTCATGAAGGTAGTGCTGAATTACCAAGAATCTCAGGACACTTTTCATATAGAGCAGGTCTACACCATACTCTTCATTATGTTAATTCTACTTATATTCACTCAATTAGCAATCCTACCAAACCCACTCTGGATTTGTGGGCTCACGGCTGGTGCTTGATGCGGGATCTTGATTCTGACTCTGATGGGCAACAAGACTAAGGCCTTAACCATATTATGTATGTATATTTTCTAATTTTACAGTGTGAAATTTGGTAGCATAATATACTTTTTTAGAAACAGTTTTTAGAACAGTGTAGAGGACATGCCCACATGGCAGCCTTAGTGCTGGAAAGTCAGTTTCCCTGCTTTGCACTTTGTTGGTTTAGTATGTTTCAGAAAGTTGCTGGTAAGTGTTGTGAAGGAAAGTCCATTGAATTTTTTCTTCTCAAAAAATGGATTTTAGAGTTTTTAAGATTTCGCCATAACAGCCATTTTGTAGCTGTTTGTGGTTGCTACTACTCTGATGACTTTCTTGGGGAAAAAAAGTCTAGTAGAAGCTGGATTTGCATCTCAACCGTTAGCAAAACCCAGAGCTTTTTCATCTGTTCAGCTGATCGCAAGCCTCTAAAACTTTTTTTTACAGGCATACTTTTTGCGTCATTGCTGTGTGAAAAGTGACAACCACGAGCAGTGTCCGACTCTATACCATTCTTTACGTTCACATATAGAGCTTAGTTCAGTGATCCTGTTCTAAAGCCCTTTCTTTGGTTTCCTGACCACTTAAAAGTGCTTTTACATTACATGTCGCATTTGCTAATTAACACCACAGTTACTGATGGCAGAGGCCGCTATGTAAAGATCCCATCAGCTCCATGCATAGACACAGCCAGGAGGGGGAAGTGGGGAGAAGAGCCTTGACAACCAACTCCGCCACCGAATCACAGCCACCGCTGTCCTTGACACAGGGGTCCATCTCTGCTTCGATAGGCTGCCCCTTTTCAGTGCATTATTTCCAAAGTCATCTCCTAGTTAACCTTTTGTACGCCAAACACTCAGAAATACCTGTAAGCATGTTGCTAAAAGGATGTACGTTTTCCAATGAAAGCACACACAAACTTTTACAGGTCTGTTCCTTTTCTACATATATCAGGAGTTTAGTCTTTTTTTTTTTTACATCCTTTGTTTGTCTGTCTAGGTGTCACATACCACCCAGCTTCCTGGCACTGCATTTATGCTATTAAATTTTAAGGTCTTTCAGGACACTGTCCAATTTGAGTCTTGCTAAGCTCTAACATGGAAGAGAAAACTGATCTCCAGCAGCATTTTCTAGATGGTAGTCCAACAACCAAAAGTTGAATTTAGAGCAATTTAAGTTGGATTGATGTTTTTACATATGATTTTAAGTGTGTTTTAAAAGTCTAGTTTAAGCCAAGTTTTGGACTGTACCAACCTGAGGGATCTTTGATGCATTATTGGTGGGATTTTAGGGTGGGTTGGAGTCATTCCTGTCCGCTACATCCACTGAGCTTGGAGTGAAGCGCCCCACAAATCTATATTGCAGACTGAGGCAATCATAACAGGTGGACTCAATCTTCTCCAGGCAGGACTCATATAAAGGAAACAAGAGGTCATTACTCTGTTTGCCTGCTTTTCCCTTCTTTGCTGCTCAAGTGCATCCAGAGTTAATTGTTTTCTGATGTTTAGTCATGAGAATCAGTAGTTTTTGCAAAGATCATTGGTAGCCTACTTTATTTGATTTATTGCATCCTCCTTAAAGATAATGAGATGATTCAGTTATTTAAGCATAATTATTTCCATTGGAGAAATTATATTTACCAAGTATGTAATATGCTTTTTCCTTTGTTTGAAAATATAGAAAACACTACTTGACAGGCAGTGTTGTATGAAGTACTAAACAAATTGAGTTCAAGTATAGTTACCTTACCAGAAAATGACTAAAGTCAAAGTAAGAGTCGCCCATGAGAATTCTACTCCAGTCAAAGTCTTAAAGTTGATCACATTCTCGCTACTTAAGTATCAAAAGTACTCAAGTAAATGTACTCCAAGTAATAGTAAAAAGTCAAAGTACAAATAATTATATATATAATTTATTTTGGAAGTGTGTGAGCTAGCGAGCCAATATTAGCTAACAGTTCATGTTAAAGTTAGTAAACATTAGCTAACCAAACGGCATTGTGGTCTTACCTCGACATGTTTCCCAAGGTTGAAGGGGGAATTTTTGTATGACAGGATTTCCACCTGCCTTGGGGCACACAGCAGACATTTCATTCTGAATGAATCCTCCTTAACCCCAGCATAGCTAAACAGAGAGTGGAGGTAAGGCCATGGATGTTCATCGTCTTCTCTTGAGGGGTTCTCTTCATTTGTATAATCATCACCTGATGCCGCAGGTGCAGATTAGAGGATGACATTTTTCGGGAATTCCCGTGGGTCACGTGATTCCCGCAGGAATCCCACGGGATGGGAGTCATTTTTTAATCAATCTCGTGATCGGGACGGGACGGGAAAAAAAAGCAACAGGAGCGGGCAGGAGCGGGAACAACATTAATATGATCATTTTCAGCCGTGTTAAACAAACAGATTAACAGATGCGTCCATTTTTGTAGTCATCTCTCACTGAGAGCCAACACTCTTGACCGCGCCAGCAACACAAAAGAACTACAACAGTGGTTTGACTTCCTGTCAGCCGGGAGCGCGGCTGCGCATTTCTACACTTCAAGCCAGGAGCGCGGATACGCCATTATGTGGCATTCTGTAGTTTTTTAACCATTTCTGGAGTCGTGGCGAATCAAATCACCTTACCCGTCTGCCCCTGATAGGCGAATAAAGCGCTCGGATTCATGCTCGGATCTTGCTACGTGCTTCAAGAGTAAAGTAAACAATGATGGAGGCAGAGAGCAGCTTTGGAGGAGAAACATCCAGCAGTGTGAACAACCTCTTCATATGGAGGTCTTTGGTTCACACTATCGGCGATTTCTGTGAGTGTTGCATGACTTTGGGTGAGCGCAGAGATGAACACACTTCAGCCACGTATTTATTTATTCGTTTTTCTAGTTTTAAGCGCTGGTCTTGTACTGGCACTATACTAGTGCA